ACCAGCTGTGTCTCGACTGGGGCTGGGACTGGGTTTCGGGACGCCGCCGCGGCACGCAGGGAAAAAGCTGCGGGACGACAACCTGAACCAACGAGTGGCAGGGAACAGCGGCCACGGGCAGCAGAGACGAGAGAGAGAGACAGACAGACAGGAGGGGGACCAGGAAAGAGAGTGAGCGCCAGGACCACCTCACGACTCAAACAACCCACTTTGCGGCTCGCGGCTTGCCCACGCAATACCTGGGTGGGAGGCGCAATGAGTGTGTGTGTGTGTATGGAATCAAGGTGTGAACCCCGGCGTCGGAGTTGAGAGCTGAGTGGTCTCACTCTCACTCTCATTTCTCACTCCCACTCTCACTCTGTTTTCCTCTGTGAGTCCGTCTCCTTTGGGGGCATGGTACTGTCCACAAGGTAAAAGAAGTGGGATGGGAATTGTGTTTTGTGTGTGTGCGTGAGTGCTTGATGATCGATTGATCGACTAGGGGTTATGGGGAACGGACCGGGACAGGCACACAGGGCCAAACATTAGGAAGAACATGACACTCACTTGTCTGCGAGGGATCCATTGCTATTGCCAATGCCAGTGCCGGCGCCAGTGCCATTGCCCTCCGTCTTGAGGCGCATGGACGACTTGCGCGATGCTGGGACGGGGTTGCTGGAGGGTCTCACGGTGGCCGATGATCGGGTGCTGTCGGTACTGGTGCTCGTGAGAGAGCTGAAGCGGGAGCCGGCCTCATTCCTCGTCATTGTCGCCAGGCCGTCGCGAGAGGGCGCAGAGCCATGTCATTCCCGAGAAACAAGGTTGAGAAAAACAGAGGGGACCGGCACACAGCACGGCACGCTATTGCTGGTGGACACAGTACCTACTCCGTCTCCGTAGGCGGGTACGGAATAGGATACGTACGTTAAACGCGTGATGGACGAAAGCGTGAGTTGTGGGCACTGGGCGGTATCCGTAAGTTGGGCCTAGCGGGCACGCGGGTAATCGACGACGAGGGTGGAGTGGGCAGTAATCGTAATCGATATTTGCGAGTGGGTTTTACGAATGCCCGTGGTGTACTCCGTAGATGAGGTGTGTGGAACAGAACGGCGGCGGCGAATGTGTTTGCGACTTTTGCGCACTTTCAGTTTTCGATGGAGGAAGTAAGCAAGCGATCCGGCGAGACGAGAAGCGGGGAGGGCTGGCGTCGTGGTTGACGATCCGGTTCTAGTGTATGTACGGATAGGATATTCGTACGATGGCAAGGTAGAAGGACAGGCACGAAAACAGCTCGAGGGCGACAAACTCCAGAGTCCAAGAGAGGGGTCGAGGCCGTTCTGAGAATGAGGTGGGCTGACAGAGACAGAGGCTCCGAGTAAGGTATGTAGAGATGGATACGACTAGATCATGCTTGTGGCGGCTAGATGGAATGGAAAAGGAATTGGAACAGCGACAGGACAGGAGGTATGTATTGGCGTCAAAAGGAGGCTGTCTTTGCAGTCCGGTCGCATCTGCTGATGTCAGTTGTGGTGCAAAGAGGCGAAGAAGAATGAAGCTGCGTGACAGCGAGAATAGCGAGGTAATGTAAGGTGGTAAGGTAGGGCCGAAAGGTGAGAGGTAACTGCTGCTGCTGCTTTTGCTGTCACTGGTGTGTGCAAGTGTAGGTATGCAGGCAATGAAAGTATGAGGTACTCGGGCAGTCTTGTACGACGGACGAATGAGAGCTCCATGCAATGGGTGAGGTAAGGTGCCTGAAGGTGAGGTGAGTGAGAGGTGAGAAGGTACTGATCAGGTAGCTTGACTCAATGGATACCTACTGAGGTGAGTTGCGTGTTGTGCAGACTGCAGAGTGCTGGTGTACGGAATATGTGGTGGCGTGCAGCGTGTGGTGCGGGCGGCAGTAGGTACCTATCCCCCGCGCTCTGTGTTGGCGGTGCTGGGTTCCAATGGACTAGTGGAAGAAGATGCCCTCGATGCGAGGCTTTGCTGTTCGTTATGGATGTATACCTTTCCTCACAATTCACCAAGTCATGTTGCAGTCATTTGTTTCTGCATTTTTGCAACTATAAATTGTAAGGCATGTATTCCCAAAGTAGTGCTTACTACACTAAAGATACTTTGCAGAATAATCAGTCGTGCCTGCCTCGAATTGCAAGATACCCTGGATAAAGCATGTTCCCATGTACATACTTACACACATGGAAGGTTCCAAAGGTCCCAAGGTACCTCTCCACGATGTCGAAGGTAAGGTAGGTAGGTGCCAAGTCAGGGAAGGTGGGTGGCTCCTTACTTGACCTTTGGGTAAGGCGAGGGAGGCACCGAGTGACCAATGGTCTGTTCCCGTCCCATTTCAATCCCAATGCCTTCCGTCCGTACAACCCCAATGTGACAATACCATGTACAACCGTGACGTCCATCAGAAATATCGTCGTTCAATCAGGTCTTTGAATGCAACTTGTGTGTCCCTATCCCGTATTCTCACTATAGGGTATGAGGGCCGTGTTTGAAAGAAGCACCAACATTTCATGTTTCAATCCCAGGAAACCCTGTCACCGCCAGCTTAGACACAAAACCTCAATTTAGTGTGCCTGTCTTGACGCAATACGGAGTCCTTCGTATAAGGTAATGTGGGAGGTGCCTCGACGCCTACCTTACATACCTACACAGAAGAGTACCTTACCTTACTTCACTAGCAGGTGGATGTGGGCTTTTCCGGGGATTAGACCCGCTCCAGGACTCGCTTCCGTCGCTCTGCCGGAGCGTAGCGCGCTGAGGTGCGGTTGAGTGGGCGAGCAGTGAAAGTGGGTAAGTAGTTAGCCGGGCTAGCTTCCAAGTACCTGAGTACGGATACCTACGAATAGACTTGCCAAAGTCTCAGAAATGGACCACCAGGAGTGCCGCTCAGACCGGGAAGCCTACCTATCCAAGTGAAAGAGCATCAGGAGCTTCGTACTTCCGTATGTCTTTCCCTCGGGTCCGTTAGACTCCAAGAGGCGTCTCTTTGCGCCTACACATCCTTGCATTCAGGTTCATCGTTGCTTTACGGAGCACTCTGTACCCTGCGCCTAAAGCACCCTCTTTCTCTCTGCCTGTGCCTCTGTGGGCACAAGTGTATTCGCTGTTTCTTTACGGAGTGAAAATGAACGCACAAGGTAGCGACAGGCTGGATGCTTCAGAGATATCCAACAAGTCCATATCGATACCTACCTATGCTTCCATCACACGTTCAGAAAGGTACCTTGTACCAACCATAAGTATGTTGCCGATGCACCAAGGCATACATGATTTTTTCTTCTTCTTCTGAGTCCTGAAAATTCTGCCCAGCAGAGCTTTGGTTGCCCTTGTTTCGAGGGGAATCAAAGTGTTTGGTTCCCCGATACTTAGCGCGGTGGATGTGAGTGACAATATCTTCATTTTAGCGTCTGAGGTTCCGTGAAGTGTTGGTGAGATGCTGAGGTACTGGGAAGGTGGGGTAGCAGGTAGGAACATGCTCACGGACCATCTGCACAAGATGTCGGGTAGATGGTAGTGGGCAGGGCAGGGATGGCACCTGATCTGGTAGGGGTGGGCGATGGGTAATTCCATGATTGGGGTTTCCAACTGTGAGTGGCTGACATGTTTGGGGGGAAAGATGGAAGGTCCTCACCCACATCATGAAGTACCTTAGGTACCTAGGTAGGTACGGACCACCGTACCTCCTCCTTCTGGGCTAGTCTGTTTGTATCTCTTAATCCGTAGTGCGTCTGCACACCTCAGGGCAAGTGCTAAGCGATGCTATCTCGGGACTTGCCATCTCCCGCTAATCATCTGCGACATCTCAAGTATCGTCCTATCGTCCGTTCGCATTCCACCCAACATCGCACTGCGTACACCAAGAGATGAGAGACGAGAAACGAGAAACGAGAAACGACAGCACATCTCAACATCAATCGTCCACCCGTCCACTCGCCCCCATCCACCTCGCAAGGAACGGACTTGCGATTAGCAACGCCAGAGCTGAACAGAGGTCAGTGTCACCGTCCAAGGTACGGGCTGGCAGGGGAACAGACCACAGATTCTCAAAGAGTAATACGACTCTGACACTCGCTGCCCAATGTCATTTCCGATATTCTTCTTCCTCAGACCAGAGACCAGAGGCCAGTCACTGCACTACACTACGGTCTCTACGGGTAGGTCAGACCTTAGACCAGACCTCCTTCTCTCTCATCTCAACATGGACTCATGGGCTCATGAACCTCCGAGCACATGTATACGAAGTCAAACGGGGTACGAAGCACAGGAACGAAACAGAGGCTTTCTTTCACCTTAGTCAGTTAATGTCTTCCCTCTGCTTGTTCAAACCCCGACCTCAGTCTCACTTCATCTTGGCACAGCGCGGCACGCAAGGTCCAGCTTCAGAACTCCATCTCTGCGCGGTTGCTGAAGCGGCTGCTGTTGCGTCACCGTTTAGTGACTATTATTGCTTGCTCGTTGTCGCATCGTGGGGTCCCATTGCTCCATTAGACAAGTTCCCAGCTTTGGTTGGGCATCTTTGCCTCTTTTTTTTATTCTACCTACCTACCTAACTACCTACCTACCTACACCAAAGTACCTCACTTGTCACCCATGTTGTATGTCCATTCCTGCAGTAGACTATCCATCATCGTGTTATGCATCTGCCTTATACTCCGACTACGGCATTGGTTCCGATCCATGTCGTGATACCTCGCGGCTGTCCTTCCGCGATTCATTCCCAACTCCGGCCAAGCGCCCGTCGCTGTGGGATCCGTCCAAGTTGCGAGATGACTGTCACAAACGAAGCCTCACTCACGGACATGGCTCATCTGCCAATTGGATGACAGAGTGACGACCTTGTTGCTAGCTTTTTCTGTCAATATCAAATCTAAATTCCTCAAAGTTCCAACCATGGCCCCTGGCAACTCTTGTCATTCCACGGACGCAGTTCCGTTACCTTGCGGCTGGTTTAGGTTGCCTACCTTGCCTTACTGCACCTCGCCCACCCATGCAGCCACCACCCACCCACAACCATTCCCGAGTCGTTGAGCTCGCATATGAATAAACATTCACAGCGCATCTCATACTCACCCACACAACACCCACACGCATACGCAAACGCACACATGTCAGCCATGCAGCAGCCCGCGGGGCAACGCATAGGGCAGACACACCGCTGTTCACCAGCAGGGCAAGCCAGCTCAGACGCTCGTCTCATCCTGTATCCCTACTTCCTACGCCTCCACGGCCTTCAACGCTGCCGTACGAGTGTCCCGCGTCCCCTAGTGCTCTAGGGTTCCCCTTCTTCGCTCTCTTCCATTGTCTCCTCATCTGCCCCCTCTCCGCTGCCTGACCCTGCTCCCCCGTCCAAGCAAGCAACCTCACACATGATATCGAGCGAGCAACCTCCCTGCTTAGCCACATGTCTTTTACCACTCTACTTGTTCTACGCAGCAACTCTGCTCATCTACCAAGGCTATACTTCTCAGTGGCTCCCAACCGTCGTTCACGACACTAACCGTCCAGGCGTGCAAGGCCCAAACTCTATTCTCCCATCACCACCTCCAAGCGTCAATATGGCCTGATACTGACATCTTATTTGGCAGTTCGATCTCTGCACCAAGCTGCGGCTACAGCTATCTCAAACCATGACTTCTCAGTCACCCTACCCAAAGCAAAATTCATCGCTTTCGCTACTTGCCTCTTACCTTGTCGCCTGTTGCCAAAGACGGTCCATTTCAACCAGTTCTACAACGAAACTCCAGTCTCCCACTCTCCGACGCCACATGTCTTGCCTATGAACAAGAAGGACTGTCGCCAGACGGCGATCAATGCGCCCTCTGGAGGGCCCTTGTTTCGTTGCTTTCGGGCCTCTCAGGACCACTTCGCCTCTCTCTTGCCTGGTCATCCATGCACGTCTTACCGTTCCTGCGTTACCATGCACACCAAAAACAGCCCGTACCTAGAGAAGCCGCGTCTGCAACCTCATTCTTATCCCCAGTATGTACACCTCTGACACGGGTTAACACTCCGGAGGTCGCCGCCATCAAAGCCGCCCCAATCTCATGATTCTAGTTGTCTGGATCATACGAGATATGCGAAGCAACAACCATAATGAAACAACAATATCGACGTCGACATCAAGACCATCATCATCACTGGGTGCGTTGGAGACATCACCGTGATCGTATGTATTGCCTGCCACGATATGACTATGATAATCAAGCGATTACTTTACACCGGTCGACCTCTACCCGACATGTACAGCTGAGCTGTTGGCCAAGGCACGTCAAGCTGCCCTCTAGTCAAGAGTCTACAGTTCCAGGAGCAACTCGTTGCGAATGGCAAAAAAGGCCGATGTGGCTTTCGTAGGTTTTACCTTTCCGTCCTCAGAGTACCTTATACCCCAAGGCCTACCCTCCCTGTTGGACGATTCGCGAGCCGCAACGACGACAGGAAGATCGACAACCTTCTTGGGCCTAGATCTGAACTCATCAGTTGGCATAACATGCTTGGGAGCCTGGTCGACTAGTCTAATCCTACGAGCTACAGTTCCTAACACGCCATACGAAGTTTCATCGACAAGTCGAAGCACCGGCCAGAGGATGCATTGTTACACCCTCCATGGTCCCTGAAGATCTCTGTGGTCTCCCGAGTCAAGACACTGGCCTAAGGGTTGCAACTGTCCATTGTTTCTGAAGTATCTCTCATTCCCGTCTGGACAATGTTGCCTTCGGAGCAGCTTTCCGGTCATCCCATCCCATCGTTTGGCAACCACCACTTTGGAGCACAAGCTCGTAAACTGAAGCGGAGGCGGCATGTTTGTTCGGCCGCATCTGGCCAATTCGCCACATCTTAATTGACTCGAGAGCATTGTCCACAGCTTCTAGAAGGTAGTTCCTCTGAACAAATGGTTATCACGACGGTCCCGTGAAACGGCCTCGAGCGAGCAAAACAGCGAGGCCAACGCTCCATCACGTGGGGCCTGGACGCGGCCGCGCATGGGTCGAGCTGGTAATAAGATGGTGTTTTGTTCTTTTTTGTACCGAACTTCTCGTTCTATGTCCCCAGATATGGTTATGCCCAGTAATTAAAATCCACGCCACCCAAAAGGACGTAACAGAAACACAAAACTTCCAGAAAAAAAAACACGCCATTCTCTAATCTTGTCTTGCCGGGTCCAGTTTGACCTCTCCCACAATGGCATCGACCTCGGCCATGATCTCGGGCGTCAGCTTCTCCAGAACCTTCAATGCGCCTACATTCTCGACGATTTGCTCCGGCCGTGAGGCTCCGGTGATCACGGAGGTAACGTTGGGGTTCTTGAGGCACCACGCCAGGGCCAGCTGTGACTGCGTCGCGCCGAGCTTCTCCGCAATACCCTAATCACACACACACATATCCCGGTCAGTCATCGCTCTTTCGTGCCGAGTCGCGAGTGTTGCCGACGGCGCCAGCGACGGACGCGCGGGGGAGTACCAAACAACAGCGATAACAATAGGAAACTCACCTTGAGCTTGACGACATTCTGAATCAGTGCCTTCCACTCGTCGTTACCGTACCACTCCTTGTTGGCCCAGTTGACAAACTTATCGCCCTTGCCCTCCGCGAACCGGCTCCCGGCCGGCGGCGCGTCGGGGTTGTCGTTGTACTTTCCGCTCAGCAGGCCCATCTTGATGGGGCTGAAGACGGTCAGGCCGAGGCCGAAGCGCTGGTACAGCCGCTGGAACTCGTACTCGACTTTCCGGCGCTCGAGGATGTTGTACTGCGGCTGCTCGACGACGGGCGCGATCATCTTGAGGTCTTTGGCGATGCCGCAGGCCTCGGCGATCTCGTCGGCGCTCCACTCCGAGGTGCCCCAGTACATGGCGTAGCCCTTGTCGATGACGTGGTTGAAGGCGCGGACCGTCTCCTCCATGGGGGTCAGGCGGTCCGGTCGGTGGGCGTAGACGATGTCGACGTACTCGAGGTCGAGGCGCTTGAGGGAGGCGCGGAGGCCTTCGATGATGTGTTTGCGGGAGAGGCCGTGGTTGTTGACGAGGACTTCGCCGTTGGCGCCGCCCCAGTTGAGCTAGAAGTGCGCACAATCGGTCAGGGAGTCTTGCTCCGACTGTGCTGTTCGCTGCTACTGCGGACTTTGAGGGCCAGGAACTCACCTTTGTTGTGACAACAATGTCGTTACGGTTCCAGTTGAACTTCTTGATGGCCTGGCCCATGATGATCTCCGAGTTTCCGCCCGCATAGCTGTTTGGAGAGGTCCGTGATTAGCTACTTCGCCTCCTCTTCACCCGGCTGGAGTCGCACGGTATTTACACGGGAGAAAGTTGTGGGAAAACTCACCTCTCAGCCGTATCGAAAAAGTTGACGCCAAGGTCGTAAGCCTGCTTCATACACGCAAACGTCTGTTCTGCAGTGCATCGTAACCGTCAGTGACGCTGCCAAAAACACCCAAGTCTCGCAGAAGATTCGCTCGAGTCTCCCGTCCCGTACATACCATTCTCAACGTGACCGCCGAACCTGTTGTGTTCACCAAAGTCAGCACGAAGGTCCTACAAAGCATTTTGCAAAATTTGCGTGAGGATAACGGAGTGGGAGAAACGTACGTCAACCAACCGCCCAAACCCAGCACCGAGACGTGAAGTCCCGAGTTGCCCAGGCGGCGGTACTGCATGCCCGTCTTTCTAGGCTCTTCCCACGCCATTGCGTCTTGTTCTATTCGGTCTGTCGGGTTGGTGATTAGGGGTAATCTAGGTATCTCGGCGTCAGGCGTGATCTCTCGAAGCGTAGGGAAGTGGTAAGTATGCAAAAAGAGGATGTTAGATGGTATGTTTACATTCACTCTCATCTACTCCTTTTTTTTTCTCTGTGTCCGTTACACTGCCTGCTAATGATTTTACCCCTCCGTCTTCGCTCTCACGCAACAATGGTAAAGCTCCAAAAGAGCTTGTGCCCCGCACCCCTCCTCCCTCTCTGCGGAGATATTATCGGAAAGTGATGTTTCTTTTTTTACCCCTCCAAAAACCACCCCCACCACTTCATGCTAGCAGCTAAAGTAGTGGGAATCTAATTGGCATTGACCAATGGCCCACCTCGCGGCGGCGCGATGCGGCTGGCTGCAGCTGGGCAAAGGACCAAACTGCATGTTGGTCCCCGAAGGATTACCATCATGCATATCCCATAAGTAAGTAGGTACATACATATAAAAGGATCGCGCCAGGGCCAACAACCAGAGGGGGAGTTATCTAGGCACTCAGGTAGGCTGGCTTTCCGTACTTCTCGCGGCCGAAAGCCGGATCGGTAGATAAGGATGTACTACGCGCGCTTGGGGGACTCAATAGCTGTTTTGGCTTATGGCGCTTCTCTGTTAGTCTCTGAGGTGTCTGACGTGGAGGCTGCACCGCGGTAAGCATCGAGATGTCCGCTTGAATGACTGCTGAAAAGAGCATGTTGTACCACCGTCTTCATCGCTAGAGGAGTTGGAGGCGGTTGTGGCAGTCTGACAAGGCCAGCCCGGCTTCACCGCTTTGTTCTTACTAGCAGTTCAAAACCCTACCTTCTACAAACTAGCAGTTTCGTTACCGTCATATGACCCAGGCAGGTAGCCTGCGATCATTTTACGCCACGGTCTATCGTCCTCAGCATCAAGGGAAGCTTTCCTACCAACGTTTCCCGTGTTATTCACGTCACCGGTGCGGGACCTCAGCCCGGCTCCGGACTCCGCATCTCGAAAGACGAGACCGTGGTATGTATAACTCAGATTCTCACTGAGAGTCTGAGCAGAGGTTTGCTGGAAAGGGTGCGAGCTTTCGTTGTTATGTTGATATTTTGATACTCGAAGCATTTGAGCATCCATAGAAAAACGTCGAAGCCTGACAAGAGTCTACCTACTACTACTGAACTAGTCCAGCTAATCCTCATTTTATCACAAGAATATTTCGGTATGACAAAGCCATTTAACCACCATTCGATGTATTTCGAAGCACTGGATATGGTGTTCATGAGCCGTCAGTGTTGCCATTTCATGCCACTTACAAGGTAGAAAAACATGAGCAATGATTCAAAGCACTCCTCGTCCTACAAATTATCGGCGTAATGTTCGTCAACTACAAGATGTTGGACTTTACGAAGCTTCCGTAAGCCCGGCCCATTCTCACCAAGATTCCAAGGCTCCGGATCCCGAATGAACCCCTGTAGAATCGGTGGACCCGGCAAAAATCTCGGGGACGGGATCGGGGGATGCTCGTGTGGACGGTGGGCCAGCACCGCCGGCGGGGCACTGGGTAACACACACATCCATCCACTTGGGAGGAACCCAGCACCACCACACCACACCTCTTTGCTCTCAACGCAGGCGCAGTTACACAATGGGAGGGTTGATCTTCTCAACCTGCAACACGACACAACGTAATGGCATTCATGCAAACTGCTTCTTGGACATCTCTCGCGCGTCTGCGGCTGTACCTGCTTGAGAGATCATCATACTCTTACATGTTTTCTTGTTTCTTTAATAGTACCTAACGTAAGGTCTGCTTGATACCTATGTACCCAAACATGTACATCCGTCGCCCCTATATGTAAGTATAAGTTGAGATACCTGCAAACAGAGCGGAACCTCCGCAACTTTACTGTGTAGAGCATGTAGCCCAGCCCTTGGGGCAGCCAAAAAGTTACCCCGCATGACGAAGACGGGTTCGATGGAGGGGCAGCTGCTGCATTCAACCTCCGATTCGGGGGAGACCCGACGGGGAAGTGAGAGAGTCTCTCGTCATTCGTCCCTTTCTCGCTCGCTTTTCTCGCTCGAATTCTCCCGCGGTCCCCAAGTGTCGGGTCGGTAATTATCAACCCATTCCCCACGCGAACCCACGGTAAGAGGGATCCCGAGTACCTGAAAGTTGGCTGCAACAACCCGCCGATCATCTCTTCCTTGCTACCTTACCAAGTACAACCAGCCCACGCGCCGTCTTTTTGTGTCTCGTGTTTGGCTGAACATTGGCCTTTCCGCCTTACTCAGCTTCGTGCAAGCCAACGCTTTCCCATCTCCAAATTCTTCCAATTGGTCACCACGACCAGTCTTTACTCGCAGAAACTCTTTGCAAAGCACTCCTCCCCCGCCAACGGACCAAGCTCCTATTACCAAACAGCTAACCACCCCCCCGCTCTCTGACCGGAGAGCCTGAACTCTGAATCTCAAAGGAGCTTCCTCTCTCTCTTGTCTTTGCAGCTCTTTCAAATTCTATAAGACGTAGACCTCTTTGTCTGTTTATTTCCAGACGCTGTCCGTATCTCAAATCAACTGCTGTATTGCGTGTATTCTAAAACAGCTACGCAAACGACCCCGAACCGGCATTACAGCTTTCTACTCTCGAAAGCTTCGAATTATCTGCCAATTCCACAATCCTTCTCACCGCAAATCCTACAATATACACAGATTTCCGCCCACAATGGCACGCTACGTCGTCGCGGAGAGCGCGGGCGGCCAACCCCCCAAGAGACAGCTCCGCAAGTGGTGGAAAGAGAGCTCCGTATACCAAGTCTACCCGGCCTCGTTCCAAGACTCGACCGGCTCGGGCGTGGGCGACCTCAAGGGCATCATCGACCGCGTCGACCACTTCAAGTCCCTCGGCGTCGACATCGTGTGGTTGTGCCCCATCTTTGAGAGTCCCCAGATCGACATGGTGAGTTTTCTGGCAGGCAGTACTCCCAAAGACATTCATGACTTACCAAGCGGACGTCTACTAGGGCTACGACATTAGCAACTACAAAAAGATCCACGAGCCCTACGGCACCGTCGCCGACGTCGACACCCTCAAGGACAAGCTCCACGAGCGCGGCATGAAGCTCGTCCTCGACCTCGTCGTCAACCACACCAGCGACCAGCACGAGTGGTTCAAGCAGTCGCGCAGCTCAAAGGACAGCCCCTATCGCGACTGGTACATCTGGCGCAAGCCAAAGTACGACGCCCAGGGCAACCGCCAGCCTCCCAACAACTGGGCCTCCCATTTCCAGGGTCAGTTCTCTCAGGTCCTCCAATACTTCCCCAGGGCTCCTGTGCCTCCTGGAAAGCTTGTTGAAACCGCCTAATAAACGATGACGGGAAGCTCGACTGACATCGGACGTCTACATACAGGCAGCGCGTGGGAATACGACGAAGCAACAGACGAATACTACCTCCGCCTCTTCGCCCGCGAGCAACCCGACCTCAACTGGGAGAACCCCAAAGTCCGCGCCGCCGTCCACGACATCATGCGCTTCTGGCTCGACAAGGGCGCCGACGGCTTCCGCCTCGACGTCATCAACTTCGTCAGCAAGCCCCAGGACTTCCCCGACTCCAAGCAAGAGGTCCTGCCCGGTTCCGAGCTCTACTCGGCCGGGCCCAGGCTGCACGAGTACCTCAAGGAGCTGGGCGCCATCCTGCACGAGTACGACGCCTTCAGCGTCGGGGAGATGCCCTGCGTGAGGGACTTGAACGAGGTGATCAAGAGCGTGAATGGCGATCGCGGGGAGCTGAGCATGATTTTCCATTTTGAATTGTATGATGCAACCTCTTTTACCCCTTTCCCCCCTTATTTTGTTTTTCCACCATCAGCAGTGTAACTAACAAGCATCTCCTCCCCCCTTTCCAGCGTCGACATCGACATCGGCCCCCACGGCAAATTCTCCGCCAAAGAATGGGACCTCGCAGAGCTCAAGGGCATCGCAAACAAGTGGCAGCGCTTCATGTACGACCACGACGGCTGGAACGCGCTGTACCTCGAGAACCACGACCAGCCGCGCTCCGTCAGCCGCTTCGCAAATGACGCGCCGCAGCACCGCGTCGACAGCGCAAAAGTCGTGGCCATGTTCCAGGCCCTCCAGGCCGGAACACCGTTCGTCTACCAGGGCCAGGAGATTGGCATGGTCAACGTGCCCAAGGAGTGGCCGATGGAGGAGTACAAGGACATTGACTGTCTGAACCACTGGAAGTGAGTAACGCCGTCACAGATCCTTGGTTGTGAAATTCTCGGTTTGAAAACACTACGAGAATTCTGCGATGCTAACAACCCCCCCCTCAACCAGCTTGCACAAGGACTCCAAAGATAAGGAATACCTCAAATTCCTCAAATCCCAATACCAGAAGAAATCCCGCGACAACGCCCGCACACCAATGCAGTGGACCGCCGCCCCCAACGCAGGCTTCACGACACCCCAGGCAACCCCGTGGATGACGGTGCACCCGAACCACACGGAAATCAACGTCGCCGTGCAGGTCTCGGACCCGGCCTCCGTCTTCAACTTCTGGAAGATGGTCCTCGCGACGCGCAAGCGGTACCTCGACATCTTTGTCTACGGCGACTTCGCGCTCGTGGACGAGAAGAACGAGAAGATCCTGGCGTACGCAAGGCGGGCCGAGGACGGCGCCGTGGCGGTCGTGGCGTGTAACTTTTCGAGCGAGAGGGTCAGTTGGGAAGGACTGAAGGCGGAGAGCGTCAAGGAGGTGCTGGTTTCCAACGGCGGCAAGACGGTGGAGGATTTCAGTGGGGGTAAGGTCGAGTTTGGACCGTACGAGGGAGCGGTCGTGCTTCTGGCCTAGGTTCTTGATTCTTGGAAGCGGTTGGGTATAAAAACTAAATTATAGAATGTAGACAAAAATCTGGAGTACTACTTTTGCGTTTTCCTTATCCAGATGTCTTTGTGCCTTTTTGGGACTGTTAATCATTATGTTACGGCTTTTGATCTGGTGGATAGTCAGAGATAGATCCAGGTGATGGAGAGGCCAAATGAGGATGATGGCTTACCTAGATATTTGGAAACCACGCTCTTGATTCTATCATTTGACGTCTGAACGCCAGAGTCTGTGCTTCAGTCTTGGCCAAGAAGTTGGCATTTGTGTCACTTCAAGTCGAGTGCTTGCCCATGCGTACCATCAACTCTTACGGCTCTAAACGATTTCTTTTGACCCACAAGGATCCTCAACGGCCACAAATCGTGAAGCGGCCCAGAATGGTAGTCTACTACTCATAAGACCTCTGCAAATTGGCCGAAGACTGCGTCGGGCTGTGGAACACGCCCGGATTCCCCTGCACCGACGCCATCCAGTCGTCGTTGGCGACGTTGTCCCACAGAGCCCCATTGGCAAAGAGCATATCGAGCGTGCCGTTGGACTCGACGGTGTTGAAGGAGCCGTCAAAGTGCTGCAGCTGATCAATCAGGTCGTGGGGGGCGCCGGAGCCCATCTGGCCGGTGGACTGATCCCAGACGGGAGTTCTGCCGATGCCCTGTCGCTGAGGTGAGAGTGGTACTGTGTTGCCGTTGGTCATGCCCTGCGCAGAGGTACCATCTTTATCAAACATTGGTGAAAAGTTGGAGTGAGATGGTTGTCCATAGGTCTGAGATACGCCATTGATGGGTGCAAACATGTCTGCCTGGCCGTTCGCCGCCGCCGCTGCAGCAGCAGCATGATTCCCGTCATCCCGCCACTGGTCGTCGTCGACTTCCTGGATCCTCGACGTCGGGCTTCTGTTCATGATCAGCAGCGGGCCATCCTGGACCTCGGCTATGCGGGCGCAGAGCATCTCCAAGAGGGCTTTATTGCCGCCGCGACACGAGGCGAGAACCCTTTGCAGCTGGAGGAGGATGTCTCTCGGGCCGTCGGTGGAAGTACGAGGAAGACGAAAGTTGTTCGCCACGGCATCCGTCACTGCGCTGGCAATCTCGTAGATTTTGAACTCCTAGTAGTCAAATTAGTAAAGCGGAATACGATATATACATATATGTATATTTGTCCGATATGGGGCCTTACGATTCCGGGGCCATGGGCTTCAATGGCTGTGCTGGGAAGTTGTGAAATCAACTGGAGAAACTCCTTGGCGATCTGGATGGGGTGCGATAACGAGGTGACGGTGTTATTGTTGCCGTTAGAAGACCAAGCGCGGCCGTGGTTCATAGTGACTTTCCACAGCACGGCCTGCATCCATTGACGCGTCACAACGATATCAGCTCGCTGGACATCGTTGCTCGCGTCAGAGTCCAGGGGAATTTGCTGAAGCTTCTGCTGCACAACATCGAGACACGCTCTACTAGCCGTTTGAAGGCCGTCTGCCATGGACCACAGGGCGTCCTCATCGTCCGAATTCTGGAGAATGTCAAAGGCGCCGCTTTGGTCGAATATCCAGAAGAGGTCGGCCAGCTTTTTAAACGCAGGTAGAATGTGGCCCTCATCCTCGCCAACCCCTGAACCGTCCAGTGACGGAAACCGAGTGTTAGACTTGAGAGCCACGGGCAACTTGTGAAGCATGGCCACGCCTCTGCCCTTCTCGTCAGAAAGCAGCTCGATGCAGAATCTTCAGGGGTAGAACAAACCTTTCCGTGACAAATAGTAGCCAAAGTGTCCTCCTCCGCATCTGCTGCTCCGCCAAGGGCAGAGCCACGTACGACGACTCCTTGTGCAATCCCATGATTTGAGCAATGGTAATAGCCTCTCGGAGGTAGAGAAGCGACTTAGCCCCTCCGGGCTGCTGATTCTCGTGATAGACGTGGAGGAAGAAGGACGTCCTCAGCCAGTTGAGGTTCATGGGCGGGCCTCCCTCGCGTTCCTGGAGCACCATTCTCGACCGCTGGCACTCGGCCTCCATCGAACCTGCCGTCGCCGGGTCGTCGTTGTCAGTCGTGGCCAGCTTGAGCTGAGCAATGGTGGCAGCTCCCACGGCGTTGGCCAAGACGTATGATTCGAGGTCGTCAGCGTCGCGGGACAGTGAGGCCATGATGTCTTCGACTGCAATAATGGGCCACACGGGGAAGAGACGCAGGCGGTAGATACACAACCTCAAAACCAGTGATGCGCTGGGCGTCCTTTGCGGCTGAAGAGCATTCTCTTGCCGGACGAGTCGTTGCCCACTCGCGGCGCTCCCAGTGGCTTCGGATGATCCTCCCTCGGAGGATGATGGGGACCGGGATGAGGACGGAACGCCCGAAGAGGCGGCGGCAACAGCCGGGGTCGAAGCGGAAGCCCCATCACCGGTAGGTGAGACGGAGGATGCAGAACCGGCGGTACCGGTGGTGCCAGCGGCGGCAGAAGCAGAAGCAGAAGCACCAGCAGCCGTAGCAGCAGCAGAGCCCTCCTTCTGGGCCTGGGCAATCTGGCGTATCGTCTTTGCCCTCAGGTTCCGTGGGCCCCTAGTGGCGGGGACCTTGTTGAAGGTGCATGATGTCCCGATGGCGACGCAGCCGTCACAGGGCGGGACCTCTGTGCATTTGATCTTGCGGATCTTGCAGGCGTCACAAGCTCTTTTGCCAATCTTGCGCGCGGATGACATTGTCTCCGCGAAAGAGACGGGAAAGAAGACGAAAAGAGGGGAGGGGGGAGAACAACGTCGGCCCTGCTACCCTACTCGTGCCGTGTCATGGCAGCTCGCACCTGCCGTGGACTGACTTTCTTTTTGGGGATTCGCCAGGTAATACGTCAAAGTTGTGGATGTATGCAAGCTGTGTGAGGCCGGATGTTGTGAAGTCTGTCACTTGCACCAGAAGAAACGGGTCCCCAGGTTCCCGGCTGGCTGGGCTTGACCAAGACTGTGTATCCGTAGTTCTTAGGGGCTTAAGTGGGTAAGCGAGGTGACAAGCACGTAAGGGTATGAGGTACGAGGATCAGACGATACTGGCATAATCTGAGTGGGAAAAAAAAACTGGTGTTCCTTGCTTGGTTCGAATCGAGCAGAGTAAAAGCTGTCACCGGCGCCTACACGTCTCGAGGTGACTGAGAGAGACACGGAAAGGTTGGACCAAGAAAAATGGGGATGAGAGAGCATCTGCGGACGTCTGAGATGCGCAGGGTGGAGTCGACGACCGATGGTGTGCTCGCCGCGCTAAGCCGATCAGGGGAGCTGTGGACCTTCCGCCGTGCCTGCCTCCCTGCAGCTCGACACGCTTGAGTCGAGAAGGGCCGGGGACCGTAGGGGCTTGAGGGGGGCTTGGGGTCGACAGGTGGCGCCCGTTAAGGGATCTTGGCGCTGTATTTCCCCGCAAATTCGGCCTCTCACTGCGGTAATGTCCTTGACCGCTGTCCGGGCCGCCGACCTCCCAGCGATATGGTCCAGCCCGGGATGTCACACGGGGCCAATCAGCGTTCATCCATTATTACCTAAGTGTAGGTACGTAGAGAGGTATCTCGAATTTCAAGCGAACAAAACAAACGAGAATATGCATCTTTCTACGAAGAACACTAAGGTAGGTAGCACGATGTTGTAATTGTCAATTAACCTGATTGGGAGTGCAATGCGGATATATCGTGTATAGTGTAATTAGTTGAAGAAAAGTACGATGCCTACTAGCGCATGCATGGTAGACCTTGTTCTCGTCATTTTGGTCTCTGCCATCTTTATTAATTATAATATTGTCCTTTTCATGGACTGGTATCCAAACTTATATCACCCATCAAAGTTTTAAAAATTGTCCTCGAGCTATACTCATGCATATACGCATACACTGCGTATGGCATGATTACCCTCCTAGTAGACAAATCTGAAATCCAAACGCTTGTTTCCGTCTTGCTCGCGCGCCGCGGCATCACTCTGGTACGCCAGCCGCTCCTCGTTGGACATGGCGTCCCATACCCGCGCCTTGCGCTTGTTCAGCAGCACAAGGACCTGTCGGTGCACCAGGAACACGACGAGACTGAAAGCGCAAATCGACACGCAGACCGTGTTGCCGCGCTTGTAGTACGGCGCATCGTAGGCGCGGTAGATTTGGGATCCAGCGAGGGACCCGATCTGCACAATGACGTTGTACGTCGCTGCCGAGATGGCGCGCTTCTTGACATCGAACGTGTTCTCCGAGATCCACGATGAAACGATTGGGTGGAAGTAAGGGTAGCCAGAGATGAGCGTAATAACCGAAAATCGGCTCCATTCGCGCCCACCATCCGGCAGCGTGAGGAGGGTGATGAGCAGGGGCATGATCCAGAGCTCGCCAAAGATGCAGTGGAACGCCCGCTCCTTGAAGTAGTCGCTGCTGAAGGCCAGCGTGAGCATCGTAATGATTTGCAACACGGCCGAGGGCACCGTGAGCATATTGGCGTTGAACGTCGTGAAACCCAGGCGGCGGAGGGTGAGCGTCAAGTACGCCTGGACGGGCGTGGCCGGAATGTAGGCGACGAGGCCGATGAGGTACAGACCCCACATGGAGGGATCGAGCCATGCATTCTTGATGTCCTTGAACGTCATGGGCTCCTTCAGCGCAGTGAGGCCCTTTGCGGGGTCGTCACGGAGGATGCGGTTGATCATGATGACCTCCTGTCTCTCAGTGTACCACGGCTTTCTCCAGAGGACCGTCGTAGTATTCGTCGGGGAGGCGGGGAGCCAGAGGAATGCCTGTAACAACATGGGGTCAGTGGGGGGAATCCTTATGAACCACCATACCTCGGGAGAGAGAAAGCGGGGGAGAAAACGCGGGCAGACATACCATGACAGCCAAAACACAAGTCAGGAGACCCTCTGAGCGGCTAGTCAGCGACAAGACACACAAGGTACGAAAAGGTGAGGGAGCAGATCACATACCCAACAGGAAGAGCCAGAACCAGCCTGTGTGTCCACCAATGCCGCGCATCTTGAGGATACCCGCCGCCAGCAGAGCCGAGATGACTCGTGCAACGTTGAGCGTGGACCAAAACACGGCCAGTCGAACAGACAGCTCCTTTGATGTGTAGAAGTAGGTCGCGAAGAGAATAGTACCAGGAATGAAGCCACCCTCGCAGGCGCCGATGAGGGCTCTCGTCACGTAGAAGCCGGCGCGGGTCGTGATCCAGGCCTGAGTCCAGGAGACGGTTCCCCACATCATCATCATGGTCGGCAGAACGTACTTGAAACCGAAGCGCTTGGTGAGGAACTGGACGGGGAATTCGGCGGCCAGGAAGCACACCAGCTGAATTGTGGTTCCCTACAGGAGCGTATGTTAGCAATTGCGATGGTCAAAGAGGCAGACTGCCAGAACGTACGTTGTTGTAGTCGTCACTGCTGAGCTTCAGGTCTTTGAGGAAATCATCTGCCAGAGCATTGCTCAAGTTTCCTCTGTCCAATTGCAGGCCAAAGAACTTGTTGAACGTTAGCAAAACAGCTTCTCATCACCTCAAAATGGCTTCGCATACCATGATACACAGCATCGTCAGCAACTTGATGTCGGTGATGCGAACCACCTTCCTCTCCTCGGCCTCGGTCCAGGTCGCGGCGGGATCCCATCTGTGCTTTCCTTCGTAAGACTCATGCGGCGGCACGAGGTCAGACAGATTCTCGCGACCGATGACAGGCGCGTCCGAGTCCTGATAGATGGACACGGCGTCCTTGCCGCTGTCGCTGGCCGTTTTCCGCGCGGGGGGCTCGACGTCGGCCATCTTTGCTGTTGCTACCGCTACCGTCGCTTGGTTCAGGCGAGAGAGCTCGTGTAAGCAAGAAGTGAGGTGGAGGCCGGAGCACACACACTTGCCCGAGGTTTCGCTTGCGAAGAAAAAGGGAAACAAAAAGGTAGCGTAAACCGACGGTGATCGACACGAAGCTCCAGTCTCAAGGACGGAGACGTTCTTGATGCTCAACTTAATAGTCGTTCCTCAAACTTCTGATATGTCTGATTGAGGCTAGCAGATCATGGCTCACGACATCTATGCTCGGTCTTGCGTCTTCGAAGGAACCCACATACTAGTGGAGGTGAACCATGTGGTCGGACAAGGGGGCCAAGGGCGAGAGAGAAAAGATGGTGTTGACAACTTTTCTGCTGCTGCTGATAGCGACCGGGTCCGGATGGCCTAGCCGGAGAAGTGAGAGTTGGTTTCTCAAAAAAAAAAAAAACCTTACCCCAGAATTCTCCGCCTACCGATTAAAACCCCGGGCTCTCGGAACGACACCCCCTGGTAACGTGTCTTGGCCAACGGGCGATGTCATTGTCAACATAGTTTTGACTACATGTCATCTGCCCTTTTCTCTGGCGAACGACGACTTCACGTTGAATCGGGGTTTCATTCGTGTTTTCTGTTTTGCTTGTGCCCATGTGGAGGGTGTCGACAAGAAAGGCTTGTGACAAGGAACGGAGCAAATATGCCAGTGGGCAAGGTAGCCCCGGTAGCTAATGTGCCCAGAGCAAAGACGTGATGCTGCCGCGTCCGTTTTCAAGTCCGAAAGATTCTCCGACGAGGACTGCGAGTTTCGAGACTATGAGGCAGAGCAGGAGAGGGGGAGGTGTGTGTGTGTGGGAGGTTAGATGGCTGAGTGTTGTCTCCGGAGGCGGTGCCTGAGGTGCCCCCACTCCGCTGATTGGCCACGGCTGACAGACTTCGCCGAATTAGGAAGCTTTGCGATTGCGCCATCGCCCACCGGTCGGGAGCCTCCGTAACGACGAGGACTCTAAGTCTCTGAGTACTCCGTAATACCTGCCACCCGACCAAGGGGAGGCCATCCTCGTTGGAGAAAACGTCTGACGATCTTCTTTCCCTCCTCACCCCATTTCACTTTACTGGTTACTCCCCGATCTCGCTTTGAAAGCATACAGAAGAAAAAAGAGGAACAATACTCTCCCTCCTTATGATAACGTACGTGGAGAGTGACAGGACATAACGGGTGCTCCGGACATAAAATCTAGCCATATATCTCTCTCATAAATCTTCCCTTTCGCTTATCAGATCTTACCTCACACACCCCCAAACAAAACATGATCGACGACACTCTCAAGCGCCCTGCATCAACAGACTATACCACCTCACACCCCGTGAAATCACAAAAGATCATCAACAACAACAACGACATGCCTTCCGCAGTCTCTACCGGTTCCAACATTGTTGGCGGAAACTCGGCGGCTCGCCCCCGCTTGAGCAAGCCGCCGGTCTACTCCGGTTCTCTGGACAACTTCAAGAACGCAGACATCACCCCTGTCATTGGTCGCGAGTATGAGGGCCTGCAGGTCGTTGATCTTCTCAAGGCCGACGACCAGGTCATTAGAGATTTGGCCGTCACAAGTGAGTTCCTCGTTCATATCTCTATGCATATCAAGCCATGTGCTAATAGAAGGCTTAGTTTCTCAGCGTGGTGTCGTCTTCTTGAGGGACCAGGATGTGACGCCCACCCAAATGAAGGATTTCTGCCTCCGTCTCACAGAGCTTGCCGGATGTGTAAGTGAGAATCAACAACCTCAACTCAACTTGTAACCCAGCTCCCTGACCTGATCCGAGAAATAGCCCGAATCATCAGGCCTTCACATCCACCCCCTGACAGAAGAAGGCAGCGAGCTCGGTGACCAAATCAGCGTCATCAGTAGCGAGAAGCAGAAGAAGGGCGGCGGCCTCACCCACCAACTGAGCGATGTCAGCCGCTTCGCCAGCGCCGGCTGGCACACCGACATCTCTTTCGAGCAGGTCCCCTCGGACTACGCAATGCTCAAGATCCACACCCTTCCCGCCACCGGTGGTGACACTGTAAGTCCCAAACCAACCGGCGTCCCGTCCCCCATCTCATCTCTCTTCCCCTGGAAAGGCTGGCTGGAACTACCCGGACCCTCCCCCTTGCTCACTTGCTTGCTTGCTTTGCTCGCCATCAAACCCTTGCAGTTGCATTGCAGATGAAAGGTGGAACCTTGCCCGGCTAACTGGGTGAACTCGTAGCTGTGGGCTTCTGGATATGAGATCTACGACAGACTCTCCCCTCCCATGCAGAAGTTCCTCGAAGGGTTGACGGCCACCCACGACGCCACATTCTTCCACGACGAGGCCCGCAGGCTGGGTAACCCCCTCCGAGAAGGCCTCCGCGGCTCGCCGCTGAACAAGGGCTCCGAGCTCAAGTCCATCCACCCCGTGATCCGTACCAACCGTAAGTATAATGCCCGTCCATCACATCACTCCACCTCTAGTCAAAAGCAGTCCAAAGAAAAAGGTCTAGAACCTCAAGCTGACAAACTCACTTCAGCCGTAACGGGATGGAAGTCCGTCTACGTGAACAAGGGCTTCACCAAGCGCATCAACGGCGTCACAAAGGACGAGTCCGACGTCCTCCTCGCCTACCTCTTCAACCTCGTCACCCAGAACCACGACGCCCAGGTCCGCTTCAAGTGGCGCCAGAACGACCTCGCCATCTGGGACAACAGGAGCATGTGGCACTGCGCCACCTACGACTACGTCGAGGCCAGGGCCGGCGACCGCGTTGCCTCGTTGGGCGAGGCGCCGTATCTCGACCTGAACAGCACGGGTAGACGTGAGGCGTTGGGGCTGTGAAGAAAGGAATGTTTGACGAAAAAGTTTTGGATCACGAACGGCGTTGGGTTTTTGGTAGTTCTGAGATGAAATTGGTGTTAGGCCTTTGACGAATTGAAGTTTGTTAGCATTATGAGAAAGACACGGCACTATGAATCATTGTTGGAAGAATCATCCATTGCATGCTTGCTGTGGCATAAGGTAATCTGTTTCATGATGCTATAAATATCAGTCAACCGCCACATGCTAGCGATTCTATCCCATTGCCCCTGGCTGCCATGCTCGCTCAAAAAGCCGTCCTTTCATCACCCTCTTTTCTCATCATCGCTTAGTTGATCTACAGTATCGCCAGTATCTTCGTGAAGCAAGTCTCCAATCCACTTGCTTTCTTCGAGTATGCTTCTTGCTTCCTCGGCTTCCACTACCATATCATCAGATATCAACAGCACTGCCAATTCCGGGACCAACACTGCCTCCACATAGCTAGAATAACCACGCGACGATATCAGCCGATCGTCGACGGCTCGTTCTCTCAGAATCGATGAAAAGCGACCGATAATGTGCTCTGAGAATGCACGAAGGCCCCGCGGGCCGTAATAGCCAGGCGTCAAGCTATCTTCTGCCTTGAGCAAGGTCCGGTTCTTGCCCTCCTTGACCTTGTCAAGCAGCAAATCGCCAAAGTGAGAAGATCCGCCGTTGATAATCTTTCCAAGGAAGCTATAGTGAGTGGCGATTCGAGTATCAAGTCCCTCCCAGTCGATCTTGGGGTAACCCCGAGCATCCCAAGCCTTTTCAGCAGACTTCTTTTTGTGCAGTCGGCAGAACTGAATCTGCTTTCGGATGTGCAGACGGGCACCCTTGGAGAAATCTTGCAGTAGCTTCTCATCGACAATCTCATTGCACATAGGGCAACGTGCCTCTGCAAGCTGCTTGAGGTCGCTGTCCAAGTCTGACAAGTCCGAGGATTCAAATGAGAATTTCCTCGTCTTCTTCAAATGAGACTCGGGACTTGACTCTATACTGCGAAGCTGTGGGCACGCATTCGTTGGACTCTGCAGAGACTCAGGCAGGGAAGCGGATGGAAGTTTGAATTCGGCCTTTGCTTTTCGCTTTGGTGATGAATGAGGACTGAGAGATACATGCTTCATGACAGGATGAGCAGAAGCGTGAGGAGGAGAGGATAGAAACGTGGCCGCAGGCTCAATGATGCGTTTTGGAGGTGTCTGGCTCAAGAACTGGTCAAATGGGTCGTCATCGTATGCTTTGAAAGACGGCTGCACCATCTTGGGCGCGGAAGCTGATCAATGGTTAGTAACCCCATAGTTTTGAAGCCAGTGTACAACAAACCTTCTTTTCCTAGCTTGGACATCGGCCTCTCTTGCGATGACTTCGGTTTTGACTTTGTGGGAGGTCTGATACGCCCTCTGTTGTTTTCACCTCGACCATAGCTCTTCTTCCGTACTAGTAATCTTTTGGCCTCTTTCTCGTCGTCAAAGTCGATTTTCCGGGCCTTTGTTACCTTAGATTCTGGACTAAGTGCTCCACCGTCTGGTGAGTTTCTCTTGCTGCCACGAGTTGTGGAGAAGGAACCCTGAGAGCCTTTGTATTGCGCTTGTCCTTGAGAGCTTTCCTGTGAAGCGCTCCACGTCTTGCTCTGCTCCTTTCCTCTCTTCGATGAGCCGAAATAAGGTCGAGCCATGTCGGCGCGGGATGACCAGGCACTCTGATCATCATCAGAGTCTGAAGCTGGTTTTGTACTCGAAAAGACCCGAGACGCCTCTTTCGAGCTTGGCATGGCCTTCGAAGGGATCGATCCCCTGCAAGGTTCTGGATCGGTAATCTCATCATCAGAGTCATCAGGTGGCCGGTCTACCGGTCTGTCGTCGGCGACTAATGTCCGTCGCTGGCCATTGACCTGTGACAATAAAGGCCGAACGCGGTTGTCTCTCGCAAGGCCAGCTCGCCTCTGCATCGTTGCCTGCTTTGGGGGCATGTTGACCCTGAAAATGCCTTACAATGATGCCTAACAGAGCGTTGGGTCGACTGAGTTATGCTCTCGAAAGGCAGAAGTATCGGTAATCAAGTATTGCCTGCGGAGACAGCAGGCATCTCACACGGAGCTCAACATCAGTCTCCGGCCGGGTTCGCTTCCGCTTCCGGTTCAATCCCTGATAATTTGTAATGGAGGTTGGCGAACATATGCAAGGTGATCAACGACAACCCCCAATTGACATTGAGTCTTCGTACGTAGCCTCGACCGATAAATGGTCTTCTCAATTGCGGAGGAGACGTTGTTTGTTCGGCCCCCGGAGCCACAAAATTCGCTGCCGCTTGAGGTTAAGTGGAAGTGCTGACCCGGGGAAAAGGTGGAAGCTACAATCGCGTTCTCAACGCGTGCCTGCCCAAGCACCGGCCAAGCAGTGTATAAATGACCCCACCCCACTCTGTCAATGGGGGTACGTCCACGTTAGCGGGAAACCCCTGGTGGCTCAGTGACTTTTGGCGCAGAAGCTGGAGCTCCCCATCCTGCGCAGGGGTCTTTGATTGACTGTTGACTTTACTACTCCGTACATCGACAACTGGGCCGTTAAGCTTCACGGGCGACGCCTTACCGACGACTCGAAAGGGGTGCATTGCCAGACAACGCGTCCTCATCCGCCGAATCCCCCGATTCTACCCTGATTCTTCGTCATGGCGTTGAATCGGAAATACGCAGCATTACCAGACCTTGTCAGCATACTCATACTACTAAATGCCAAGCAGACAATACTGACGAGGTTCAGGACTCGGCCCCGGACGTGTACGAGACGCCAGAGCTGACAGACGACACCTCCACTGTTCCTGTGCGTTTCTTACCCTGAGATCGTCTGCTATGGCTGACCAGCGCGCAGACGACAACCGGACAATCGCATTCGGATGACGATTTCGACGACGACCTCGACGATGACGCCAACGGCATTTCAAGGTCCCGACTTCGGGTAGATGAAGCACGATCTCGTTTCCTTCCGGCGGGCGTGGACGCCACAGGGGTCGACTTTTCCGATCGAGTAGACGGCAAGCGCAAATCGTACAAGGCATCAACGAGACGCCAGCGTTTCCTGCAGGATGGTACGGAGCAATTCGGCGATCTTAGCGACGAGGACGACGAGGACAGCCTGGAACGCAAGATAGCGCGGCTGCAACGAGAAGTAGAGGAAGCCAAGGAGGAGTACGGAAAGAGGAAGGAGGCTTCAGCAAAATCTACGACAGGAGACCATGACGAGAAATTGGGGTCTCTCAGCAAGGTCCTGGACGAGATCTCTAAAACTCTGGAACCGCATACGAGCGCTTCTCGCGCACTTCAGCCAGTGTCTCAATCATCTGGACCATCCAAGAATGAATCGCAAGACTTGGTGGCACCGGGGAACTCTGCAACCTACACAGTAACGTATGCTCCTACCTACGAACAGAGTCACGCTCTTGCCACCGCCGCGGACTTTGACCGACGACTGGTCCTCCTTGAGAAGGCAATCGGAGTAGGATCAACCGCCCTGCCGGAAGTCGACATCAATGGGCTGCCCAGAGCCATTCTTCCCACGCTTGATGGGCTTCAGAAGCAGATTACGACTCTGTCGCAGGCGTCAACATCGAATCTAGATTCAATCAGCCGTCGAGTCCGTACCCTCATCCAAGAAGCTCAGGAGCTGGAAAAGGCACGCCAGGGGGCTAAATCTGCGCAAGAAACCCTCGGCAATGGTACGGCATCTAGCGAAGATGTCCCGCCCCCCGAGCAGCTGGCAAAGATTAACGCTCTTTATGGGACTTTGCCGACCATTGAGAACCTCGCTCCTCTCTTACCACCGTTGCTTGACCGCCTGAGGTCCCTCCGCGCAATCCACTCTGACGCTGCCACTGCGAGTGAGATGCTCGGCAGAATTGAAAAGCAACAAACCGATATGGCGACGGATCTTAAGCAATGGAAGGACGGGTTGGAAAAGGTCGAGGAGGCGATGAAGGAGGGTGGCACTGCCATGACCGGAAACATGAAGGTCATGGAGGCATGGGTAAAGGACTTAGAGGGACGCATTGCGAAGTTGCCATGATTGACTTCCGCCGTCAAAAGATACCCCTGCTTTAATAGAACAATCGAGCCGAGTTACAAACCTCTTGCGGACGTGTCCATAATCTGGCCCTCGATGTGTAGTCGTAGAAGGCTGGGCCCTTGCGAGGTTTTAGGATCTAAGCTTCCCAACTTCGACGTGCATGTATGTCACTACAAACCCCATTATGGAAAGCCAGAAATAATCATCAAAGCACCCTGGATGAACTCCGCAACCCGATCAAAAAACATTGTAGATGTCAGATGCGTTCGAAATACAGCAAAATTTTTGCCAGTTTCTACTTCCGCAGACGCCCACACGGCTTCCGTCCGGTGCATCGGCATCTGTTTCTTACAGTAAGGTAGGTAGAGTGGTCAATAGACAATGCCCTTCACAAGTTCACATTCCTGTTTCTGGGCTATTAAGGTATTTGGGTATGCAGCACAAATATGGGGTTAATGATGGGTTTCGGTAAGCGGTGAACGCGGCAGAAACCAGATGGACATTGCGCCCGCCTCCCGACCAATGAGAGGGCGCTGGGTCTCTAGCACGCACCGTGGAAGGGTTTCCTTTCGCTAAAGCCCTTCCACAAGTCTTCGTAGCGAAAAAAAGATCGTACTCGCAGTCAACCATCAACCCGCGCAGCCCACCACCCAGCAGCACCTTCGCAACCACATACATGTACGTGTCGCGACGCCCGAGGAAAATTGATAGAGATCTTGATCGACTGACGTAGAATTTTCGCCAGCAGTCAAAATGGATTCCGCTAAGCAGCCTGTCAAGCTTGTGAAGGTCACCCGCGTCCTGGGCCGTACCGGTATGCCCCGCCTCTCTTCCCCCGAAAAATAGAGAAACGAAACCCTTCCCGACGAAGATCGAATCCACGATTGCAACCGAGACGGAAGGAGGGACGAATTTTTGGCAGATTTTCTGACTGCGTATAGGCTCCCGCGGTGGTGTCACCCAAGTCCGCGTCGAGTTCATGGACGACGAGACCCGTTCCATTATCCGTAACGTCAAGGGACCCGGTAAGCGACCACCGAATACCTGCGACCGCCTCCTCACCGAATGAGGGGGCAACAGCGACAAACGCGCGAAGGGAACCAAGAACACTGGCTAACATCTGTCTCTCTAGTCCGTGAGGACGACATCCTCTGCTTGCTCGAGTCTGAGCGTGAGGCCCGCAGACTGAGATAAGGCAGCTGAATCGGCGGCGGCGTGTGTTATGGACATTACGAGGAACGGAATCATGGTTCTGAGGATGGGACAGGAACATTGCGAGGGCTTCGTCACCCGAGCCCACGGCTTTCGTGTTTAGAGGAGTCAAAAAACGGATTCTGCATTGCGAATACAGCAAGGTTCTCCCACCCAGCCGCGAGGCAACTCTGCACGAAGAACGACCTCGTGTACCTGTTTGTGATGCGACGCTGGAAGGGGCAAAGGGAACGGCGTCTACGAGATATATCAATCAATGGACAGCCTGGGAAAATTCATCAAACATCTTCTGCACCAGTTCTTTGCATCTCGACTGACTGCTATGTGATTCATGCGGCTTGGGTGATACTATTCCCTCGGGGAAACGATATGAGAAGGCGACGTCTGCAAGGGATATCTTCAACCAACTTGATTGTCAACGTAGTCTTGAAACCTACCTTCAACATCAACTTCTACAGACCGCAACTGTCATCACAATCGCGAATTGCCCCGCAAGCTGGGCCTGAGAGCCGCAAAGCGCAAGGCCGCAAACTCCTTGGTATGTGTCACGTGACTGGGGTCAACGAAAATTTCCTTGGACTGCCCCACTCCCTCATCTCTTGCAGCTATAAACTTCCCTGGATTCCCAATCACTTTAGCCTTTTCTCTTCCTTCACCCTCAACCCTTGAAAGGGGGCATTCCGCGAAGTGGTAAGTCAAACAGTCTCTATTTTTCTGCTCGTTACAACAGTTGGGATGATGTATCCAAATTAGCATGTATTACCTGAATTCTTTTGATGTATCAAAATTATCACCAAGATCTCTGACACCAACACTATCAACTACTCTTTTGTGTTCACTCCAAGCTTTTGTAGCATTGGCTAACCCAAACAAAAGATTGCAGATCTCTACCAATCATACTTCGAACATGGCTGCGGCTCCCAAGCCACCCAAAGAGCACTTCAACGTCCTGTTCTTTGCAAGCGCTGGCTCCTTCACGTCCAAACAATATGAGGTGTTACCAGCCCCTCTCCCCTTGAAGAAGCTATTCGATGCGCTTGAAGAGAGACACGGCGGGTTCAAGGAGAGGTTCTTAGAGTCGTGTTTGGTGACGGTCAACTTAGAATACGTAGATATCCCGGGGCCGGATGACGAGGACGGTCCGATGATACTGTCCGGCGATGAAGTAGCCATCATTCCTCCCGTCAGTTCCGGGTGAAGGGGTCCCGTCGGTGGCAGCCCTCGTACCTGTGACTTGGTTCATCATGTCGTCATGGGTACAGCAGGAGTCAATCTCTCCAGCAGCGCTTGTTTTTCGCTACCTGCCATCTCGCGTGCTCTGTGCTTGACCCAGCAACGGGTCGCGTTCGCTATCCTGTTGTTCTTGCGGTCGTTGCCAAAATTGCACTCGGCTCCAGTCACGCTTCCACAGCCGCCACCAGTCCGGGTCCTGCTTGCTCCGTCGTCTCCCCCAGCGTACGCCGAGCACGATCAAGGCCACCAACAAGACCACGACGAACGTCGACACTATGGAGATGATAGACGTCAGACTCGTGATAGTCGAAACTTGGCAGCCCAACGGCTTGGTGCGCAACTCCCATCGTTCCGCCCAGTGCGGACAAATGTTCTCGTCGTAGGCGGGTGCCAGCAATGGAATCGCATACGGATTAGGGACGCAGGCGGACGTCTATATCAAGGAACGCAGACACAGCATCACGAATTAGCAAAAAGAATCCGTTTCATCATTTCCGACTTTTGGCGTGGTAGAACGGTACCATGGGACACCAGCTGCATTCGTCCTCCGCCAGGCACACCTTGCAGTCCTGGTGGTTCCAGCACCGGAAGAAGTGCTCTTCGGATGATTCTCTGGCTGATGAGAAGTTGTGCTTCAGTTGCCATAGTTCTTCGGCGCTGAGTTTGTCCATCTTGTAAGAGTCCGGTATAGCGGCACAGGCGGCAGTAACGCGCCTACCTAAACTAGCCAATTGGTGATTGCGATTACGATTGGGGGTGGAAAGTGAATCTTGTGATGGAAGTTGCCAGTGGGACGAGTACGGGATGACACCGGAGTTGTGCGGGGAAGGAGCTGGTCGAGTTGGAGTCCGTGCGCCTATCACTTGGATCGCAGTCTCTCACAGTTCATCACTTCAACAAGCCTCGCGCTTCAAATCATAGCATCCTGATACCCATCATATGCATATAAGAGATGCCTTATTTATGGTCTGAGAACATTCCGTTTGAGCCATTTCAGCAGAGAACCTTGAATGCGGTCGTTCCTCGGACAAATCCCCCAAAGAAATTCAACATGACAAATTACGGCAGTATGTCCATTTGAGGTGTCCTTTCAAAGTATCGCCAACAAGCGGCGGCCACGGAACAAGACGGCCACCGGACACCGGCAACTATGCAGGTACCGCCGCTTGAAGGTTGCTCCCACGGGAACGTCAATGTCTTGGTCCTGCGGCTTGTTACGGATACTCCTCAGGGGCCAGTCCTGGAGGATGCTGCACTGCAAGCAATATAAGCAATTGGTCCCAAGATCACGGATTCGACGATCTCCCATCAATCGGCAACTTGGGAATAATACCCTTAGCGGCGACATGCCGGCAATTTATGGATAAATTACCCCTGCCTTCGAGAAGCAGCCGCAAGCCGACAACAGCTCGACAAGTATGTGATTCGAAAGCTGGGTACTTGCCTTCAGGGAGGCCTTCGGATACAGCTACCGATGTGAGTTGGACTTTGTGTATCAAGATACTTACAGCTATGGTGGTCACATGAGAAGATCATCTACGTGTATACCGATCTGGTCCTGTTCCAGGGCATGCAATTATTGCTGTCACCGAGGCTGTCGTGAGCTGTCATGCGCTGCCTAGACAGTCCACAGACTGCCGTTGATCGAAAAGTCGGCCCGGTTTAAAGACACTACGGACAAGAGGAAGCATGGAGGCGGCTGACTACCTAGGTATGTCTCGAACGCGACCATCGACTTGCGAGTCTGCAACGAGGAACGCGTCGGCTGAGAGCCGACTACGGTTAATCAAATCGCAACTCCGTTCGTGTTGGTTCAGTCACGGGCAAGACCCTGCAATCCAATGTTCTGCCGTTGGCATAGCGCGATCTTCCCTCTATCAACCACTACCGGGTGTCATTCAGCCTGATATCAGGCTAAATGGCTAAATGCATCGGGTGCCCTGGGTGGCGCCGGTCAACGACGTGGTATCCTGGCAGGAACCCCATGTGAGGCAGCGGCGCAGTAGCCATTTTTCAACCTCACGCTAGGAATCTCCAACCCCTCGAGTCTTCTCCAACAGTCAACTTGGACACGGTGCGATTCTCAGCGTTGTCGTGGGGCTCCGCAAACGCATCTCCACGACCCACGACGGTTTAGTGTAGAGGCAGGACCGTTCGACTAAGGAACTCGATCATTCATGCTAGGCATGAGCTGCTCAAGTGTCGTACCACTGACAGGCCTGGTGTGCGAGGCCTTCCCCAACACCCCCCACCGCTGTTTACACCCACGCTCGAAAGCACCCACGTGAACTCTTCACCTAGCAAGGATCCTGGCGAAAGTCAGTCAAGGAGTGATCTGACTGAGAATGGCAGGCCTTACCACTCTCGAGTTCTCTTTACAGGACGGGATGGTATGCAAAGTCGGGCTGTTCCGCTTCATCGTGGATCGACTGACAGTCGAGCAGCAGTATCGACGGAAGAATCTTGGCCCTCATGGTGACCCTCCGCACGGCGCACGCCCACGAATCCACACCCTCAATGACCTTGGGGAGGGTGGGTCTGTGGGTACTCAGAGAGGAGCGGTTCTCGGCCGACCAAGTTACGAGAGATTCGCATGCACCCGCTGTCGCCCCATTGCTGCGGAATCCATCCCGCCGGCACAAGGACTGATCGCGCTGAAAGCGCCATACGTCGTCAAGAGGCATATCATATCAGATCGCCATAAGTTACCGTGTGAGAAGCAGACTTGTCTCTAGAATCTGGATACGCCTCAGTGGTTTGAGTAAGCGCAAAAGGCCCGTCTAGCTTTTGGTACACTCTAGGCCCGCAGCCCGTGTCCTCAAAAATAACACCAATGGCACGGTGGAAAGCTTTACCGATGGTGTCTCTCTCTAAGCAGGGGTCCCTCCTCGACATTGTTGCATCGACGGGACGGAGGTGTCTGCACTTTCGGTTTGGCCTACCGCCTCATCGCAGCAAACTTTGGTCCCCGGACATGAGTACCGAAGCACCTTATTGAAGCATTTACTGTTTTTCATGCGTCGAAAGAGCTTCTCATTTTCACGTGGCGAGCAAGATTTCTCTCATTTCCCCAGGAATTATTTGGGATAATACGCGTGGGAAGCATCCATTGACTGATACTTCGTTACGGCCCCGGCGTGATTACTGCATCAAGCCGGCCCAGGGACGGCACGGCACACGGAAACACACGGAATAGAAAGAGTATACTTGGCGAGTCACGGAGGCGTCATGCCGGGTTTAAGTCGAGTCGCCATGTTCCCAGCGCCCACATTCTAGTGGTAAAGACGACCGATTTTAGCTTAGCGATGAGTCGTCCACCTCGGCCTTGTCTTCCCCGCAGCGGTCGACTAGTCAACCCCAAACTCGTCTAATTTTGCGGTTCTTTTTCTCTCCGTCCTCACTTGCTGGGATATCTCTGGGGTTAACTCTTAAGCGGCCGGCAAAAGCTGTCCGTCTTCTTCAGCCTCTTGTCCGAAACTTCAGCCATTGACGTCAACTGAAAAGCTCCCGGAACTGGTCTTCTCATCACCTCAATGTTCATACCCGTATGTTTACAACTTTCAGTCGTAGTCGAGCGTGTCGAGTCACTTTGGGGAAAGAGAATGGGACAACGGGCGGGACCGTCGCAGTCTCCACTTGAAAGGCAACCTCCCTGCTTACCTCCATCTCCTTCTCCACGGGACCCCAGGGGGAACGTTCAGCAAAGTGGGAACTCTCACACCTTTCGCCCTTTTCCCATCTAGTCTTGTCCTTGTCTAGTGGGTTGAAGTGTCCACACAGGCGCCCGGCAAAATACAATTGCCAAAGTTTGGAGAAATAGGTGTCCGATTCGCATTCACCCGTTCGGACGGCAGCAGATTTCTTGGGGAAGAGCCTAGTTCGGATAGGTGTACGCCGTACGGGTAGAGAGTAGAGGAAAGCCTCCCGCCCCTCGTGACTTGATACTTCTCGGAGCCAAACTTGGCAGCGAAGCTTTGTCTTGAAACGGTTCAAGCCCATCGCATTTTGCCGGGAGACAGTGGCAATCCCCTGCGCCGCGTACGCACTAGGAGACTCCATGGGCCTGGCAGTTTACCTTGGCCGGCAGGCTGCTTCGTCCTCGTGCAGGAGGATATTCTCAAAGTCGCCATGATATTGACAGCTGATTGGGAACCGGTCGACCTCCGCTAGGATTTCACGCAAAGGATCCCAACCAAGTGGTTCCAGCTTCCAACACCCCCCCGCCCCCAAGAAGACCGGTCTCTAGACCTAGGCCTTCCCGGTCCGATGCCCCGTCTGGGACTGTTCGCACTGTTTATCTTTTGCTTCCCATCTGTTCGTCTTATGATCCACAGCTCCATATAATAAGACCTGGAGACCCCGCGTCGTAGATCGAGGTTGTCTTTCTCGCCCTGTCCGTCCCTCTCAAGTCACCTTCTGGCCTAAACAATACGGAGACCTGCTTCTGGCTCTTGCTCTGGTCGCCGGCAGAAAGCCAAACGTCAACTTTACCACGACAACCCACACACGATATACAGCTCCATTGAGCAGACGCCAAAATGGGTTTCCTCAAGGGCGTTACACAGAAGAAGACCAACAGTGAGGCTGTTGTCATAGCTCAGGAAGAGGCGCCGGATTTTGAGAAGGTCAACTGGGTGAAGGACCCCGGTCTGAGGAAGCTTTACTTCTACGCCTTCGTCCTTTGCATTGCCTCCGCGACTACTGGTTACGATGGGTAAGTTGCGCAAACGATCATGAAAGAGAACACAATCAGGCCCGTTTGCTGACAGTAAGGTGATCTATAGCATGTTCTTCAACTCTGTCCAGAACTTCGACTCATGGCAGTCCTTCTTCGATCACCCCAAGGGAGGCCAGCTCGGTCTTCTCGGTGCCTTTTACCAAATCGGCAGTCTGGTTTCGATTCCCATTGTGTAAGCGACGTTCTCGCACGAAGCCCCCCTGGCGATCGACAAGTTTACTGACCCTTTTGAAGCCCCTTCATTGCCGACAACTTTGGCAGAAAGATCCCTATTGTCATCGGCTGCTTGATCATGGTTGCCGGTGCCGTCTTGCAGGGAGCCTGCACAAACATGGGCAGTAAGTAGCTACAAAGATGTAGCAACGTTTTCTCAGAGGCTGACCATTCGCAGTGTTTATGGGCGGTCGTGTCCTTCTTGGTTTCGGCAACTCCTTTGCCCAGATTACGTCGCCCATGTTGCTCGCTGAGCTTTGCCACCCCCAGCATCGTGCTCGCTTGACGACGGTATACAACTGCTTGTGGAACGTCGGTGCCCTCGTTGTCGCCTGGCTCTCTTTCGGAACCGACTTCCTCGGAAACGAGTGGTCGTGGCGTATCCCTGCCATCGGCCAGGCGGTGCCCTCCGTCATCCAGCTCGCCTTCATCTTCTGTAAGTCATCTTCATGAATCGAGGTTCTCCGTCAGATTCTGACTGGTTATCAAAACAGGGGTCCCCGAGTCTCCCCGTTACCTCATCGCCAAGGACCGCCACGACGAGGCCCTCGCGATCCTGGGCAAGTACCACGCCAACGGCGACACCAACAACCCCACCGTCCAGTTTGAGTTCCGCGAGATTCGCGAGACCATCAAGCGCGAGATCGCCGCCAAGAACAGCAGCAGCTACCTCGACTTCTTCCGCACCGCCGGCAACAAGTACCGCTTCATCGTCCTTATCTCCCTCGGTCTCTTCTCGCAGTGGTCCGGCAACGCCATCATCTCAAACTACACAAACATCCTCTACGCCAACGCCGGCATCGAGAGCTCCACCGCCCGCCTCGGCCTCTCCGCCGGCCAGACCGGTCTCTCCCTCGTCACCTCCCTGACGCTCGCCATGCAGGTCGACCGCTTCGGTCGCCGACCCATCTTCCTCGCCTCCACGGGCGGCATGCTCATGACCTTCGTCTTCTGGACCTTGTCTGCCGGCCTGTACGAGGAGCACGGCTCGCCCGGCTCCAACTACGCCATGATCTTCTTCATCTGGCTGTTTGGCTTCTTCTACGCCTTCGCGTGGTCCGGTCTCCTCATCAGCTACTCCATCGAGATCTTGCCGTACAAGCTGCGTGCCAAGGGTCTCATGATTGTCAACTTGACCGTCCAGGCCGCCCTCACGCTCAACAACTACGCCAACCCCTACGCGTTTGACTACTTTACCGGCCACACCTGGAAGCTGTACCTGATCTACACTGTAAGCTTCCACTCTTCTTCGAGATTAATAAAAGTTTTGGCTAATAATGTTGCGTCTCACAGTGCTGGATCTTCCTCGAACTCGTATTCGTGTACCTCTTCTACGTCGAGACAAAGGGACCTACGCTCGAGGAGCTCGTCAAGGTCATCGACGGCCCCGACGCCCAGGTTGCGGATCTCGATCTCGCGCAGGTCGAGCAGGAGATCAAGCTCGGTCACGAGGCCGAGGAGTTGGAGCACAAGCGCGGTTGAGAGAGGCTATGTGTGTGTGTGTGTGCTTGGCACCATCGCATTGGGGATTTCCCTTCCCCCCAATTTTAGCATCTCACGGGCTTGAAGCTCCGTGACATGAAAGCATATCCGAGCATGCAGATACCCCCCACTATTTAATGTTGTACAGAGATCATGCGATACACGCTTCGTTTAATGATATGATCAAATAAACAGACATGTTGTGTCGTCTACCATTTGTTTCCTTGAGGACGTGACAAGATGTATTGATTCAACGATAGCTACCCAATGTCAGATGAACAACCAAGCGTCAAGATCACCTTGCTAACATCTCATGTGTGATGTATAAACTACTGAACCTCCCAGCAAGGTGTTTCCAAATGTCAGTCGCTACAAACTGCCTACTGCTATGCTCCACTATCACATCTGCGTATACCTGCTAGCTTTCAAGCCGAGTCTTGAACATCATCAGCGTGACGGCCAAGATCAGATAGACCAGGCCGCCTTCCCACCGTCAACTAGACCCAGCCTCATCATCCCTCACCCCGACCAAGGCCTCGTTCCTCTCCACCCCCTCCCCCTCCAGCTCCGCCCTCTCCATCACACCCAGCATCCGCGTCCTCTCCGCAAAAACCAACGTCACCCACTTAATCTCAGCAGCCTGCCTCCTCTCGAGCTCCGCCCGCGCCCTCTCGAGCCTCTCCTCGTGCCGCTTCCGCACGCTGTACATAATCTCCTCCCGGATCGTCCGCTCCTCTTCGACCTTGAGCTTATACCGCGCCACCTCCTCGTCCCGCCACCGCTCCCACGCCCGCCACCCCTTATCCATCGTCCCGCGGAACTCCCGCATCAGCGCCTCGATGCGCGCCTCGCTCGAGGGGCGGTCCGCGAAGAAACTCTCCAGCTGACGGAGGTACGCCTCCTCCGTCCTCTGCTCCGCCAGTACGCGGGCCCCGTACTCCGCCGTCAGGGTCTTTACCTTGGCGGCCAGCTTCTCCGCGGCCGTCTCGACGAGGGCTCGCTGCTCGTCCTCCTGCTTCGACTCGAGCTTCGCCGTCGAGGTCGCTTCCTCGTTGGCCGCGAGCTCCTTCTCCTTATCGTGCTGGTACCGCACCAGGAACTCCTGCAGGTCGTGGATCTGGTCCAGCAGCTCCCGCAGCTCCTGGAACCGTACCTCGACCTCGTACCGCCTCAGACTCTCGATCCGAGCCCGCTCCTCCTCCCACGCAATGCGCGCCTCTTCCTCAAGCCTCTCCATCTCGAGACGCAGAAGCTCGGCTTTCAGCGCCTCCTCGCGCTCAAACTCCTCAATCTGCCGCAACGCGTCGCGGAGCTCCTCTTCGGCCTCGGCCTCGCGCCGCAACCTCTCCCGCCGTCGCGCCGCGGCCCCGTGCTTGATGTGTTCGAGCTGATTCATGGTGCAAGTGCACGTCCGCCACCGCAGGCCGCAGACGTAGCAGAACTGGTAGCCGCACCGGCACGTCATGTGCTGGCACGCCTCGCGGTGCTCGACGAGCGCCTGGCACCGGCCGCAGTGCTGCCACCCTTCCTCCGCGGCGAGGGCGTTCGTCAGCGCGAGGTCCCGGTCGAGCGGGCAGTCTGCGTCGTTGGCGTGGTGGGGTCCCCGGCACATGCTGCAGCTGCGGTGTCCGTCGCGGCACCGGGCCACGCGGGACGCGGCGTCGACGTGTTCGGGGCGCACCCAGAGGCCGCAGGCGGGTTCGGCGCAGTAGATGCGGTCGGCGACGGGGATGGCCCATTCGGCGGCGCGATCTTTGCAGGTCCTCGCTAGCTCGGGGGAGACCTTGCGGAGGTAGAGGCGGGTTGGGATCGGGTTGAGGCAGCATTTGGGGGGCCAGTGGTGTTCGTTTTGGACGGCGGTGGAGATGAGGCGCTCGAAGCAGTCGGGGCAGTAGCTGTGGCATGTGACTTTGATGACTCTCTTGGGGCTGAAGTCGTCGAGGCAGGAGACGCATTCGCTGGTGGGTTTGGTGTTAGATGTCGAGAATGGGTTCAGTGTTGGAAAAGGGGGTAAAGGGAATGTGACTTACACAGTAACGGGAGCTTTCTTTTGCTTCTCTGTGACAGTAGGAGCGGGTTCATCAGACGCTGCTGCTTCCAGGCTCGTCTTGCTCGAGTTACCGCCGAAAAGGGGTGTCTTCTTCGCAGAATCCTTTTCACCAATCTTTTGCAAGATTCTCGTCAGGGCGAAGCGGCTTCTTTTCTTGGGCTGGAATGGCAAGACGATGAGCCCCTGGGACAAGGTACTGCCCTCGCCCGCTCCCGTCATCTCGGGAAACAGCTTGAGGTCCTCGACATCATCTTCTCCCGTCTCGGGCGCCGACGATGGACCGGGTTCTCCGTCGGGGCTAGTGATGATGATGGGAAGATACGGCTCCTTTACCGTGCCGTCTCCCTCGTCGTTCGCGTTTGCTGCTTCGGCTTCCCGCTGTCTCTCATCTTCCTCTAGTTGCCGCCGCTGGTTCTCCTCGGCGGCTCTCGCCTGAAGGGTCTCGATGGAGACCTGTAGAATCTCGAGGGCTACCGTGTTAGTGAGGTTTGGCGCTGTTCTGAGGGACGCCGGCGGATTATATTCAGTCCACCGGGCCTCGTCCTCATTCTCATCCTCTTGTACTGGATTCGCCTCGGTCGCATCGTTTTCACCGACGGGATTCTGAGCTGTGATTTCCTTGCTGGTGATGGCTAGGGTAGGCTTCACCTCATCATCGTCAAAGTCTCGTAGGGTCACAAATGGGTCGCCGTAGAAGCCCACGTAGTCTTCCAGGCGAGCGGGCACGTTCGTCGAGGTTTCCATCTCGACGATGGTTGACGTGGTTGTAGTCATGTACTTGGGTATAAGATGCTGTCTTGGGTGGGAGGTAAATTTTGGCTCTTCGCCGATAGAGAACGGAGAGAAGAGCACAAATAACTAAGCGCCACGCCGGAGAACCCAGTCCATCAAGAGCGGGAAAAAGCGTCTATCTAGGTAGAAGTCTGTCTCATACCAGAGCCCGGGTGGAAGATATGGATATGGAGAATCTAACCAATCCCACCAACCAAACGTAAGAGTCTCTCTACATGGCGTGAGCGGAAAGCGGAGCATAAAGGAAGCCAAGGTGCAGTTGGCGGCTCCTCCGAGCCTCATGACAAGCTTGAAGAAATCCCCATTTTTGGGATCAACGACGAGGCACCCTGATGACAGCTCACAGACCACAGGGCTGAATCTGCCCCGGCTGCACTGCTAGACTGTCGAGAGAGGCGTGGAGGTGGTATGGAGAAACACCACATAAAGTTACAATAGCATTGGCGGCGGCCAAGATCGGCTCTATCGTTTGGGTGAACATAGCCGCGGAGAAAGGGGTTGGTAGCCCGCCAGCGGTAGCTGATTAGATCAAGGCAGACTCGTCAAGCACGATGTCGCGAGCCGAGACCTGGTTGGTTGAGTCTCGTGTCTTGAAGATAAACATCGCGAGGAGGGCCGAACTGGCTGCGAGTGGGCTGCGTTGGTGTTGGGGGCGGAGCTGGGCACGTTCGGCTACTTAGCGCGCGGGCAGTGCAGTGCGCCCTGGAGGTCAGTCTGTAATAACTGCCGCAGTTGGTCACCGAAGGGGTTGCTTGGTGCCATTGGAAGGTATGTCATGCAACGCTTAGCCTCCTGAAGATTGGGTCCGAATAGTTTGGCTGATGGTAAAATGTTCCAGTCGGTGATAATCCGTCGTGGGATCATGTCGTACTCCCGCTGCAGTGCCTTGCAGGCCGAGTTTCCGCCGATTACGGCATAGATTGACGTCCTTGGTAGGGAGCTGGAATGGTGTCAGCCTAGAGCATATAGAAAGAATAACAAATATATTCAAGATAGCTCCAGATGAAAGTTCAAAAGCGTGGCTTTCTCTTCCCCCTATGCTTTTCTGACTTCCGTCTGAAGTTGGACACAGCCGAAGGAGCGAGGATGAGGAACGCCTGCCTGGAAGTTGAACTCGGGGCACGGACCACAAATCGATCCTTCCTGCCTGTGCCTTGCTCAGCGATACATAGATGTCAGACCCCTGAAAACCATCACCAGCATCTGTAGTGTAGTGGTTATCATCCTTGCCTTCCATGACTCTTCGCGGTTAGCAAGGGACCCGATTTCGATTATCGGCGGATGCATGAAAGTAACCAACTCATTCTTTTTCATTTTTGCGCCGTCTGCCCAGGCATGAGTAATTCTCGTACCGCCGATTGCTCATGGGAGATTTCTTGACACCTTGTGAGCAGCGCCGAGTCGCATGTTGTGTTTACTTCCCATGGTTGGAAGAGTCGCCTCAATTAGCATAGCCCATTACAAAAGAAGCTTGCCACCTTCCTAGCAACTCAGCATCAGGCATCTTCAATTTCTTAATGTTTTGATACGCTAGCACGTATTGCGTTGGTCATAAATTCGGCGAGCGCCATCTCACTGCCTCAGCCAAGTTTGTTTAGACTCCATGAGAAACAACAGATTTCAGTTGACAAATGACCATTATCTTAGCAATTGATACAATGCACCACCTCGCCAGTTTCAGCTCCATCCCTAGATCTTTGACTTGACCTTGCTGAACTCGATCTTGTTGATGCAAGAGCCCACATTCTCAAGGCCAACTTCAACAACGTCTCCGTCCTTGAGCCACAATTGAGGCTTGCGACCCATGCCTACGCCCTCGGGACTACATATACCGTCAGTCATGGGGTCGACTAGGGCTCTTCGTTGATCTACTTACGTTCCGGTGAAGATGACGTCTCCCGGTAGCAGGGTAGTGCCCTGGCTCAAGAAGGAGATTGTCTTCTTGATGCCAAAAATCATGTCCTTGGTGTTATTGTTCTGGCCCATTCGTCAGTTCTCAACCCACAGTTCGTTGCCTGCGGTCCAACACCCACCTGAACGGTCTCCCCGTTGACCTTGGTAAAGATCTTGAGGTTTTGAGGATCCTTGACGACCTTGTTGGTCACAATGCCAGGCCCGAACGGTGCCCAGCCGTCAAAGCCTTTGCCGAGAGACCACTGACCGCCACCACGCTGGATTTGCCACTCGCGGTGTGACACATCGTTGCCCACGGCGTAGCCGAGGACGTAGTTGAGGGCGTCGTCCTCGGAGACGTCCGCGGCGGTCTTGCCAATGACAATGACCAGTTCGCACTCGTAGTCCAGCGTGCTGCCGGTCTGAGCGATCGGGTGCACGGGAACGGGGTCAGTCGGTCCAGCCAGAGAGGTCACGGGTTTGTACTGGGAGAAATCAGTCTACCATTTTCTTCTTTCCTCATCAAACGACGACGACTTACGAAGAGAACAGGGAATTTGGGAATTGCCATGTTTGACTAAGGGGTGCTGTTAGCTGTTTATTCAGGACCATTTTGGTGTTCTTTGGCTTTAATCTCACCTCCTTGGCGTGGTTGGCATAGTTGAGGCCGAGGCACCGTACAGTCTTGACGTGCTCAGGCGCAAGGGGGGACAGCAGAAGGCGGATGTCGGCGACGTTTTCTGTGACGTCGTGTCTTCCAAAGATGTCGCCCGTCACGATTCTGGCTTGCCTTGCCTTGGCGATGTCAGTGACGCCGCTCGGGAGAATTGCATCGCCGTAGTACGTCTTGCCATCCCGGGCAAGGAAGCGAACGAGTCTCTGGTGTGAGAGTCAGTATCTCGGCCGCTGTCAGTCACAACTGGGCAGCGATTGACTCACGGAAAATGAGGCCATATCTACGACTAATCAACTGCAAATTTGGGAGAAAGGCTCAAGAAGAAATAAAGCAAGATATGGTACAGTAGATGAGAATATGTTGCAGGTGATGGAATGTGACGAGTATCGGGAGAGAAGCCGAAGACGGGACGCTGTAGCGACTGGACCCCACGAACGTGAAGCCTCCGATTACTATCCGTCGACCCCACACTTCCCCCCATAAGATACCTTAGAGCACGGATTCCAGAGCTAAACCCCGGCTCGCTGTTCGGCGTCAGATGTGCCAGAGCGAAGTGAATTGCGTAGCACTCTGGTACGCCGGCTAATGCATCGGCATCACTACGCCTTGAGCTCCCGGCAGCTGTGCAGCACTATGCGTGCAGCTGAGTGCACCTCTTCCGGATGCGACTCCACAATTCCGAGGAGCTCCTTCCAGCATCATGCCAATGCCAATGCTGCTGCTGAGTCATTCATTCGACTTCCGACTTTCGCCGTTCCTCATTGGTCCGAGCTACAACGATGGAGCTCTCTTTCTCATGGTTGACATCAATGATTCGAGATTCGAACTTTCTCATTACGGTCTTCTCATGAACCATCAGAAGAGGACTCCTTCCGCAGCAACGCCGAATTGACGTTCGAGATGGCAGTAGCGAAGCGCGGTCTTTCTGGCCTTCAAAGGGAGGTTTTGGCACTCTATCGACAATGTATCCGGGAAATTCGGAAGAAGCCAGAGGTAACATTTCTTCAACGTCTTTGACTTGCATGTGAGATGCTAATATCACTCTAGACTGCACGGCCTCACTTTCAATCTTTCGCCAGGCAAGCTTGTGCACCAGCTTCCTTATGTGCCGCTCAGCATCATACTGACCAACACACTAGGACAGAGTTTGAAAGGTACATTACGGTTGACAAGCGCGACTTCTCCGTTGTAGAGCACTTATTGCGGAAGGGCCGCCGCCAGCTCGAGACGTACTCTTCACCGAGCATCAAGGACATTAGCCGGTGAAGAAACCACCATCCTCATGCCAAGAAACTGGGTTTATTCACATCCTTCTTCACACGGTTCAGTGTAAAGTTGGGAAGGAACGTCGCCTTTGATGTCCAGGGCCACACGCAAGGCACAGCACCGACTGCCTCCCCTCTGTATCACCACATGTCTCTCCTATGCTACGTTTTCGTTACCTAGACCACATGATACCAACGCAAATTCTTCTTTGGATCCATCTCTACTATTCCAGTGCAGCGAGCATGGACGATGCTTGATTGCGACAGAGTCTTCCGAGACTGCAATTGTATTTCACCTAGTTCACCACCACCGCCCATTCTTAAGTCTGAGCCGACACAAGCACACCAAGCAGCAGAAGACGTCTTCCGCAAGCCCATAAGTCGGTCTGTCGAGAGTCTCCGTCGTCAGCAACGCATAATCGTACATACAAAGCGCGCCAGCAGAGCCAGACTCCCATCCGGTAAAGTTACCAGCGCTCGAACGACTGTAGTATCTGCGAGAAGAGCGAGCCAACTTGTCCCGATCATCGTCTCCCGAGAGCGAGAAGTAGAAAGACTGCGCAGCATTGTGGCTTCGGACGCTCTCCAGCCCTTGACGCCGACCTCTCGAAGGCACAGCAGACACTCAATACAAAGAACGCCACCTGCGTGGTATATCGCGATGGACCCTGCGGTTCAAGCCGGTTCTAGATCGCCGAGACCACGAGGCTCTTCTTTTCGCTACCAACGTGCTGTTCCAAACCGGGCATCAAAGCCACGTCCCGTCCGTAGAAGGCCAGTTGCAGGTCCCTCGGGATCCCCAAGTCAGCCAAAAGCGCCCAACTTTGGCAACAGTCCATCCAGAATCCGAGGTCACCCTCTGTCGGCCATGGCGGATCCTGACCACACCTTTCAGCACCGCGAATCGGTGGCGTCCCACGAGAGAAGATTCGGAGTTGCTGATCCACAGCTGTAGGAAGCTGTTCGTCGGAGTCTTTCGCAGCAGAGTCGAGTATCCCTTGTTGCTTCGCCATCAAATAGATCATCAAACCAATCTTTCCGAGCACCTCAACCTCCATCGAGAACCTCTAGCCGGCGCCGAGAAGTGAATCGTTTCGCACGGCAACTAGAGATATATGCCGAACGTAGAAAAGCTGCAGGAGAGCTACCTGTCTCTACCCCGACACCAGAGTCGGTTATATCGCTTCATACAGTTACAGCTCTTCTTCCGTATGAGGAACAGTTCCAAGCTGTTGGTCTAGCAGTGACTTCTGAACAACAGCGGCAGAAGTCGCCGCCCAAACAGTCCCCTGAAAAGGACATGAAGATGAAGAATTCACCAGAAGTTATAACAAAGCCAATTTCTCGTCCCAAAGAGACCAGAAAACAAGTTGAACCAGGCCAACTTCAGCTTAATGGCTTGAGGAGCGCTTCAACGAGCTCATCCGATTCATCAACCTCGGGCACGCAAGTTGCCTTTGCACAACCAGACGCCTGGGAGCTCGCCTTTATCGACGAAGTTCCCGCCAAGAAGGAAAGTTCTACTTCGAGATGTTGTAACCTACCTTGCTTCCAAAACACGAGAGACCAATTGATCGACGTCACAATGGGCCGGCCACCCCCCGCTCCGACGCCAACAACAATTGATACGCCAAACAAGATACTGGCAAAGTGGGACCCAGTCTACCCCCAGAAGACAGAGGCGCTGCAGGGCTGGCGTAAGTCGAGCTCTTTAATCGTCGGTCAAGCCGTTGCTGACTCTTTCAAAGGTGACAAAGCCTCTCGAGATGTTCGAGCCAAAACATGGCACGGAAACACGGCACAGCGTCCATCAACTTATCGGCCACCGCGGGAAGGCCTCCCTTCTCGCAACGAGACAGAAGCACCAAGCCCCAAAAGCAAGTCTCCGAGGAAAGTGGTGCCCCATGACTTGGAGGACGATAAACCGCCCATACCTCCAAGGGCTCAAGCTCGTACCGATCGTTCGAGGAAACAATCAAAGGCGCCAAAGCTCGAAACTTCAGCCCCTAAGGGGATACGTAAGGAGTCTCAGCAAAACAGATTTTCAGATCAGGAAAACTTCCCACCAGGAGGTAAAGTGCTTCCTGCCATAGCCAAAACACCAGTGAAAGCCACCGTATTATCAGAGTCAGACGAGAACACTGCCCAAGTACAGACTCAGGATTCATACAACAACAAAATTCCCACGGTATCGAAACAGCCAGCTGGCGTCGTAGACAAGCCTCTCAGGGTTTCGATCAGGCAGCCTGAACGGAAGGCTAAAGAAAAGGTCGCTCTTCTGAACAAGCCTACACAGACGGATTTTGAGCATCCGCCAATCTTCCAATCTGGGAGAATGTTCAGAAGCCTGCCGGGACCCGCAAAACTCCCAGAAATGGAACGAAGAGAACGGTCGGCTCAGACGAGTCACGGAACTATCACACCTAACCCTGCTCTACCATCCACATGGAAACTGACCTTGAGCTCATCCTCGTCACTTGAAGTAGCCATGGAAGCCGCTTCACGGGAAATGGAGATACAAGAAGCCATGAAGTCCAGGCATGAGACACTCAGAGGACAAGACTTGGAGGCAGATGCACAAGCTATTCCCTACATGGCTGCAGAAGTCGAACATGACGAGCCACTCCCAGAGCCCGTTAGTGAGGAAGCTCCCTTACCCTCAGGTGAACAACCCGAAGAGGGACGGAAACCACTGCGAGGTAGTGATAATTCGGACCCCAAGGAGCAGGACGACAAAGACATTGATGACAGAGATGTTTTGCGAGGTCTTCACATCGCCATATCAGCTGCTTGTGACGAAGAGGTCGACGCATGGATCCGGCAAAAGACGGGTGTGCGCATCCGTCGATTCTTGGCAGACTTGAAGGCCTTTGAAACGTTGGGTGAAGAGGATCAACCGGATCCAGCCAAAGAGCGCGCGAGGAACAGGAGAGCCGACTCGAGGAAACTCAAGGCACAGATTCGACAATCTAAAGCTGCCAGGGAAGCAAGAGCAGCAGCACAGTGACATCGACGCATGGGATGTTGTTACTGCTTGCAAAGAACAGGAAAAGGGCTTGACTTTATATAGTAGTTTTAGATTCTGTGCCGCTACCTCTAGGGGCACCAATCCTAATTGTCTACCTTGCTGCCTTATACCATGATGATTCAACATTGTCGACTGGCTCGTCAGCCGCCTTAAAGCAATTTGAGGGCCGGGGGACCGTCTGAGGCTTGATGCAATTCATGTAGTTCATTCAGCCGAGGTTGCCCTGATAGGTCCCGGTCCTCGTCTATCGTCTAGACCGCATAAGTCTTCCCTTTTCTATCCTTTGTCCGGACCATTATCCCAAAGCTTAGGAGGACTACCCACGCCTCTCTCCGAGGCCTCCCCTCCACTCCCTTCTTGTCTTGGGTCCCTCCTCACCGGTCATCTCTGATATATGAACCTGGAACCTTTAGTGGTGCCTCATGTCTTTCTCGCCATGATTAATACAAATGTCTCTGAACCCCCCTTCTCGCTCCCAATGTTGTGGTACTATGTCGTACAACTCTGAACAACGCTGGATGGATGTAATGCGGGCCGCAAAGGCGGTCAACCGGAATGAATGCGGAAGTGTGTCGAGTCGAATCGAATAAAATGATCTCTTTTTGTCTCAAGATAAGAAGACGTCGAATCATGAAGGAGTCAACTGATCCGCCATCATCTTTCGAACCTCCTTCTCCAAGTTCTCCTCGGCATTTTTGTCGTCCAAATCCTCCACCGCACCGGTAACCTTCTCGGCGAGCTCAATCTTCTTCTGGCAGGCCTTATAGATGAGCTCCTCAATGGTGTGTGATGTCAGCAAGCGAATCACCTCCACATCCCGCGTCTGGCCGAGGCGGTGAGCTCGGTTCTCAGCCTGAATGTCGTCCTGCGGGTTGTCGGATTGATCAAAGATGATGATCTTGTTGGCAGAGGTTAGGTTGATGCCAGTGCCACCAGCGCCTGTCGTGAGCAAAAAGGCTGTGATATCTGTATCGTTGTTGAACTCGTCAATCAGATCCTGGCGCTCGGCGACGTTGGTCTGGCCATATAGGACGCAGTGCCTGATGTTATCGGTGTGAAGGACCTCCCGTAGGATCTCAATGACCTTTGCAAATTTGCTGAAGACGAGGACGCGGTCGCCGTTGTCGCGATACTGGTGGATGAGCTCTAGTAGCTTGACGACCTTGCCACTATCCATCCAAGAACCCTCAGGGACGTCAAGATGCCTGATACAAGCGTAATCACGGCACCAGAGATGCAGCTCAAAATCGGAAGAATTTTGCAGCTCCCCAATAAGATGGTCAATCCGCGGTTGTTGCAGCTCGGATTGCGGGACCTCTTGCATCAAAATGTTCGCCATCTTCTCAACCTTCTTGTTGTCAAAGTAACGACGGAATAGTTGCGGGTGAAGGGCCGCCTTCCGAAGCTGCATCCAGCTGTTGTTTTGGTCGCTCTGACGCCCGGTTGTTGTCTTCTTGACTGGGCCAGCCTTGAAAAGTCGCTCGTAATCCTCGTACAGTTCCTTCTGCACTCCTGGTGCCAGATCGCAGTATGCGACATTGCAAATCTTGGCCGGCATGTCAGAGAGGACCTGCTGCTTGCGACGTTGCAGGATGAACGGTTCCAGAATCGTTCTGGCTCGGCTGACACGCTCGCCGTAGAGGAAAGCACCATTGTTGACGTCGCGAATGGTGACCTTCTGGCTGAACATGTACTGGAGCTGGTCCATCCGACCGTTGAACTGGAGTGGGTCGATGAAGTTTAACAATGCCAGCATTTCCATCAAGTTATTCTGAACAGGCGTTCCGGTGAGAAGCATTCTCCAGCCGGCCTTGATCCTGATCAAGTCCTTGTAAATCTTGGTCTTGGGGTTCTTCATCTTGTGTCCCTCGTCAAAGATGGCTGCGGCTGGCTGCAACTCCCGGAGAGCCTCCAGGTCCTCCTCGGAGCCGACTTGGGTATAGGTCGTCAAAACGACGTGGTAGTCCGCCGGGTGCTCGAGCATCTCGTATGCTATCTCTCTACGTTCGGCTTGAGGGCCTTGATACGCAAGAATCGAGAGGTCGGGAGCAAAGCGCTGGAACTCTCCCATCCAGTTTGAGAACGTCGACGGTGGTACAACCACAAGATTGGGCCACGGCCTCTCGCCCTTTCCGGTTTTCTCGTAGTTTTCGACAAGATGACAGATGAGAGAAATGACCTGGCAAGTTTTGCCTAGACCCATCTCATCGGCTAGAATGCATCCGTAGCCACTGTTGTACAAGAGGGACATCCAATTGAGACCGAACAGCTGAAAGGGACGCATAGTGCAGTGCCCATCCATGAACTTTGGCTGGCAGGAGATTGGCGGCTCCGAAAGCTTTTGAGCGTGAAAGCTTGTCGGCGTCAGGGGGAGATCGCTGTTAGTGGAGGAGCTCTGTGTGCTGCGTTTCTGGCCCTTGACATCGAGGTCCCATCGGCTGATCTCCTGCTTGACCTTGTTCGCCTTCTTCTCGCATTCGGCTACCACTTCGTCAATGGCATTGACGCTGCGAGTGAATTCCATGATTGCGTCGACCAGGGTCTCTCCAATTGGAACCTTGGGCCTTCTGCTGCGAGCGTTCGCCTTCTTGGCCACCGAAACGGCTTGTACCTCGCTAATGGTATCGAAAGGCCTCTTGGTCTCAATGATCTTCAGCTCGTCCATCTTGATATTCGTCATGGCTGACAGATCCGCGATCGAGCTGGTGTTGATGGCTTGGAGAGCCTTGTCCTGCAGGCTGTCCTTGACCGCCTCGTTCAATTCATCCTCATTATCAAAATCCTCGTCTTCATTGTCATCAGGAATGATGATAGGCTCGTCCACTTTGTCGGCGGCAAGCTCGTCTAGGGACGGCTCGTCTTCGTGAGCCTGCTGGGACGCAGGTGGAGATCTACCGGGGCGACGACCTTGCATCAAGCGCCTGCGCTTGGGCTTTGGTGGTGAGGGGGTAGTGCTTCGAGAAGGTGTAGGTAGCGTCGGGGCATGTCGCCCAAGTAGTTTTGGCTTGCTGGGTGAGCCGGGCCTGCCTGACTTGCGGTCCATGTTCTTTGTTCTTTCGTCGCCAACGGTTATGCTTGGCTTGGTAGAGCTCACGAAGCTGTTGACTTTGGGCTTCAGATGCCGACCATCCAACAAGTAGTTGATTGCGTCCTCAACATTATTGTGGCATGCGGTCAAAGCTTCCTTATAGTATTGAACCGGTATCGTGCCGTTGAGCGCCTCAGAAACCTCTTCAATCTTCTTTTGCAGCTTATCCACCGAAACGTACTCGAAGTTGGCGACGTGTTTCTTGAAAGATGTCTGGCTGATATTGCCACGGGACGTTCGGTCATCTTCGTCATCTGACGAGCCTTGTATGAGCACAGGCTCCGCCGAGGGCCTCTTCCGCGGGTTGGAAGGCGCTTGTGACTTGGGGGGCGGCTGAAATCGTGAGCCGGGCGGCACGAGGCGTGAGAAGTAGCTGGATTTGTTCTGGAACGGCGAGGATGCGGGAACCTCAATGACTGAACGCGAAGAGGGGGAGGAGGAATGATCGGGTTGCGTCTTGGCTTGGGACGCGAGTGACGTTCGGTTGACAATCTGCGTCGCTTGTGTCTGGTAAGGGGACTCGGGAATCGTCTCGTCGGCGAGCTCGTCGGCGTCGTTACCGCGACGAATGCCTCTGATCGGTGACGTGCCCAATGCGGAGCTGCCCACCGGCGGCGGTGAGGAGCTAAGGGTATAGTTGATCACCATGGCTCGTATAGATGTGTTTGTTGCTTGTGGGAAGTGAGGTGGAAGTTGGGAAGTTGACGAGCGGAGGTACGAAGGCGGACAATGGTCGATATACAAAGGCGGGGAGAAGTTTGCTCAAAGAGGAGAAAGACTCGAGGACTTTGGTGCTGCGAAGATGCCGATTGTCGAAAGGCTGTGCGAGATAATTAACGCTAGATCAGGAGAAATCGCAAGGGGAAAGAGCAACAGATTGGGCAATTGCAGGTATCCGTGCCGCCTTCCAAGATGTGGGCGCTCCTGAGCAGACTGGCAGGAGAGGGCCGAGATTGATTTTGAACCGACGGCGACACTGAAGTGGGAATTTTCTGGGGCAGATCGCAACGCCACCCATGTCCGTTGACACGGGAATCCAAAGAAACGCGCTTAGACGAATCCCCATAGCGCGTCCGCACGTGGTTGGCGTCATCAATTAAAACACCGTGCGGGCAATCATCGCTTCCAACTGTGGGCACTGTCTCTTGACTTCACGTCTCGTTTTTGAGGAGATCTCTAGCAGCAAGGCTCAGTGAGCGGGACCATCAAACTCATAAGCCCCAACCGACGTTCATCAACTCCGAGTCTTCCGCAACGTCCTCGGCTGACAACGAGCCTATTCCAACGTCGATAATCAGCACCTTGTAAGTTTCCTGTCCCTTAGCACAAGTTAAATGAGACCATCTGCTTACTTTACACCTTGCTCAAGATACACACCATGGCGACCCGACGCATCGTGGCCTCAGAGAAGACCATCCTCGAGAAGGATGATGTGGTTGGTGCGAGTCCCGCTGCTGGCGACAAGTCCAACATCACTCCTGCTGTGCCAATGGATGTCATCTTGAAGCTTCTTGGATTCACGTTGGCCATGATTGTGTTGCCCATCGGCACCTACTTTGCCACGGTCGACTTCCTTTTCAAGGGTAAGTAAGCTGCACTCGTGTTTCTGCCTCGTCCCATTACACTGCCAACCACAATTGGACGCGCCCGATTAATCTGATAACCAGGCAATTCCACATTTGCTGGCGCTCTTGCTGCTGTAATGGCCAACGTGGTATTGATCAGTTATGTTATCGTTGCCATGAAAGAGGATCAGAGCGACCAGCTGGAAGCGAAGAAGCAAGGGAAGAAAGACCGTTGAAATTTGGGATGGGCAGTCAATCGACACCTTGGTGCCTGGGATGGCAGCCTGGAATGCATTTCACAGTTTCCGTAGAAATGAAAGTTGTGTCACACATCTCTCTCTCACCAGATGTGTAACGCTGTTGATGGCAAGTTTATCTCTAGTCAGGAGATTATATTACGTTGACCTGGTCTTCTTCTAAGACCTGGCTTATTGGAAAGCCACATCAGTGTTATGATGAAGCCCTATCAAATTTTCCAACGCCTGAACCGCCAACTCATCCCCAAGCATTGTAAAAGAAACATTGTCGAGCTACCATCAAGCCTCCATGGCTACCGAGTTGCCTCGCAATCGTAAACTGGATCCTGCGCATATACCTCGATCCAAACAGAGTGTATTTCGTTGTTTTTTTGAATCAGAAAATAGATAGCCATACCTCTCGGCTATACTCTCAAATTGACGGCCCACCTCAAGGTAGGAACGGCCGTCTCATCAGGGGAGAAGGGTACTCCGGCAACTCCACACCAGCGACATATCAGTTATAAGCCGATCTCTGCCAGAGAACACCATTACACATCCAGAATCTAAGAAAATGGGGGGTATCGACAACGTTAAAACGAAAAACCAGCTCATATCTCATGCCTTGTGTTGTTCAAGATGATTTGCTGAAGCGCTTAGAAAACCAGCTCTTTCTCTTGGCCGGCTCAGCAGGTCTAGGCTGCGCCTGTTGCTGCTGTTGCGGTGGGGAGGCGCCAACTGGTCTCCGAAGGACGTTCGCGCTCTGTTGCTGGGGTACTTGGGCTCCGTTGTTCACAGCTTGATAGGCGGGTCCCTTTCCATTTGGCGCACCATTGTCAAACTTGAGAGCAGACGCCTGGTGCCCTTGGTCCTGACTGAAGCCAATGCCATAATCGTTGTTGGGTTCAGGCCTACGGGCCGGACCGCCACGCTCAATGGAGCTATTGTCGCTACTAGTAGGATCGGTATGGTAGCCTGCATGCTCTCCGGAGCTTCCACTTGCGGCGGCTGATGTAACAGTCTCGTATGAGCGGTCCTTGTTGGGCAGGGGATAAATGTTCTGATCGCCGCGTGCGTAGCCGTTCATATGGGGATCGGTTTGCGTCCTGGGAACTCTCTGTCGGTAGGGAATGTTGTTGCCGCCATTGTAATGTCCTCCACCATTCTGGTATTGATCGTAGTAACTTTGTCGATTAGACCCCATCTCAATCTGGCCGCTTTCGGGACGGAACGAGCCCGGGCGACCGTTGTAGTAGCTGTCATGGGGATGTCGTCCTCCACTGGCTATATAATGGATTAGCCAGGCTGTGCAGTCAGTCTGTGAGCAGATGAACTTACTGGCATAGTAGCTGCTGCGTCTGTTCCATGTTTGGACCGACTCTGTATCTGAGCGAATATAAGACTGTCGCCGGTCCCGGTCACGATAGCCTCCATCAATGGCGGCCTCGAAACTGCGAATGGTATCAAGGGGTCGTTCCCAACGGCTACGTGTGGGATTAGATCGGTCGGGTTCGGCTGGGAAGCATGGTTAGAATAAACCGGCTAGGTTTGAGGACTCAGAACTGCAGCATACCAATCGGGGCACCGGTGGTGTCCTTGTGCTGAATGGCGCGCAAAGGAGCCAAGGAAGTCTTGGTCATTGCCTGAACGGCGGCTTTGGAAGCTGTTAGATATCTTACAACAGACATCACAGGAGAGTGGTAACTTACAAGGTTCGGCCTCACTCATGGCGACGGTAGGATCAGCTTTACTGTGTAATCTCTTTGCTTCCTTCTCTTCAGGTGTCTCGTGGAGGTCGATCTTGGGGTGACTGCCAGAGCTCTTGTGGGATTTGTTGGACTGGAAACTAAAGGTTCTCGGCCGGGACTTGGAGCGTCTATGAGGAGTTTGGTTCTGGGCGTGGGATTGGGACTGCGCCTGGGCGTTGGGAGGTGGTTGAACAGGCTGAGGCTGGTCGTACTGCTGCTGATAAGGCGGGAACTGGGACTGGCCGTTGTCGTATGAATCGGGACCTTGTTGGTGATAGTGGTGATTCGGTTGCTGGTGCTGGGGAGGCAGCGCGGGAAGTGGATGGTGTTCAGCCATGACGGGCGACTGGGGAGGGTGCTACTTTTAATTGATCTGTCTCGCAAGTAGGCGGGTTCAGTGGGCGCGGACCTGGTCTCGGCGAGCAAGGTCGATGGATGGAGCTATTGCGTGCCTTATCGCGGGTCAGCAAGGGGAAGAGTGGGCGGGCGGTTCCCAGAGGTCGCTAGCGAGGCGGCCAAGGTTGCGTTTTCCAGGGGTGAGCGTGAGATGATGGAGCGCGGTGGAGCGTTAGAAGGGGCAGAATAGTGGAAGGGAAGGGGGTTTGGGGTGTGCCGTATGCCTGAGTGTGGTGTTTCTGCCGAATGCTGGGATTGAAAGTGGATGCAGAAACTAGCAGAGAATAGTGTACCCGTGGACCGGGCTGTTTCCAGTGTTCCACTTGTTGACGATGTGTGTTTGTATGAGAAGCAAATCTTCGGGGACGGAGAACAAGCAGGTCGAGAGCAAGTTGAGGTGCTTGTGTGCTTGGGAGATGTTTTTTCTTTCTTTCTCAGATACTGTCGCAAGGGGGCAGGAAAGCAAGGAACTGGGTGTCTCGAATGTGGCTGGGGGGGTGGTTGAGTCGACAACCTGGAAGGCACTCGACTTGGTACGAACGGCGACGGCAACAACTCCCAGCCGATGAAGCTGCCCAGGTGGGCTGCGGTGTGGTTGTGGTGCCGAGCTGGAAGGAACGGCCAGGCAACCCGACGACAACAGCGATCCAATGAGACGGCGGCAGAAACACCAATGACAACGACAAACTCCAGCTGAGGGTACGGGAACGGGAACAGGTGCAGGTGCAGGTGTTGGTGCGATGGAAGGTGCTCACGGACAATTCGGTACGTACCTTGTCTTTTTTTTTTTTGGGGGCCGATGTTTCGATCCTTGGTATGGAGTATGCAGCGAGTTATTGCTGCAAGCTTGGTGTACCTAGCTGCAACAGAAGCAAGAGAGAAAAATAAAACGGGAGGGAGTCTGAGTCTGACTCTCGCGCTCTCCCAAGTCTCAACTCTCGGATGGATTCTGATGGGATTTTGGGAGGACAACTTCGGGCGAGCGACGCCAGGATGTTTGCTGAAAAAGCGCTAGGGCGATTTGAATTGGAGGCGTTACAGGGAAGGAGGGTGGCCGCAATGGGTTAAGCGTCACGTCTTTTTTCGATGGGGTGGTCGGACGCTGGAGTCAGGTCCGGCGACGTAGGGGAAAAGTGGTGACTGGGGGGCTGGGACGCTCAGGGACGCCGGGGCCAGCAAGTGCTGTCCTGGTGCTGTAAACTGGGTCTGCCCAGACGGCAAGCGCCTCCTGCTTGTTGATGAGTGTCTTGGTGATGTGATTTTGCCGTTAGGTTTCTTTTTTCGCCGGCTGGTTCTTCTCCTGCTTTTTGGCGCCAGTTGTTTTCTGCCCAGGTTGAAGAATCGACCTGTGTGCCGATATAAGGATGTAAGGATTTTTCTGGTGTTGCTTGGTCGGCTGTGGTTCTTGCCTTATTGTGTTAGTTCTGTCGCTCTTTCCTTCTTCTTGAGTGTCACCGGTAGTTGTAGCAGGGTGCGGGCAAACTGGCAGGGTTCCCATCGACCTGAGCCTTAGGTACGTACCGGTAAAGTGCGTCCTGTTTCCTGGCTTTACTTTGGGCGGAAGGGGCCTTCGAAGGCAATCAAGCAGTCGCTTCTGAATCTGACGTTCTGCAGCCTTCTTCGGACGTTTCGTAACGAAAAACGAGTAAACTGGGTATTGTGTTTGATATTGCCTGTTGATCGATGATCGAATGCGACGTATTTGGCGCGTTTGCAGGCGGTTGGTGGTGGGCCCGGAAGGGCTAGGACGTGGAGGCCGTCGATCGTTCGCTTGATGTGCGTGGTGGAACTGGATGGGCAATGCTAATGGCGGTGCAGAGCAATGCGAAATGCTGTCGTTTCCGAATGGCCAATTTCGCCCCTGTCGTCGTCGGTTTGTCTGTCTGGAGACTATCTTGCTGTGGCTGACGTCAAGCGGCGGTAATCCTCACGTGTTTCAAAGCGCCTTCGCGTGGTAGCTCAAGGTACGGTATGGCGGAACACAGCGGTGTCCTTTTCCCCTTTCCTTTAATTTACTTTTTTTTTCTTCTTGTCTTTCTCGGCCCTTCCCTTTCGGCCCTTGGCCTAATGCGTCCTGGAATGGAATGGAATTGGATCGAGAAATTATCGATTGGGGGGTGCTTCTCAGCTCCTGTGCTTCCAGGACCAATTTGTCCGGTCGTAGAGCACGAATTTTGGTCTTCGCTCCGTGTCGGACGTTTTACGTTCTCGGGTCTGCGTTTCTGCTCGTTGTCCCAATGTCAGCCAATCTGTGTTGCATCAATGTGGACGATGGGGACAATGTCTTCTTCATCCCACGTCGCAGCGCCATGCATCGTGGCACGTCCTGGTGCCGCAGCCGACCGCTGCTTGCAGATGACGGACGGCCCATGGGGGCCCAAAAGAAATTCCTGCCTCTGTGCGTACCTGATGTTCTTTCAATGGCCCCTTGCTACTTTAATTATCCCGGACGTGGACGGGTCGCTTGTCGGATCGCTCCGAACAGTGAGGTTTTATCAAATTGCCTTATTATAGATGGTGCTCCGGAAATTGGAAGGGCGTCGATAGCGTCCAAGGTCAGTTCGACTCAATGACAATGACTGATTAGCGATAGAGCGTCGAGGTGTCAAATGATAAGGTATGGCGAGATGCCAGTGTGCGTGGTCTAAGGTAGGCAGCGAGTTTGAAAATGTGATTCACTGTAACCCTGCAGGTGTTGAGGCAACGAGGTGGATTAATAGGTGCGTCGTCAAGTGTGGACGTGAGTGAATTGGGCAAGACCTTTTGAAGGTGCAACAAGGCCGAAAACATAAGAATGGCTAAAATCCCAACGCAAAAGCGTGGCGGGAGGCCTTGGGTATCTATACGAGCCTCCAACTCAGTTGGGCCAACGAAGGAAGAGCCGGCGACAGAGTGTGTGAGTGCGCGTGTGTGTGACTGGAGGGAAGGCCAGCTGAACAAGGTGGTGTGTAGTGACAAGTCGATGATGATCTCGACGACTAAAACGTAAAGGTGTGGCCTGTCCTGGTCCGGCCTGTCACGACATGGCATGGCAAGAATAATAAGAAGCTCCGGTGGTGCCTATCGTACCTCATGGTCCTTCCCTCACGGAAACCCGTACCTTCCTGCCATTACGAATACCTAGGTATCCGTAGCTACTAAGAAGGTACTTCATAGTCTTTAGAGAAGGTCGGCGCCGATGGGTCCCGCACTTACTTCACGGCAAGGGAAGGAAAGAGTGAGGAAATTTTTGACTTCGGGGGTCTTTCTCTCCCAAGGTCCGTTTATGGCGTGGCCTCATGAGAAAACCTATCAAAGGTAGCTATGTACCTTTGGTACCGTACGTAGGCACACAGGGAATGCCTATCAAGGGATGCGGCCTAGCAACTAACACAACCATACAACGTACGACTCCCTCAAGTCTCTCCTCGAATGTCCTCTCCAGGCTCCGAGCATGGGAAAGAAGCTGTACTTCGAACAGATGCACTGCTCCATACAGCCCTGCCTGCCTCGGCCGCACCCTGTTCTCAAATGCCGGGCTTCCCATCGAATGACAGGTGACCGCGGGCAGCGAGATCAAACCTTTCTGTCCAGCCTTCCAGTTGACAAGGGCCCAGGATCTATAGAGTCAGGAGAAGATACCTACTGCAGTAGTAAGATGGCCAGTATCGAGTACTGCTCGGATGCAATGCGCCAACGTCGTCAACAACATTCGAAAAGCTCCCCCCCACCGTGCCGGTCTTTCTGGAAACACAACAGCTTATCTGGCACAAGTTGCAACTGCAGCTGGCCGCGAATTGACGCAGAGGAAATCAAAGGCCTGGCCTTGCATTCCATCTCAAGTTCCAATTCCATATCGTCGCCCGTCGCTTGTCGACCTCCACAGTCCACCCGCCCGCCTTTCCCACCTTAGCCGTCTCACGCCCACCTCCCATAACCTGTCACAACCTCCCCAAGCACGTTCCTGGCCTGGAACTTGAGCTTGACGTGTGTTGCCCTGAGACTCCAAACCGCGTGCGTGTACCTTTCAGAATCAGACGCAAGACAAGCACCGGTCAATCAACGGACTCTCGACCATTGGCAATAAGAGGGGTGCTCAGGTGGAGGGGAATTCCTCAAGCCCGCGCCATTACGCGTTTCGCCCCTCATCAACCATCCCACCCGTCCAACCCGTCCAACCCCAGCACAGTTACGAGGTTCCATCCAAGAAAACCTTAGCCTTAGTCCTGCAGGCTTGTAGACGGACGACAAGACCCGATCAGCCACCACTGCCACTGCGCCCAACCAGGATCGACGGCCGGCCAGCCATTACTCTGCAGTCACTATTGAAGACAACCGCACACCTTTGACTACCTACCTACCTATCACGGTACACGGTATCTGTACCTACACAACTGTACGCGACTGTTTAGGACTTCGTACATGCAAAACAGCGAGGTCACTACCAGACGGGCACGGCGGGCTTTCGTCATTCCCATTCCGCCGCTCTGTTCCTCTAGCTTCAAATCGATGCTACAACAAATTCCCACCTTGGCTGTACACTATTCATGGCCCTTCTTCCCACTGGCCAGCGTTGTTGCTGAGCGAGATGCGGCCGCATGGAAGACGTGCGTTGGGGAAGCACAACAGTGGTTCAGTCTGAAACTTGACGGTATCTGCATCATTCAAGCAGGCAGTCAATCATGATTGTCCTTTCCGATCCCGAAGGACAATTCACTCGGTCAGTACCTCATGTGGTTTGTCTATCTCGCGGGAGCGGGACTGCGTTGCGACTCATGGAAATTCTGGCACAGCGCCTCAAACACAGTCAGACAGCATCTTTCATCTGATCCTCGATCCTCAGATGCCATTAGGACCGAACAGCATCTTGACAATGGACCCCTAAGGCCGAGACACTCAATCACTTGGACTGGACAGCAAAGGGCAGCGAGGATCATGCCCGTCCCACCGCCTCTTCCTCTTCAGTGCTCCACGTTGTCAACTTTTGCCCAGCCCGAGCTTGGGGTGAGATGTTGACCACCCCTGCAAGCCGGTGGACTTCGTGTTCAACGGCCAGCCATACGAAGGCTGGGCCGTCGCAGTACTGCGAGCCTGCAAGGTCCACTTACAACCGAGAGTCCGGAATATCAACTTGGCTGCCAGACCGCCGCATAAACTGTTAGTCTTCAGCTCTAATCGTCAACTCCCGCGGATTCCATATTGCATAGTCGAGCTGCGCCTCAATCACAGCTGCACACATGACGCGGATCGATGGCTTACGGTACGCGCACAACAGATACGTGGACGTGTGTGCGAAGTACGGGCCAAGTTGCCTCCACACGAAGTTTTATCCGCTCACTCTTCTACAATCAGTGCCCAGTTCTACGTCGCATACCAGCCTCCAACTCAGGTTTGATTCGCCTGCACCGAGTCTCACAATCAACGGCCAAGGGACCTCAATCGTACTCGTGAAGTCTCTAGGATCTTTTCCATTGCTTCGAGGTTTTTCTATACATCTCCGGCTTTCTCTGATATCTCCCGCCTTCTCGTATCAAAAATGTTACGCCTGTCTTTGCAGGAGACGGTGAAGGAACACGATGTCGTACGGAAAGTCTGGGCGAAGCCTGCATCATCGCAGGGTCCTTCCGATGTTGCACCAGCTCTGTATCCCTTCAAGCCGGCGCGGGGTTGCCACTGTCTCTCAGTATCGTGTCTGTATCTCCATGCTTGCTGGATTGGCAATACCGGGACCAGCCTGCACGTGGGGTCGATAAATCACTTTCGCCTTCTATACACACACACACATAGACACCACCAGACGAATGACAGGTACATCGAAGGAGAGAAGGGTCTTGAGGCCCGAGCTTCTGGGTAAATCTCTCCATGTTTCTACTGACCGGCCAGCAGCCTTCCATTTTCGCCGCAGAGCATCCAGGTTTCCCCGTCAAACCTGAAATTAAAATAGAACAACTCTTGCCAGCCAGTCATCGACGCCTGCTGGTTTTGCCTCGAAGCATTCTCTGATATCAAACTGCGTAGAAGAGATACGTCAAACAGGAGATTCATTACCCTACTCATCTCACCCTAGTCACCTTGCATCTTTATGGATGCTCAGTGGTGTTCCGGCATGAAAACCCGGAATCAACGTTCAATACCATGCTTACACCAACATCCCACACCAAAGCTCAGGAAAAGCAGAAAATAGAGCAGAAGTCGAAGACCAATGGAATCACGCCGAAGACGGCCGGGGCTTCCGACGGCTGGTACGGTGAGAGTTTGTAACCCTCTTCAAGCTCGCGCAATCTAGCTACAAGACATGCCAGCAATTGCGTCTATGGTGCAGCCGGGCGGGCTTGAGCAACAGCCCCCTCCCACCATATGCGCAAGACCAATTAACTGGCCGCAGCATGCAGGCTCGGCCAGGTTCTATCAAGATCCCGTCGTTCTTGGAGGCGCAAGTTCGGTCTTTACTGCACGCTATCCAGACAAAGTCGGGACGGGTTTACTTCCGCAGCACACCATATCCTTGGCCACGCACCCTCCTCGGCCTGTTTCGCACACCACGCCTATCGTGGATTTTGAAAGCCCCGATTGTTGGTCGGGAAATCCCTCCTCAAGCTCTCGCTGCTAGGTGGGTTTCGTCCTCTCTCCGTCTCCTCCCACCTTCATGATTCGACTCCATCGTCGCCCTGTCCTTGGCGTTTCGCCCAATCTCCAACCTTTCGCCTTGTCTGGGAATACTTTTCAGCGTGCCTGATTATCAACTTATCTCGATACCCCTCGTCGATGGCCATCACCGCGCCAATGTAACCTTGACGACTGTCAAGTGATTGAGTTTCCAGACTTTCCGAACCAAGTTGCTTGTCGATGCCCGCGGCGCCCTCTCAGAATGGCACGCACAAGGGGACTGATCTCGATCATCCAATGCCTCGATGGCGCAGGGCAGTGGAGGGCGGTAGTTGAGCCCCCCAACAGAGAATGGAAGTGGTTGCGTCCCCCAAGTGGGGTGGAGGGGTACAAAGTGCCTGGGCAGAGAGACCGGGGGCTCCCACGAACAGAGCAGAAACCAAAACCTTGGCGTCCGACGTTTCCCAGATGTGCGGGCTGCTTCAGCCCGACGGGTCTTTTTTTCGATCCCATCTTTTTCATACTTTTTCCAATTTCTTTTCTCTTTTCCTTCCATGACTTCTTCCTGAAACTCGGGGCTCTGTCAGTCGAGGCGCCATTCAAAAGAACATGGGACCGTCATCCTAGCAAAACCGTTGGCTCTCAGATCGCGAGGCTGTCGCGGTCGGTCTCTTCTCTTTTCTCGCTCTTTGACTTTACGCGATACCATTGTCGTGCACTACGTACACATCAGCCCTTTTTCTCCATCTTCTGCTGTTTGAGAAGTCTTCAGACGATATCGGTCCTTCCGGGGTTCGTCCTTCTTTGGTTTGTAATGACACAATCTCAGGGTTTTTGGCCCTTTCCCCCCATTTCCGGAAATCGCCTTACTTTTTCGGGTCCAAAACTCTATAGTCGAGTGAATTGAGTTTTGGCCTGATAGTGATTTTGACTTGAACCATTTCTTGGAGAGTGAGCGGGGAAAAAGGCAGGTGACGGTGACCTGACTAAATGACTTTCAATTCTAACTTTGAAGTCGTGTAAGTGTTAAATTTGTCTGCCCCTCGTCGGATCAGAGTGCTGCGGAAAAGGTTGATGGAAGTTAAGTTCCTGTCTGTTGCTCCGGCCGGGTTCACTGCCGAAGGTCTCGTAAATTGCGCGACCTCTTTTTTTTAAGCGGTATCATAATGAGGTCTGATATGGGAGCCGAGGCATCTCTGGTCGGCAGGTACGTCAATTCAGATGCGCAGCTGCCCGGTTCCCGATTACCACGCACGTAGCTGGCTTGCTGATATATGTGCAACTGCTGCCTATGGAATCTTTAGAGTCTGTCCATCTGTTGGTGTCCAAGGGCCTCGCCTTCAAAGATGTCATGAGTTGTAAATCAATCAGGCAACCTTGGACGCTTCCTCTCTCTTATAAATCCCGAATGTGACTCGCCAAGCCTGTTGCAGTTTACAGAGATTGTATCTCGCGGTCAAGCCAGGACAAGGATACACGCATTGTGTATGGTGGAGGCAGCTCGACGTCTCTTGGAGACCTTTCCTTGATCGACCCTACAAGACTTTCGCATTCTATAACTCCATCCCGGCAACTGAACTTGTGCCAAAGTGCAAAGCATCATTTGTTATGTTCTCTAGCACAACCTTAAAGCGAAGTGTGTCATATGACATAGTTGGTGATGATGATTCTGGTTTCGTGACATGGGGCCATCACTATATCGCTGGACTACCTTACATGGATGTATGATGGATGTGTCGTCCAACTCCTTTCCAAAACTCAGTTCCGTTCCTCTTCATCCGAGGAATTTCTATGTTACAGACAAGAGCCACCACATTCTAGATATAATAGGAAAATAGCCATCAAAATTCCGAGAATAGTAGGAAAATCCATAGCGACGCTTCTTGGTCAAAGTCATCGTGTCCTGTACTCCACGACTGACCTCATCTGACTCTTGGGCTCTGTGCTACGCATCCACATGGCTTTCCCATGGGAATTACTGTCGAAGTTGGAGGTACTGTCTGTTGGGGACAGCGCTCAGTCATTCTGGTATTCCTTGCGGTTTCCAAGTCAACTTTGCCAAACACACCTAAGATTGTGCTTCAGGTAAGAGGATCACCATGGAAGAACGGGCCACTCGCGGGGAACTGATCCCAACCATAAGCATCATAACTAGACGAAAATCCCCATTGGCCGTCCGTATCTCCCCCGGCCGTTGGATAGTTGGTGATAAGCGAACCGTCGCCTGCCATGATATTGTCGCTGGCGGCACCACTCATGACAGAAAGCAAGTCGCGGAAGGATTCGAATAAAGTCCTTTGGCCACTGCCTGGGGATGGTATAGCCGGCGCCCTCCTTGGGGAAAATGCTGTCCCTGTATATCCGCGTAAGTCTCTTGTCTTGAAAGGCATCGATCTCTTTGGAATCGGGTTACCTGGGCTACCATCCGAGGACGAATCCAAAATTTGCTCTCCCTCGGCACCAGAGGTGTGTTCCTCGATGAATCGATTGAAGAAAGTTTCCATGAACGTATCCAAACCGCCAAGCATCCGTTCGTTATCAATGCCCAGCATGCGGTCAGCATGGTTGACCAGCATCTCCGCCTTGGTTTCTTGCCAGTAGTTTCGCATATTCGTTGCCACCTCACGGGTAGGGCTGTAAACATATGGTGAGTCTGGTGGCGGTATATCGGGAAATGCGATGGCCCAGACGGCGAACCACTGCTCCTTCACCGCGAGCTTGCGGTCTACCCTCTCCTTGAGCTCCTTCTGCTGGTCATGGGTGATGCCGTCGGGCGGTTGGTTGGCCCGCTTGCTGCAGTCCTGTTGCCTTGTGTGACACCTCTCCTCAGTCTGTGTCTCGAACTGTCGACCGCACCTCGAGCAGTAGTGAGGCTGCATGTGCTTCCTATACAGATGCTGCTTCACATCTCTGATCCTATTCAACTGTAATAAAGCGCACCGGTGATGGATACGTTTGTCTGCCTTGTAGAATGGACATGCTAAGCTGAGGCCATGGTCGTTTTTGTCGGCGGTTGAACCTTGAATTCGTGACTTTTTTCTCCTGGACTCATCCGGTAATTCGTCGTCGTCACTCTGATCCTGACCATTGGTTTCACGCTGGCATCCGCCCCTTTTGCGACGACGCGGCGAGCCTGTGTTTCCACTCCGGTACTCTGAGGACTTCTCCTCACTGGTTTCGCGGCTACGCTGGCATGTATTGTAGGTCGGGCCCGTCTCTGTTTCTTGTTGTGAAGGCGATGGGCCAGATCTATGTTCCACGGTTGAGCCAAACTGCCAGTGACAAGACCAGGTAAAAGTACAAGCGTCAGACTTGAACAACCACTGCAGACGTAAGACCAGGCCTCTGCAGGTTTCAAGAGACTTCGCTTGGAGCCATCGATATCCTGTTATTAATGTGCTCAGAACCTTTCCCTGGAATTCAGACTTGTCTGCAACTTGAAAGGAGGCCAGGCTCATACTCCGACGGACTTTTTCAGGTCTGGCAACGTGGAACCCTCGCTGTCTAATGGGTATCGAAGAAGAAGTATCCCGTTCTCGTTGAATGACCAGGTCCCCGTCGGCTGAGTTATCTTGGGAAACTCCAAAGAAAGAGATGTGCGAGGTCTTCCGACTGGTCTTTCCGGGAATAAATTCAGAATCTCGGTCCTGAACGGCTAGAGAATGGCGCGTAATTCCAAGCTTTCTGTAGGTCTCAATATTCGGAAGAAAGTCATGCTGATCCATGGCCGTGGGGCCAAAGGCCCTCCGAGAAAATTGCAGCCCGTCGTGAGCAAACTCAAGAGTAGCTTCCGAGTCGACAACCGTGTTAAGGGGCAGAACTTCTGTCGTATATCTGCCAGAGTCAACTAAGTGTTCTGTTCGGAGTCCCGGTTTATTGGAATGTTTGGTTGATTGGAAGTTCCGTTGTAACAGCAACCTGGCACCGGAGTTCTCGGAGGTCAGATGAGGTGCGCTGATCGGGAGACGACCTGCACGGTAGTCGAGAGCATGGAAATCCGGAATACCCTTGGTATGTAACGCATGTCGCGATGGGCGCGAAGCTTCTGCTCTTGAACGTATCGGATCTTCCATTGGGATCGTGTAGTTCTGGCCCAGGGCGACAGACCCAAGCTTGCCAAGCTGTTGACAAGCTGCTTCCAGTTTCGTTGGAGAATAACCTAACAGCACTGCGTCCTGATGTTTATTACAAGGAGAAAAGTTGCTGAGAACGAGAGTCGCCATTGGATTGGGTTGGGCAGCTGAACAGCCTTTGATTAAGGACGCGAAACCAGGAAGCTGTGCGAAAAGCAATTTACGCTGAGGTAGGAGTTCAAGACGAATAGAAACGTCTTCTCATAAACGGCTAACATCCGCAGGGCAGCACGAGATACGGTATCCTGGGCTGATGATGCACCCACATCGGCAGTACACGCTGACAAAAACCTGTGGAAGGGTAAGGGCTACGACAAATTCCACGGCAATTTGTCCGGCCAAGGGATAAATGAGCACCCAGATAAGTCAACGGACTTGGTGATTCCTGGAGAAGGGAGTTCACAATAAGGGTAGTCCGAGTTTGAGATAATCCTGTCCGGATCCAAGCTTGGTAGCTTCCAGGGCACCCAACGGTCATCCAGGATTCCCTGTCCTTGGGCACAGGGTCCACGTATACGGTCAGGCGTGCAGTGCTTGTAGTGCGTGTTCGTCGGCGGGTCTTTGGTGTTGCTGTCGTCGTCTTTGTCGTTGCAGAGAATGACGTTGACCTATCGAAAGATATGAGCATAAAATAGATGTTAATAAGAAGTCAAGAAGCAAAGATCGCGGATCCCAACTTCCCAGTATTTAAATACCAACCCAAACAGGCAGGCCCATGCGAAACCCAACGGCTCGAACAGAGAGAAAGAGCACAAATGTGCTCCCATCATTCGTCGCAGCTCCTGCTTTTCCCCTTCCCTATCCCCGGGCTTTCTCTGCATCGTGCATAACGATGATTGGCCTTGGCCCCCAGTCCAGGTACTCGATCCTTCGACACACACACCACCCTTCCAGACCCCCCCGGGCACGCAGATTTCTTCCACTTCACCATCAGGCTGCGTCTAGTCCAAAGTAAGGTAAGGTGAGGTTGAGGTGAGGTAGGTGATAGGTATATGCTGACGAACCTGACATCATGGGCGTAAATTTCCAAATCATATGGCAAGCGCGTGCCTTCGTCTCCAGCCAGAAATTCCATTGGCATTCCCCCACACCCTGCACCCTGATGCAATCCCATGCAGGCTGCGCCGGGAAATGTGAACACCAAACCAAAAAGTATTGGCTGATTATGTTCTCTCGCCCAGCTGGATGAAGAATGTTCTGGTAACGACGTCAAGGACATCTAGCATGTCTCCGCAGCCTGGTGTCATTGGCAGCCGCAATTGGTGACGTTGTCTGGAGTTGAGTCGACGTAACGAGAGTTGTAGGAAAGAAATTTGATAGTCACTTCAAAGTTCAACTCTTAAATTACAGGTCAAAACAGTCTTCAGCATGAAGTCCTGCACGATAACTCCCTTTTCGCCCATACTGCTCCCCAGGCTATTCTATTCTTTCATCTTTAAGTTCCTAAGCTCCTTTCATGAGCTTGAATATATGCTTGTTCATCCAAATAGAATGTGTGTCGAAACAGTTGACGAAAGGTTGTGGAGGGGAAGCCTTATCGCTGTGACCTGTCTTTTTCACATAGGTAGCATTGTACAAGCCTCATAGGCACATCTCTGATAAACGCCAGCTTCAATCACTGCTGCTCTACGCGGGGAAGATACACTGTGAGTTTGTCTGGGGTCTGCACGCAAGCATTAGACCCAAACCAAGCCTCCTAATCCAGAGATGCCAGTCAGTCCTGTGTTTCTGGCATCAGCTGGCTTCAGGCTCGGCTATACAAGCTTCCATCCATATCAATCAAGTCACCCTCATTTCCCCATAACCAAATAGATATGTATGCCTCTAAAACAAAAACAGGATTTGACATTATCAAAACGACCGGTGTACATTACACATTGTCCCGTTTACCATCCGTGAATGCACCGATCAATCTAGACCAACAGACGAGTTTGGAACGTATGCTTTTTCAGTTCAACAAGAAAAGAAGAACACCCGTCAAACGCCAGTGAGAACTGCCCAACATATCCCTGCTAGGGATAATTCCTTCATTTCGCTTTTCTTCCCTTCCCCTTAGACAATGTTGTAAACCCGCTTGGCAATCAGGTAACAACCCATGCCGAATGCCAAAAGACCTGCGGTAATCGCCCAGAACCATTTCAGGTCCCCTTCGTACTCCTGGCCGGGAACCCACACGTTCATGCCCCACAAACCAGTGATAATGTTCATGGGCAGAACAATGGTACCCAGAACGGTCAGCTTGCCGAGAACGTCGGCCGTTTGCTCCTGTCTCTCGTTCATGCGAATGTTAATTTGAGCCAGGTAGTTGCCGTGAGATCGCGCAAGGATTCTGGAGAGAGGTAGTCGGTTAGCTTGGGTTAGATCAGTCTTCAAGGCTGAATGACTTACTTTTCATAGTGACTGAGGTTAGACGTCATGGTCACAATATGATCCTGAATATCGCCCAGGTACAGTCCAATATCAGACTTGGGTGCGACATCCCAGCGTTCGTTGCAGCGCTTCGCAAATCCCTTGATGACATCTGCCTTGTTGCCGAGCAGACGGTACAAGCTCATCACTCGTTTACGGCAGTCGCCCACCCGGCGAAGCATATCGCCTTCAGATCCCACATTTGTTCCTGTATTGCTAGCCTTCTCGTCAAAAACGTCGCTCTTGGAGTTGCCAGTAGAAGAATGCAGCCTCAAGATTTCGTCATCAATGTCGTCGACTTCGTCTTCGATGTTTTGAATCAATGGCACAAACACATCGGTAATGTCGTCAATGATTGCGTAGGAAATCCAATCAGAGTTGACGATAAGGTAGTCCTTCAGCTGGCGGATACGTCGGCGGACGTTGGCGGGATGCGGTGTCATGGAGAAATGGAAGCTGATGACACCCTCGCGGAAGACGATGACATACATGTTGACTGGTTCCAAGTAGTCCTCGCTGTTCTGATCCTGGTCAAACGATCGGTAGTTGACAAAGTAGTAGTGGCGGAATAGTTCAACCTTTTCTCGCGCCTCCTGAACCATGATATCCTCAGCTGTAAGCGGATGGATACCAAAGGCCTTGGACAACACCTTCATCTCTGCTTCCGTTGGAGAAAGGACATCGAGCCACCACACAGGTCGTTCGCCGTACCTCGGTGCGTTGACGAGCAGCTCTGGCGTCTGGGTCGTCTGGTTGCCGACGACCGGCGATCTAATACCGGTAGGCGTACGATGAACGGATCCGGCACGGGAGCTACCACCTGAAGTTTTGTCAGGAGACTTGATGCCCTCTCTTCTCTCTTGTTCGGATTGAGTATTCGCGAGAGATGGCTGTCTTGTGGGAGCTCTAGACTCCCCGTTTTGGCCAGTGTGGGAGTGATGTGTAGACAGGGGTGGCAGACCACCATCGTCTTCACTATCTGTGCTCTCATCGTCGGAGAGAATACGCGGATCTGGGATGAACAACTCCTGGAAGTTACCGCCGGGCTGCACAAGTTCCGAGATTGTCTGACTGTGGATGGTGCTCTGGAACTCCTCGTTGAAATAAGTGAACCGATAAGGAGCATCTTCCTCGGCACGGTACCACTCCCGGGTAATTGGTCGTAGTCGGCCGTTGATGAGCTGAGGCTCGGTAATGCGCTTTGCGCGTCTCTCGTCGCTGCGTCCCTCCTTTTCGAAGCGGCTCCATTCTTCCAGAATACCAAGATCGGGCCAGCGGCGGCGACGACGCCTCGGGCGTTGTTTGGCAGTGGGGTCTTGAGAATGACCTTCCTCGTCACCAATTTCCGAAATACCGCTCGGGAAGCAAACATCCTCCTCAGCCGTCAGGGCAATGGTGTTCCTCCGTGCTAGATCGGGCGAAGAGTGATTATGAACATCCCGGTCGGAGTGTGACCCGATGCTGTTTCTTGGGCTTCCACGCGGCGAGGTACGGATATCAATCTCATCTTCGTGAATCATGACATCCCCAAAGCTCAGATTCAGGGGGTCGGAAGGTCGGAAGGTGGGCGACCCAGGCATGGATGGTGGGTAGTTGACATTATAGTTGTTGTCTTGGAACGGGGTTGCAAGCTTCGTCCTCGAGGATCTGCTGGATCCGCGTCGGCTCACTCGTTGGCGAGGATCGCTCGAACCGTACCCGGGGAACATGGGTGCGGTGGAAGAGCGCTGAATGGACCTTGACAAGAGAGGGGCACCCTCGTCCCACGAGCCGTCCTCGTCGCCGCTGTCTCCTACGTATGCGTTGCGAAGTCTGCTGCCGGTTTGTGGTGTTGTCGTCGTGGCGGGGAAGGGGGCCGAGTTGTTCATTATGGAAGGCCTGCGAGGTCGGAGCGGCTGTGGATGATCTCTGCATTGTGTAAGTTAGACATCGTCACGCCTGACAATCGGGACCACGCGAACTCACCTATGATCCAGGAGTTCCTGGCTGTCAATGCTCGTGTTGCTTAAATTCGTGCGCTGGCGGTAAAAATCGTCTCTCTCGGGTGCCGTGGGAGGAGCTTCGTCGTGAGACTCCTCAGCGAGGACCGCGAATGACTTGCGCCGATTGCGTTTCTTCTTGGCGCCGCCGCGATGGTTCTTTCGCCGACGGGGCTGCTGCTGCTGCTGTCCGTTCTGGTCATTCCCGTTCGCGTGGCTCGAGGGTGTCGCTGGCGGCGGTGGTGCTGTCGAGCTCGATCCGGGAGTATTGGACTGTCTCCGGGACGTCGGCGTCTGTAGATGAGCCGCCAAGGGCTGGAAGGGATTGCCAGACATGTTGGAGGCGATATGTCACACCGTCTCTTGCAGCGCTTGTGCCGACTACTACTAGAGAGACCGGACCAGGTGGGTGCCGCAGGTCGGCGTCGAGCAGACTGCAGACGGCAGACTACCTTTGGCGTGGGTCGACGACTCCTGGTGTGTTTTGGTGGCGACTGGGGACGGTTTCCACGTGAAGCACGAAACGAACTGCGGGCGAGCTGGGGTAGATTTCAGCTGCTGTCTATTTTGAGTGGGCGTAGGCGTGGTGCGTGGGTCGGAGCTTTGTTGGAGAAATGGCAGCGCGAATATCGGATCGAATGCACTGTATTGTTTGAACGTGAAGATAAGAGATGATAGAGTGAAGTCGGGAGATTCAAACTATGCAGCGATTGACAGTAAAGCTGTTAACGAAGGCGATACAGCGCAGATATCAGGCGGCTGAGACTGAGGAAGAAAAGTCTGCCGCTGGTGTTGGAATTGGGGAGAGGGCGAGAAGCAGTCTAAGGAACAGCCCAGACTTGAGAGATAGAGCGATGCATCCGTTCCGTTGGTCGCTCTCGGTGATGTCAGTGGAAGGTGGAGCAACAGAGACTGAGAGAGAGAGAGAGCCTTCAAATGCTAAGCCGCTTTGAGGAGAGATCCGGCCGTCCACTACGTCCAGCACACGCACAGCTGCCACAGCAAGACGCACGGCACACCTGGGATGAGACCCCGCCCTGATGCATCCGTCACTTGCCATTGGTCGCTGCGGGGTCCGAGAGCTTGCCCCCTCCGAAATTTAGCCAACCAGCGGCCACCTCCGATAGCCTGGAAAGTCTGGCCGACCTCTTTTTTCTTCTTTTCTGGGGCTTGTTTCTGGGTACCTCACTATGTACACAGGTACGGGCAGGCATCGGAGCTCCAGGTCCTCACACTCCTCCAAGCCATCAGCCAGCACTTGAATACAGGGCATCCAGTCAGCGAGGAACAGTGCTGTTCGCTGTCAGCTGGTCGTCGTCCATCCCCACAGTGGACCGAGACTTTGATGCTCAGCACGCTGTTCTCCAGGTGTTCTGTCGACTGCCCACGTCCTTCCCTGACGCATGACACTCCACAAGTCTCCAGGCCGTCGCGCGACGACTGATAGGCAAGTACCTTAGGTACCTCGACTAAACAGTCCAACACCTCATAGAGCTCCGGCCAGCGCTCGGCTCATTGCTAAGCCTGTCGATCGGTTGCGGCAATTGAGCACACGACCTCTTGACTTTTTGGCTTTGTACGTCTGGGCGCCGAGAATTCCTCTCGACATTGGTTGGTCCATTCACAGGACGGTACCTGATCATCGCGCTGTATCGGGCCAGACACATGTATCTGTCTCTTCGTAGAAATTACCCAAACAGCTGGTGATAAATCTCACTTGAGGTAGGTAAGGTAAGCCTCATGATAGGGTGAGGGGGTTTGCCCGGGAGCTGAAATTCGTCTGAAATCGAATGACTCTTTCAAGGTGTGGCCACATGGATGAAGGAATAGCTGCAGCGGGAGCTAGGTCAATGACAGATGGAAATAAGGTATTTGGATCGAGATATACTTGCTATGCTCTACCTTAATAGCAAAGTCGACTGCCAGAACACTCACCTCATCGGAAAGCGGCACATCGAACATTCATGCTGGAGAAGACCGGAATTTCGGCAAGGCGGACATCTCCAAATGCGCGCTTCTACTGCACGACATGACTTTCTGCGAACTCAAATCGTAACCCCTACCCATCGAATTGCGAATGACCTTCCATGTTTGACTTTGAAAAAGTAGACGTTAAGATGAGAGACATAGTCAACACTGAATCAGGTGTAGGCAACCCATGAGCTTTACAGAGTAGCTCAGGCAAGTATAACAAACTTCGACATCGGATGACTTACCTCACTCTGTGACGACCTTTATCGGATCATTCCGACCACGAAATACGCGCTTTCATGCGTAACATCGTTAGTAGATAGAGTCAGCTATCCACTCACGATTATCAAGTAACCATATGCCACTGCTTACCCGCTGGTCGCAAGCGGAATCATCTACATAATTAAAAGGTAATACGGCTCACAGAAACTTCCACGTTGCTAAAAGCCCAACGAGCGCCTTGTTTTGATAGTAAACAATGTCTACCCGTGATGTCTAAACTTTTCAAGAACCATCCATGCCTCCATGCCGCGCCCGGATATCAAGAATACCAATCTTTTCTTTGTACAAGGGAAATGCCGTCTTTCGGCCTTGATGGCATCTCTCCTGCCACCCCATGCTCATCCTCCTCATTATAGGATCTTACTGGAAGTTCCACAGCTTCGCCACGAGACTATCTTGAACTCCGGACTCCGGCTCGTTTGGAAGAAACACCTTCTTGGGGATCTGAAACTCGATCACGGGCGGCTTTCTGACCTGTTTGCCCATCTCGGCCTCGAGCAACTATATCAATTGTCAGCTGGAGGTTCTCGTAATGGTCTATCTGAGTCTCTTGTGAGGCAACTTACACTGCTGTATGAGTGGTCGAGGAAGTCCTCAATGTTGTAGGACTGCTTGGTAAACTGCTCCGACATGATCTTGGCAATTGTCGCCACGTTGGGGTGGTAGTGCGACTGCAGCTGCACAATCTCCCATAGACAACTGTCAATGGCGTGCGTTTCCATGGGGTCGACCTCGTCCGCCAAGAACGGGTCTTCCACGCCCTGCGTCTCCATGAGAGCCTTGATCGCCGGGTCTCTCGTTTCCCTGTGGAGCATGAACGTGCACAGAGGGTGCCTCTTGAGAATGTTGTACATCCAGGGCACGATGAAGACGATGGCGCTCGGGGGAGCGTTGAGACTGAGCCGCGCCAGCCTCTTGATGAAACTCGCCACCAGCACTGCAGGCAAATGGGTTGAGTTGAGGAAGGTGTCCATCAACCGGAAGAATTTCGAGCGGTACTTGGAGTGAAGGATGTCCCGGTCCAGGAGCGAGTAGAGCTTGGTGTAGAATGACGGGTAGTCGAGGTTGCGTTCCTGGATGAGGTAGAAGACACCGGAGAGCGCGAGCAGCGAGATGGAGCCGCCTGCATCATAGGAGTCCGTCAGGAAATCGGCGAGCAACTCTGGGCGGATGAACCACGGGGCGATCTCCTTGGACATGACATCCAGAATCTGCTTCCGCTGCTCCCTCGTCGTCGCCAGCCTCAGAACCGCCAGCCAGGCGTCTTGGCCCTGCTTCTTGTGCTGGTGTACAGAGTTGACGTTGTGCGACTTCTTCTTGGGCTTTTCGGCGTAGAAGTTTCCTAATTCTTTCGGCACATCCCCAATGTTTGAGAGTAGCTCGAAAGCGTCATTAAACACCTCCTCCTTGGGCAAAGACCCAGGGTTCTCGGCGATGGACCTGTGAGTCGTTAGTTTTGTGAACCCAATACGTCTCTCGTGCTCTGGTCTCATACTTGACGGCCTTTAGTGTGAAGAAGCGAATGTCGTCGTATTCTGTCAGGTATTTCTCGACAAACTCGACACGAACATCATCACTGTCTGATGCCAACAGCCCCCTCACAATTTGCTCAACGAAGGCGTGAGGGAATGTGTACTCCTCCTTCTCGGTGAAGTGCTGAGCCTCGGCCTTGAGACACCTCATAGCCAGCGTCAACGCAGTTGATGCCAGATCTTCCTCCTCGAGAAGCGCAGCGAGCACGCCCTTGTACTCGAGGTACCGCTCTCTCAGCCATTGCACAACCACCTTCTCCTTCTCAGCCTGTCCTGGCCTAAAGGCGAATGCTCCCGCCGAGAGCAATCTCACAAAAACTCTGCACAGAGCCACACAGGCTAGTGTCGCGGCCTCGGGCTCATCCTCTTGAGTGCCGGCGATCTGGATCAGTTTTGTGATGTTGTTGTAGTGCTTCTTGGATTCCAAAATTTCATTTTCGAGCAGAAGGATCTCAGCCTGAGGGTCGTTGCTCTCATCGCTCTCTGCTTCAGATTCGGACTCGGATTCCGATTTGGCGCGCTTCTTTGACTTCTCCTTCGTGGGAACTCTTTTCCTCTTCAGGCCGTCGGCCGAAACTTTGGCAGGCATTCTTCCTTCTTTTTTTTGGGCGTTAATATTGTGATGGGCGGAGCTTCAGATGTTGATATCAGTCGTCGCAGTCGTGAAAACCGAGTTCAAATTTACAGCGGGTCCTTGATGAGATGGGAATTTTCATCGAGGTACCAATGTACTTCCATGCGCCGGGGTTCCACTTCAACTTGGATGAATGGAACTTGGAAGCCCAAGCGCCGGTCGGTCATCCTGTCCCAAGTCTCCCCCCAAATTCCCGCAGCCACTGCATCCGCCACATCACGTGACAAAATCATTGCCGTCTCGGGAGTAAGCGGTACCCGTAGACAAAATCTAACCTCACCTCGAGCAGCTCCGAATGACCTCAAACCCATAATACCCGCAACCCCCCCAATCATCACACAATGGCGTCCCGCTTGGCTCGAAGCGCTGTCGGTACGTCCAGACACATCCCTCGAAGCTTCGGCGTGTCAATTGGCTTGCTCGACGACAGCAGACAAACGTAAACGTGGTGGCTAACGCGCAGGCTCTCCCCTCCCTTCTCGAACAGGCGCGAACCTCCTCAGGCCGACCCTGGCCCGCCGCACTCTGCCCGCCATCTCGGCCTCGATCGCCGGTGCCCGCAACGCCTCCAACGTTCCCGCCGAGGACCCCAAGAAGAAGGCCCAGTCCATCGTCGACGCCCTCCCCGGCAACTCGCTCCTCTCCAAGACCGCCATCCTCTCCTCGTCCGCCGCCCTCAGCGTCTACGCCATCAGCAACGAGTACTATGTCGTCAACGAGGAGACCGTCGTCGCCTTCTGCCTGCTCGCCGTCTGGGGCGGTCTGATCAAGTACGGAGGCCCGATGTACAGCGAGTGGGCTCAGGGCCAGGCCGACAAGATCAAGGGCATCCTCAACTCCGCCCGTGCCGACCACACCCAGGCCGTCAAGGGACGCATCGAGGACGTCCAGCAGATGTCCGGCGTCGTCGACATCACCAAGTCCCTTTTCGCCGTTTCCAAGGTACGACTCTTTATGATGTAATCGATGGAAGAGGAGGCTGCCTCGCAACGAGCTCGGTCGGACGAAATAATTGGCACAGCCGAGGAGCACCATCAAGAGAATCATTACGGAACGGCAGCTGACATTTTCATTTAACAGGAGACTGCCCAGCTTGAGGCTCAGGCCTACGAGCACCAGCAGAAGACCGCCCTGGCCGCCGAGGCCAAGGCCGTCCTCGACTCCTGGGTCCGCTACGAGGGCCAGGTCAAGGCTCGCCAGCAGAAGGAGCTCGCCGAGACCATCATCGCCAAGGTCACCAAGGAGCTCGAGAACCCCAAGGTCCTCCAGCAGATCCTCCAGCAGAGCATTGCTGATGTCGAGAGTACGTGCTCACAAAAACCTCCGTCATCGGATGGTCCCCTCTCCGGGGATCTCCACCCAAATTATCAACCAAGTCCTTCTTGCTAACATTCATTCCCTTCGCAACAGAGATCGTCTCCTCCAAGGCCCAATAGATTCCCCACCCTTACTAGAGTCTGAGCGAGAAGCTTTCCTTTGTCCAAGGGGTCCTGTTCCCCTTGCGTGTCAATAAACACCCTGTGCATTAGCCAAATTCAAGAACTTAAGAGAAGAACGAAACTGGACCATCACTCGCCCATGTGTCGTGTAAGTGTTTAATTAGGAAAAAAAGCTTATTTTACTCGACAATTGATTCAACGATCTTCAACAATTTATTTGATGTTTCTATAGAGCTATCTAGGATGGCGTGTTGAACGCCAAGGCGTTTTTTCGTCTCCCCGGGTGTCCTTAACCGTTGTTGTTGGCTGCACCACCACCTCCGCTCGCAAATCCGATCGCTCCGACATTCTCCGCCCGAGCATAGCAACGACTCAAAACGTGATGGCAACCAACTGATTAACATATTTCCACGCGCGAAATCGGCCAGCAATTATATAGGAAAAATCATAACGCATCAGAAGAGTCATGAAAAAGGTAAGAAGTATGTTCAATCTCGGGGTATGAAAACTATCACCGTATCATCCTACGAAACCGTGATTCTGTCCCTCAAATCCGTACTCTGTACAGCATTCCTGAACGCCTTTCCGTCCTAGCTCGTGAGCAAGGTGTTGAGAGGGGGAAATATCACCAGAGCCTCCTCGTTGCGTCAAATCCGTTCTAACAAAGAAAATTATTACGCGTGATGGCGCCTAGGAAAGGTATGATGACTGGTCGACAGTGCATCTCCATCGACACACACACAGCTCAATAGATAGGCCGCGGCTCATCCCATTTTGAATGAGCAGCAGCCTTGTCCTCTGACGTCCCCGGGGTATCTTCTGTCTTAACATCCGCTCCATAGGAAATACGTCCGCTCTTGCGTCGTCTGGCACTGTCCCCTGCAATCGGTCCAATCCACTCCCACGCGCGACCAACTTCGCCGCTCCTTCCCTCTCTCTGGCTGGTCCGCACGTTGCTGTTTTGCTCAACTACCGCCTTGACCTTTATCCAAATTCGGTCTCTCTCCCCGAGCGAGTGGACGGAACGGAGCACGTCGTCGCGGAGGTTCGGGAGGAAGAGCCAAGGGTCATCAATGTCTTCCTCGCCGAGCTCCTTTTGTGTTGCCAATTTTGACAAAACAAGGTCTACCAACGCAGGAACCTGCGCCGCAGTCGCCTTGTGAGACCTGTACTTCCGCCGGACGTAAAAGTAAGCTGAAATCAACAGAATCACAGATCCAATTGAGAGTCGATGTCTTGCCAGACCGAGTCTGACTGAGCGCTTGAGGGTGCAGCCGATCGGTAACCGAGCGAGAGAGGTAGACGAGAGGTAGGCGTCTGAAATTGAGGTGGAATTGGCCTTTCTACTTCGGGCACATCCGATCTGGTTAGTACACTGGTCAGAATGGTGATTTGACGATATTGATATAAGCGCGAAAGGGGATTCTTGACACGACTCTGACAAAAAAGAAAAAAGGATAAGAACTTACGATGCCACTTCGACTTCCTCTCTACCCTTGACTTCTCCGATCGCGGCGACCCAAAGGTCGTCAAACTCTTGCTTGTTCATCTTCTTGCTCCGCTTTGCACTAATCGCAGCCTTCAGCTCCTCTTCTGCGATGGATGGTGACGCTGGCGCCTGACCAGCATCTACAGTGGAATCTCCACATTCGAATTGCGCGCGGCGCTCTCTTAGCTCCTCGACCGCCTTGTCCGCCACAGCCTTCACTCTTCTAACCTTTTCGCCATCCGGCTCACATGTGGGTGGAAGTGGAACCAACCCGCCCAAAGCCAGAGGGTGAGGCTTCAAAATGAAGTCAGGCTCGCAGCGAACAGTAAAATCTTCGTAGCAGTAAGCGTGCTGTGGACAAGGCTCGCACTGGGGCTCCGCAAGCTGCACTGCCCAATCGGGAACTGCGACCTCGGGAGGGATGATTTGCGTGGCAGGTCGACCGAGTCCACAGTAGCCAACAGCAACCTTCTCCTGTCGGTACCACGCACCGTACGCTCCGAACAAGGAGATCGCAAGAGCCCAGAGAGGTTTGGCGAGACTCCGTCTTGGACGTGGAGGCGACGCAGGCCGTGGGGCTAGGGCTCTTTCACCACCGGCAGCCATCTCTTGTTCCATCTCGAACTGTGCATCGGGGGTGAACTCTTCCCCAGCCTCAACCTCGAAGTCTTGGGGTTCGGGTGTTTGCTCGCGAAGAAGATCGCTGACAGGAACCTCGAATGCATGAGACTTTCTCGACGATTTGGGGCGATCCTCGGCGTAATGGCCATCCGTTCGTCGACGAGGGCTACTTTCCAGTTTGCCATTTGCGAAATCTAGGCCAGTGGTCTTCCTTCGTCCGTTGGGGCTAGTGATGAGCTGCGTTGCTGGGCTCCCACTCTGGAAAGGGTTCTCTGTAGAGAAGTACTGTGACTCTCTACGGTTGAAGAAATCTTCCTCGGACTCTTCCTGCTTGATCTTCGGGATCTTGGGAGTGACAGCTCGCTTGCGAACAGACTTGGGCGGCTCCGGTTCGATGTAAGACTCGACATAAGGTTCAGGTTCAGGCTCTGGCAATTGTCGGCTCGCAGCTCGGACCTTCCGCTTCGTCGGGCTGACTGGAGCCGGCACTTCTTGCTCATATTCCTCGCTTCTGATCCGAGCAGATGCTTTGCGCGGCGATCTCGATCTCGTCACCCTCGGCGGGGGAGGAGCAAGGTCGTAGTCGTTATCGAAATCGTCAGTGTCCTGAGAGCTCCCAGCATCGACAATGCCGTAGCTTGATCTTTTGGCCTTGGCTTGTTTCGCCAAAATCTTTTTGGCTTGAGGCACAACCTGCTCTTCGAACAGCTGGATGAGCTGAGGCTTTTTGGCTGTCGCGGGGTACTGGATGTCGTGTGCGACGAGGATCGAGCGGAGCCGAGGGACTGTCAGCGATTTGGGGTCGAACCCAGGCTGAAGGTATTCGTAGTCATCCATGTTGAAGCAGTTGAAGATGCCGCCGAAAGTTGGTTGTTTGCAAATGAGAAAGCAGAGAGTATAAGCAAAGAAACTCAGAAGTTGCAATCAAAGAAAGAGTGGTGCTGAATGACGGTATCAGAGCTTGGACACTTTGCGACAAGACGTCAAAGGAAGCTCACAAGGCAGTCTTTGAAGCCCTGCAGTATGAAACCTTGAGGGATAGAGCAGGCAAGGAAGGAGTGACTGGCGCATACAAAATGCAGTCGCACAGAGGATTTGGGCCTTGCTTTCTGCGGCCGTGGCAGGTGCACCAAGGTCTGAGCGATGGGGTGTAAGGTGCAAGTTGTGCAAAGGATGCGCCCAGTGGACAGATGTTGATAACGTCGGACGGGATGGATGAAAGACACGGGCGGGAGCCCACTGACGCAACAAGCAGGAGCATCCTGTCGCTTCTGGGTGCTGTGGCAACAGCAAAGGTCATGTGGAAAAAACAACTAGTGTGGGGGGCGACTAGGGAAGTGACAGGGGGATGACCTTTCCAAAGTTTCCAGTCCTTCCAGACTCCGAGGTAAGAGCAGGGGGGAAAGAGCAAGCACGGACTCGAGGGGTCCTGCCTCAGCCACACTTGAGCTTGAACAGAAATGTGGCTGGGTGTGGCGAATTATTTCGAGCTTGACCATCATTTCGACTGATGGCTCGTTCCATGTGATACCAACCTCAGCGAACCCCTCAGGAACCCGCCTCTTGACGACTCAGACAGAATGGCGACCACCAGAGTCCTGTTGGCCACAAATCGGTCGGTCTGCAGGTCTTGCACACGCAAAATCCAGACCCAGGCTCGCCGGTCCTTTGCGAGTGTAGGCGCAACATCCTCAGCATCCGAGCCAGACATCTATGATGTCGTTTGCGTGGGAGGTGGACCGGCAGGCTTGAGTCTTCTGAGCGCTCTCCGTATGCTACAATCGACATTATCTGGCTACATAGAGAGGGACTAACATGTTCTAGGGGCTAACCCAGTCACATCCCGTCTCAGAGTAGCACTCGTCGAAGCTCAAGATCTCTCTAAGATTCGCGCGTGGAACCTCCCGGCCGACAAGTTCTCGAATCGATGCAGCTCCCTCACCCCGACCTCAGCACAATACCTCAACACAATTGGAGCCTGGAGCCACATCAAGCGGGATCGCGTCCAAGACTATAATGAAATGCAGGTTTGGGACGGTGTTAGTGGCGCGAGAATCGAATTCGACTGGCCGGCGGGTTCGGCGCCGGGCAAGACAATCGCATACATGTGCGAGAACCTCAACTTGACCTCCGGTCTCTTGAGTCGTCTGGAGGAGCTTGGTGGAGTCTCGGTATTCGACAACGCAAAGGTCGAGAACATCAGCTTCGGAGAGGAAACGGAGGACTTGGACCTGACGCAGTGGCCTGTTGTTCACTTGTCAGGCGGAAAGCAGCTCCACGCAAGACTGCTGGTCGGAGCCGACGGCGCAAACAGCCCAGTGAGGACGTTTGCCGGTATCAAGGCGCAGGGTTGGGACTACGGCAGACATGGCGTTGTCGCGACGCTTCAGCTAGAAGGAGAGGGATGGGGCGGAGAACACAACAAAATCGCGTACCAGCGCTTCTTGCCCACTGGCCCTGTGGCAATGTTGCCGATGCCTGGGAACTACTCGACGCTGGTTTGGTCAACAACACCTGCCAACGCCGCGCTCCTGAAGAGCCTTTCGCCGAAAGACTTCATCTCCATGGTCAACGCTGCCTTCCGACTAAGCCCCGTCGACCTAGAGTTTATGCACAAGCAGGAATCTGGTCAGTCTGAGGAGCTTGCCTGGAGACTCGAGCATACTCCTTTCGATCACCGTGCGATTCCTCAGCAGGTCGTTGGAGTTCAGGAGGGCACCGTTGCCTCTTTCCCGCTCAAGATGCGGCACGCAGACACTTATACCGCCGAGCGCATTGCCCTCGTTGGCGACGCGGCACACACCATCCACCCCCTGGCTGGGCAAGGCCTGAACCAGGGTCAAGGAGACGTCCAAAGCTTGGTCAAGACCATTGAGACAGCCGTTTCTACTGGCCAGGACCTGGGAACGACACTTTCCCTTGAGGCGTACAATGCGGAGCGCTACGTTGCGAATCATATTGTACTGGGCGTATGCGACAAACTTCACAAGCTATACTCTGTGGAGAGCGGGCCTCTTGTCCCATTGCGGTCCCTTGGCCTTAGCGCGGTGAATGCTCTCGGCCCCTTGAAGAAGTTCTTCATGGACCAAGCCTCAACCACTGGCGCCAAGCTCTTCTAGAGTTGTACTCTTATGTATTCCAACCCCAAAAGCTGTACTATCAATCTAAAAAAGCCTGGTCTGCGTAGTCAGGCCATTTGTATCTTTAGTCTAAATATCAAATCAATGGCCAATGCCAAAAACCTGACCGAGGTTTTCATAAATAAGCTTATTCAGTGAACGTAGACTAGAGACATTTTGCATGCCATGGTCTGTACGAAATTCTTCTAGAAAAGAGAACAATGCGGTATATACGTCGGCGCTCTGTCTCTTCACTCTACAAGTACACAAAAGGAAAGAAGTTCCTCAAAGTCATTTTGATATCCATCCTCTGATACACCCTTTACCGATCAACCTCACCTGGGGTAATAGTTAGCAGCTGCTTTATTGAAGCATTATCAAGATGAATGAACTCACCGAACACCAAATCCATAGTACCGATAACCGCCACAGCGTCAGCAAGCATGTGGCCCTTGGAAACGTGGTCGAAACCGCCCAAGTGAGCGAAACCAGGGGCTCTGATGTGGACACGGTAGGGTCTCTCGCTGCCGTCACTGACGACGAAGACACCCATCTCACCCTTCGGGGCCTCGATGGCGGAGTAGGTCTCACCAGGGGGGACAGTGTAACCCTTAGTGTAGAGAAGGAAGTGGTGGATAAGGGCCTCCATGTTCTCCTTCATGGCAGCACGGGGAGGGGGCGAGATCTTGTAGTCCTCGACGCGGACGGGGCCAGCGGGCATCTTGTTGAGGCACTGGTGGATGATGCGCAGGGACTGTCTGAACTCCTCCATACGGCAAAGGTATCTGTCGTAGCAGTCACCGCGGACACCGACGGGCACGTCGAACTCAACCTCGCCGTAGGCGTCGTAAGGCTGGCTCTTGCGGATATCCCAGGGGACACCGGAACCACGCAGCATAACACCGGTGAATGACAGGTTGAGGGCCTCGGCGGCAGAGACCACACCAACGCCCTGAAGACGCTGGATCCAGATACGGTTGTCCGTCAACATCTCCTCGGTCTCGTCAATGCGGTCACCGAATTGGGTAGCCCATTGGTAGATATCGTCGAGAAGACCGACCGGGATGTCCTGGTGGACACCACCGGGACGGACATAGGCGGCGTGGAGACGGGCACCGGAGACACGCTCGTAGAATTCCTGACAGACACGCGGGTTAGCCGGAAATCACACAATCGGCTTCGTCATTTCTCCCAACTTACCATGAGCTTCTCACGCTCCTCGAAACCCCACAGGAAAGGCGTCAAAGCACCAACATCCATAGCGTGTGACAGAACGGACATGAGATGGTTCAGGATACGGGTGATCTCGCCGAACATGGTACGAATCCACTTGGCGCGGTCGGGAATCTCGACGTTGAGAAGCTTCTCAACGGCAAGGGCGAAACATTGCTCGTTCGTCATCATGGAAACGTAGTCGAGGCGGTCGAAGTAGGGGAGGGCCTGGAGGTACGTCTTGTACTCGCAAAGCTTCTCTGTACCTCTGTGGAGCAGGCCGACGTGAGGATCGGCTCTGATGATCTCTTCGCCATTGAGCTCGAGAATCAGACGCAACACACCGTGGGCGGCGGGATGCTGGGGACCGAAGTTGACGGTGTAGTGGCGGATCTTTCGGTCCTCGACAGACTCCTCAGGTGTCGTGTCCTGGTCCTTCGGCGGCGTCAAGCTGTAGTGGTCCTCGGCGCGAGAGAAGTCGGTCGAGACAGGAGTGAGGCGCGTTCCTTGGTATTCGGGGGCGGCATCGGCGTATCGGCGCAGGGAGGTCGTCGAGAACGGGCGGGCGGCGAAGGAGGTGACTGCTGCCGGGCGCAGACATAACCTCTTGGCGCTGTGGCCAGCAAGTCGGTAGAGGCCTGACATGGCGATTGTAGAGTGGAGAGACGGCTGCAAAAGAGGTCAAGGAGATATGCTGCCTCCAATTGAGCCTCCTTTATTATGCCAATGGCTAAGGGCCGGCTAGGTTGGATAGAGGGGATTCGCCTTCGAAAGTGTGTAGTGTGGCCGTCATGTCCCGAAAGCTCGAACGCATCGATTCAAAATGGGCCTTCGCTGATTGGCTCAGCGGAGCACGGTTTTGCCGCAGCCCTTGGAGGTGCGCAGCAGTGTCTGGGATACAGTACGTACTGTATCGCACACGGCTTATGCTACATGGATGTGGATTCAATTGAGTTGCAGCTCTCTCACAAACTAGTCTCAAGCTGCAGCCGGTATCAAACGAGGTAAGCAACTGTTTTCTCAATTCAACTTGCATTGTGTTTGCACTGGACATCAATGTCTAGCATTCTCGGAGTCAATGATGTTGCGATCAAGACTATTCCGGATTTTGGCCTCTCTCTCATGGGTTGCGCAAACTTAATAAGCTGATCAGAAGGTCCAGACACTCGCTCGGTCTATATCTCACCGCCGGTGAACGTGTGTAGGTTCAGAACTCCACCAGGAGTCCTCGAAAATGCCATGGCCGTTCAGCTCTTCCAGCTCAGGAAAACCGCCCACCCCGAGCAAGTCAGAAGATGATGCGCGCGTCTTACCAACATCATGGAATGACCTGCTGCCACAACCTGCGCCGCCATTGCAGGCTGCTAGAGAATGGGCTCCCGTTTTTCTGACATCCGTCGCATCGCTGGCAGCGTTCATGTTCTATCAGACCCGGCTGCGGAGGTTCCCCACAACAAATCACATTCAGCCAGAGCTTTTCAGAAAGAGGACTCTTCTGGGCCGAGTGACCAGTGTGGGAGATGGCGATAATTTTCACCTGTTCCACACACCAGGTGGCAGACTGGCAGGCTGGGATTGGCTGAGGAAGGTCCCCAACACCAGAGCCGCACTCAAGGGAAAGACAGTAAGTGCAACCCTGAGCGAAAGGAGAAGCTAGTGCTGAGACTCAGCACAGATACCGATACGGATGGCTGGAATTGATGCTCCCGAGGGTGCACACTTTGGCCGGCCGGGGCAGCCAGGTGCGGCAGAAGCGCTGCAATGGCTGAGAGGCTACATACAGAACAAACGTGTCTGGGCTCGGATTCACAGGCGCGATCAATATGAACGCGTTGTTGCGACAGTATACGTCAGACCGTTTCTGTTCAAGAAAGACGTCGGGCTAGAGATGCTGAAGCTCGGGTTGGCAACGACATATGAAGCGAAAACGGGAGTCGAATGGGGAGGGGCTGAAGAGGCGTACAAAGCTGCCGAGGCCAGGGCTAAGTCAAAGAAGCTTGGAATTTGGAATGGCAAGGCAAGTGATTTTGAGAGTCCCAGGGCATACAAGACAAGAACAAATGATACGGAGGTGAAGCCTGAGGGGAAAGCTGAAGGCAAGACGGGAGCCAAGAAAACTGGCTGGTTGTCGGGGTGGTTGTGAGGTGTAAGTCGGGAGAGATGTTCTACCACTTCGAGGCAAGCTGCATGCAGATACACAAGCAAATACCTTACGCGGCGATACCAATTAGCACTCTTGTACGAAAGCAAGTGCTGCTTGAACTTACGAGAGCGACTTGATGTTGAAGTGAGAGGACAATGAATCCTCTTGCTGTGAGTGAAATGGTTACATCGATACACCGCTTTGTTGTGAGTGGCTTAGTTGCATACCATGGATTACTGTATGCTAACAGTGATTGGCTGGAAACGACTCCAGTACCTGCCACTTTCACCGTGCTCGCAACCTCACCCCCTGTGTTTGACCCGAACTTGGACGTATCAGATTGCAGTATGCGTACAACCCAACCTCGATGAATACTGCAACTTCTCATAACATCTGGCCCTAATCGGCAACCTCAGCATTGAATGCATAGGGGACTGGGCTGTTTCTCTTCGACCGTTGCTTGATCGCAATTTTTGTTTTTATCGACTTGAGGAAGAGACATACAGCTTTTCAGGCCGTCCTTAACAGTCACAACTCACCCAAGATGTCACTCCAAGTCAGGGGCCCCGACTTCTCGGTGACGAAGCAGAAGGCCCTTGAAGATGCGAAGAAGATGCAAGCTGCGGTGGACGATGAGGTGGCTAAAGCAGGACAGGACAAGCCGCCATATCTTCTCAATGAATTGATTGGCAAGGGAAGTTTTGGTCGTGTCTATAAAGCAACCGACATCAACACCAGCATGCTTGTGGCGGTCAAAATCATCGACATTGAAGAGAGCGACACCGTCAATCCGAAGCTTGCGGACACCTTCAAGGAATTTTTGGCTGAAGTTAATGCGCTGAAGCTTCTAAGCGACAGTGGTGCAAGAAACATCAATCATGTCATTGACGCATTGCCTGTCGGCCAATCCATGTGGATGATCACGGAGTACTGCGCCGGAGGAAGTGTGGCGACACTCATGAAGCCGACCGCTCCCGGTGGCCTGCAAGAGAAGTGGATTATACCAATCCTCAGAGAGGTCTCTGAAGCCGTCTTCTGGGTTCATCGGCAAGGCATCATTCATCGCGACATCAAGTGCGCCAATGTTCTGGTTACCGAGGCTGGTGGAGTGCAACTTTGCGATTTCGGAGTGGCAGGTGTTATTGAGACAAAATTCGATAAACGATCAACCTTCATCGGAACCCCTCACTGGATGGCCCCGGAACTTTTCGATCAGTCAACGTCCTATGGAACAGAGGTGGATATCTGGGCATTCGGCTCCATGGTTTTTGAGATTGCCTCCGGCTTACCACCAAACGTCATGGCTGGTGTCGACGTTTATCAGCTTGGAAATTACATCAAGGCACACACGCCTCGATTGGAGGGCGACCAGTACTCCGACCGACTAAAGCACCTAGTTGCCTACTGCTTAGAAGAGGATCCGACGAAGCGACCAACAATCGAAGAGGTACAGAACCACCCTTACATCGCCAATTCGGCCCAAGAATACCCAGCAGCATCACTGGCCTTACTAGTGAGAGGATTCAAGCTTTGGGAGTCACAAGGTGGCAGCCGTAAATCACTCTTTGCTCCCGGAGGAGCCCAGGGCATGTCCGGCATGGATGAGTCCGACTTCTCATCCACTGCGATGGCCAACGACGAATGGAACTTCAGCACAACGATGGCATTCGACCAACAAGTCTTCCAAAACACGGACGCTCAGGCAGTCTACGATGTGTATGGCTCAAACGTGGAATTCGACCCTATGCTTCTGGACGACATGTCTCGATCCAAGCCGAAATCGCGGCGGAGACCGCCGCCACAACAACTTGCTGCCATGAAGGCTCCCTTAGAAAAGGTGTTTGACCCAAACACTATTTCCAATTACGAAGACAACTCTCGAGCCTACTATGGCAGACCGATCCCTCCACCAACTTCAGATCTTCCGTTGCGAGATGACTCGCTCCAGTCAACAGCGGTGAGAGAATCACTCATCGATCTCGACGCTTCACTGCACGGTGGCGATCTTTCCAACTTTGTGGATATGAACACCATCAGAGCCGGCGCACCGCGCGTGTCTGTCGATTATCATATGGGCGACGAGCCAGACTTCAGCAAAGCACCATCGAGCGACCCGGCAGATCTGAATCCGAATAGAAGGACGCAGGACTGGAAGTTTCCTTCCATGGCACCTCCGGCTTCCGCAAACCCGGAAATGTCGAGGTTTCCCTTCAACGAAGATCGCCCCTTCCACGAAGATAGGCCCTCGTGGGATGACCACTCGGGACCCAGTTCTGCGTCTCGCCCGCAAATGTTCCACCACCAGACTGATCCTGTCCCCGCTCCTAACTATGGCGGCGACTTAATGGTTCCCCGGCCTGGCTCACAAATGAACAACAGAGAGTCAACAGGGAGCTTGATAGATCTGGATGAACTTATGGTTCCGCCTCCCAGTAACCAGAATAACCGTGTATCTACTGGCAGCTTGATCGACCTCGACATGGGCTTGGCCGATCCCATGCCGGAGCTCACTCGTCCTTCAACAGCAAACTCGGACGTCGCATCTGTCAGCGGCTCGGAGATGGGAATGGCGAACCCCTTCGACCTGGAGCGTCATGCCTCCCTTTACGTGCCCACATCAAACCGGGAGCCTTCCATCTATGTCCCAGTATCGAATAGAGAACCATCTCTCTATGTACCATCATCGAACCGAGAACCGTCAATCTATGTTTCGGATGACTCGGACTTCGCCTCGCGCGCTCCCAAAGACGATGACCAACTAAGCCTCGTCGACCTCAACCTAGCCGAGCCCGGTGCTACCGTTCGGCCCAATGGCCAGGGCGGGTTGCGACTCAACACACACCGCTCATTCAACAGCGTCAACAGTGCCGACTACTCTGATCCCGAGTATCTGACTCCGCAGCAGGCCGCCCAGCCAGCCCTGCCCCCAGGTATCCCACGCTCGGTAGGGAACCGGGACAGTGGCACTATCCCGCTGCCTCCTCCACCAGCGCCGCCGTCTGTGGAGGTCATGCAAGGATCCGCCAGTGCAGATGCTGTGAAGGAAGAGTTGAGGAGAATGGCGATGAGTTTGGGTGAGCATTTAAGTCACGCGAACCAGTACCTGTCTACGCTACCTGTCCGTAAGGGCGGAAGACAGGACCTACAGGACATAATGGGTGAATCCACTTGATGGGTTTGGCACGTTTGGCTTTGTTTTGTACACATGAAAGCAGCATGAAAATACGGAAAGGACCTGCTTATGTATTCACGGAGCATCGGCGTTAGAAGGGGTGTGGATTGTTGACGAGGGACATGTATGACTACTCTAAGTTGGATGCTAGGGTGGCATGGGCAATGTTTGTTTCGAACGAGAAGGCCCGTGTCAGATATCGTTTTTAACAATGACATCCATTCCTTTTGAGAGTGTATCTCCCTGCCCTATCGTACTCTATGAGAACCCTATCATGTCGCCCAGCAGCAGGGCCCGATACTTCTCCGTCGCCTCCTGTAGCTTGATGAGCACCGCGGCAGAGAGCATCTTCACATTATTCTCCTCCCCGCCATCTTCACCGCGCGTGCCGTTGAAGACACCGCTGACCCATTCTTGCGTCTCGACGACCTCGCGCGGATGCGCCTCGCACAAGCGCCGCATGTCAGACGCCTCATTGACCTCAAGCATAGCCGCCAGCGCAACTAGCAACGCGTGGGTCCCGGGCACGTCGCCGTTGACGTGGGCGCGGACACCTAGCAGAAGATCCCAGAGCTCGGCCGTCATCTGCGGGAGGGCCAGCGTTGCGGGTCCCGCGGCATGGACGAGCACGGCCAGGGTTTTTAGGTAAAGGGAGAGGAGGTACGGCTGGATGAAGATACCGGAGCGAGCCGAATGGGAGCGCAGGGCGTGTTGGAAGCGGGCTGTCAAAGGGAAGAAGAAGGAGGTGGCGAGCAGGGAGGCCGTTGTGTTGGGGATGGAACGGATGCCGGGTTTCTTGGTGGACTTTGAGGGCAGGCGGGAGGTAAATGTCGAGAGCTTGAGAACGTCTGGTCCTGTTGTTGCGTCTGCTGCGTTGGCAGCTATGGGGGCGAGGAAGGAGGATGTCAAAGAGTCGGTGATGGTGTCGAGGGCGTTGGCGGGGATGGCCTTGAGATTCGACGAGGAGGCGAGGCGGGCTTGGGTGGTGGACGGGTCGAGGTAGAGCGCTTCCATCTTCTCCGGGAGGCGTTTGGAGGGGAAAGAGGCGGCGGCGGCGTATTCGGAGGTGTCGAAGCCGGCGAGCTCGCGGGCGCTGAGGCCGAGAACGATGAGAACCGCGGCACGCTGCGAGATGGAGTAGTCGCCGTCAAAGAAAGTCTTTGCGAACCATTGGCCCATCTTCTGTGGCTGTGCTGCGACAATGGCTATCATGCCCTGAAGACGGAGGTCATTGAAGTTTTCAATCTCGAACTTGTCTTGTAGGCCGACGAGAAGCGTGGCGAGCTCATCTGCATGGGAGGAGACTTCTGTGCCAAAGTTCGCTTTGCGGCGGATCAGGGGCGGAGCCGTGGTGAGGGCCAGTTTTTGCTTATCGTAGTTGTCAGTGTCGCGGAGGTAGGTTATGAGATCGCGGACATAGACTGGAGCTCGTGGCTTGTCGCGGCGAACGAGCGTGGCATCTTCGTCTGAGTCTTCTGCATCATCAGAGGGCTTGGCGTAGGGTATGAGATCCTCGTCCTCGCTCTCGGAGTCTGAGACTTCTTGTATGATAAACTTTGAGGGCGCGGCTGGCTGCTTGGGTTTTGGTGCTGGCTTTCGGCGGGATGGTCCTGGCAGTTGTGGCTGTCTCTTCTGCTCCACCTTGGGGGTGGTGATCAACGGCTCGATAGGCCCTGTACTATCTAATGTTTTGACGAGATCTTTGTAGAACTGTGCCTCGTCTGTTGCCATTTCCTCCATTTTGAAGTCCAGTTTCTTGTCACCACCGTCGATTAGACTCGAGAGGGCCTCGCCCACTGCCATACCCAAGAATCTAGCCCTCTCTTGTGAGGCGCCTATCCGGTTGGACACGGTGTTGAGGTAGCTTGAAGATCGCATGAGCATCTTAAGCTTCAGGGGTGAGAGCTTGTTGACATAACTGGCGCTAAGCAGAAGAACTTGTGCATGAGCTTTGCAATAGTCAGTGAGTGCTAGAGAGTGACAGAGGTGAAAGAATCAAACCTTGCTGCTGCATGATGGGAGAGTGCTTAATGTATAGCTGATCGCCGAACTGGTGAAGGCTCTTCTCAAATACCTGAGTGACACATTCTCTGTCCTGTGCAAGCGCCGCTATGGCTGCGCGCCTGATACCTATGCCGTCTCCCAAGCCAGCACCAGTTGAGCTGGTCAACCAAGAGATCAAATATGCCTTTCGGCTTTCTTCGTTGGAGACTATCTTCTCGATGATGCCAGTCGCAGCGGATATAACCGAGTTCGGCTTCAAAGGTTCGACATCACCCAGCTTATTGAGAAATGTCTCCGACAAGTGCTTGAGAACAGCAAAGATGACCCGCTTCTGCTCGAGTTGAGAGAATTGGCCAAAGAGCTTGAAGAAGGCGTTTCGGCTTTCCTCGGGGCCTAACAGAAGTTCGCTGATGAATTGCTTCATCAGGGCATCTACAAATCTGTTAGTGACATTCCTCGAGCTACCGAAGGGATGGCGTAGAGAATGGTGAACTTGCCAGAATAACCTAGGCGAAGTGATCGTATGAAAACCTCTGAACATAGCTTCGCATCGTCAGACGAGTTGTCACCCTTCGCCCATGCCCCGACACTTCGACCCAGCCACCTGCTGTATTGTTGCCCGTCTGCGATCCAAAGTTGATTCTTGTTGATTTTGTCCGGGTTGGCAATGGCATCTGCCTCCGCTGCAACTGAAATGAGGCGTCCACCGGCTATCAATGCCATGAACTCATTCGCCATCGGCCGTCTCCTCGCCGCAGACTCCGACCCAGCGCTACTCGACGCCCATAGTGCAGCAAGGTAGTCGTCCCCACCCAATACTGCTGAGCTGACCTCGAGTAGGACGTTCAAGTTTAGGCTTAGATCTGGACGCTTCACATCCTTGGCGCTCGCCTTGGATTCTTGGATCAAGGCCTTCATACGGGTGATGATAGCGTTGAGACCCGTGACACTCCTCAAGCACCTAAGCAGCAACTCGACGTCTTTTGGGCTATCGACACCTTGTATACCAGATCCTCCGGAAGCATCTTCTTTGAGCAAAGGCCAGTAGTTGGGAACAATCTCCGAGACGAGACACTGAATAATTTGCGCAGCCTCGGGACTGGGCGTCGCAAGCCTGAATCCTGTTGCAGCAACACTGCCATCAGTGAGGGACTTAAGGACTCCAATCAGATTGCCATAATCTGGCTGGTTCTTTAGAGTCTCTAGAGCATTCTCTACAGAGAGAGTTTCGGCGGCAGCTTTTGATGATTGAGGCTTGTTGCTTGTGGCTGGCTCTTCCAAAAATGGTTCGTTTGGCCTTGCCTTGAGGTAGGTAGTGCTGACCGGGGTAAAGAAGTCGTCCATGCTTGATAATCCCTTTTCTGGTGGTAGACTACGGTCCTTGCATGGTACCGTGAGGAAACGAAAAGGGCTTTCTCAAACTGTCACCTCAAAGGTCGAAAATCCAGATTAGTGTCGAACTAGATTTTTCTGATTGCTCTGAGTTTTGATTGCAATATCAGGTGGGAGTTCTGTTCGTTAGGAATAATATGTCCCCAACTGCTTCCATGAATGAATGGACAGACACCTAAGCCCAAAGAGTGAAGGACCGTTGGGGTCGTCTTTCCACACCCTGTGCTGTAGACACCCCATAGAAGGCACTATAGAAGGTACCTAAGGTAGGTACCTATGATTCCCACTAAGGTATCTTATCGATAACGAGCATGCCGATAAGTCTTATCAGGCACGGACATAGGCTCACCTGGCCCTATATAGGTAGGTAGGTATCGTCATGTCGGCCCCTCCACCTCCCGAAGCTCACCCAGACTGAGAACCGAAGGATTAAGCAACAAAGTGATCGCCACGAACGAACATCGCCTACAAGTCAATCCAAGTCGAAACCTCCTCACGATGGCTACCGAAGCACCTTTGCTAGTAGCGACACATCAAGTCGATGAGGCAAAGAGATGGTACGCCTCTCATGCTACAATCCGTCAGTTGTTGCACTCAATCGCTGACCATAGCATGGTACAGGACCTACCTCGACAACATTCGCAAGACCCCAGGACCCTTCAGCGACCCTGATGTGGCCGGAACGGAGGAGGCTTTTGAACAGTTTGACAAGATCAAGGTCTTGTATGATATTGCATGATCCAATGAGTCGGTTCTGTCTACTAATACGTTGTGTAGGGTAATGTTGGTGATCCCCTCCTCGAACACGAAACCTGCGACTGACATTATACAAGTGGCGCCGGAGGTCTTGGATGTGAGATATTAAAGAACTTGGCCATGTCAAAGTTTAAGGATATTCATGTCATCGACATGGGTAAGCCGTACTCTCCCGCCGCTCTACTTAAGATCTGACATTTGCTTGGCCAGATACTATCGACATCTCGAACCTAAACCGGCAATTCCTCTTCAGAAAGTCCGACGTCGGCAAATACAAGGCTGAAGTCGCGGCTCAGTTCGTCATGCGTCGTGTCAAAGGTGTCAACATTACAGCCCATAACTGCGCCATTCAAGATTTTGGTCAAGACTTCTACAAACAATTCCAGTTCGTCATATGTGGATTGGACAGCATCGAGGCGCGCCGGTGGATCAACGCGACCCTCGTACAGATTGCTGAAGAAGGTGAGGATCCGGATTCATTGATTCCCATGATAGATGGAGGCACAGAGGGATTCAAGGGCCAGGCTCGAGTCATCGTACCTTCGATCACATCTTGTATCGAATGCCAACTGGACATGCACGCACCGAGAGCCGCTGTCCCTCTCTGCACAATCGCCTCAATCCCCCGACAACCGGAGCACTGCATTGAGTGGGCACACGTCATCGCCTGGGACCAGGAGAAGCCGTTTCCAAAGCTGGACAAGGACGACACTACCCATGTGTCTTGGCTGTACCAAAAGGCTCTTACACGTGCCCAAGAGTTCAACATTACAGGCGTCACTTACGCCCTGACCCAGGGAGTCATCAAGAACATCATTCCCGCCATCGCATCCACAAACGCCATCATTGCGGCAGCATGCTGCAATGAAGCCTTTAAGCTCGCCAGCTCCGCCGCGCCAACGCTTGGAATGGAGGAAAACTACATGATGTATTCTGGAAATGACAGCATCTACACCTACACCTTCAAGCACGAGAAGAAAGACGACTGCCCCGTCTGCGGACAGGAATCACGGCCGCTCGAGGTCGACCCCGACAGCACACTCCAAGACCTGGTGGACTCATTTGCCATCCGTCCTGAGGCACAATTGAAGAAGCCTTCATTCAGAGCTGCCAATAAGACCCTATACATGCAGTTTCCGCCCAGCCTGGAGGAGAAAACACGGGCCAACCTTGGAAAGACCATCAAGGAGCTCGAGCTGGAGGATGGGCAAAATGTTATTGTCACGGACCCTGCTTTCCCTCTGGAATTCAACTTCTATCTGCGGTTCAAAAAGGCCGCATAGATAGATACTCAGCATTTACGTGGGATGATGATGATAATAGCATGGACGGTGTCTTTAGGAATGTCAAAAGGCATGGCATATCAGGTGTACTCGCACTAAAAGAAGTAACTAGACGAATCTAGAGAATAAAAACCGAGTGTCATTATGAACTTTTTTCTTTCTTTCCATTGCCAGCCAGCCCTTGCAAAACCAGAAACACGGGATATCTATAAGTATGGTACATGTGCAGTGATGCTTCATCTAACCATGTTGATGACCTGCTGCTCAAGACGGATACACCTCGTCTTGAACTGCTTAACCGACTCCAAAAACAATTCGTCGCTGTCCCACTGTCCTGTGCTCTCAATGGAGAAGATGAAGTGATCGCGCACCCGGCCCAACTTGACCTTGCCCTCGAATTCGGGGTGGCGCAAGCACTCACGACTGACTGTATCCCTCATGGCGTCCTTGACCACGGCCTTCTTCTCGCCCTCGTGACCCTCGTATCCGCTGCCGGCAACGGCGGCCTCCTTCTTTGTGACCTTTTCGAAGCCAATGACGCCTTGGGGGAAGCACTTAGCAAACTTGTCCGCGTCCTGGCCGAGGATTGGCCGCGTGATGGTGATGGTGGGCATGAGACGGTACGAAGCGGTAGCGACGGGGGAGAATTTGGCGTGGTCGGAGCCGATGCCCTTGTGCATGTGCATGTCGAGCTCGATGCACTGGCCGGGCCGCAGCTTGGCGATGAGGATGTCGGGGTTGACGGGGCGGATGGCGTCCTCGCCGGAGAAGAACTCGACCTGGCGGCCGGTGGGGACGAACTCAATGTCCTTTGCGTAGACGTTCGCGTGGTGGAAGGCCTTTGCCGGGTCCGTCTCGCCGGGGGCGGCGTCCGGGTTGCGGGTGCACTCGATGCGCAGGCGCAGCTGGACGGTGTTGTAGTCGAAGGAGCCCTTGCCGCCCTGCTCGGGCTTGCGGTACCACTTCAAGAACTTGTGCAGGCCCTCGGGGTTTCCAGTGAAGGGGATGAGGCCGAGGCGGTGGGCGAGGACCTCGTCCTGGATCACCGAGGTGTTGTTCTCGATGTAGACATTCTCGATGGCGATGGTGGGGATCTCGGCGATGAGGGTGCGGCGGAAGGCGTTTGCGATGGAGGCATCGACGCCGATGAGGGAGAAGGAGGCTTCGTGCTGGGCATTGTGGTGGAACTGGACGCGGAAGTTGGAGGCGAAACGGTCGAGGTCCCAAGCGTGGTCCTCGCCGGCGTAGGTGCCCGGGTAGTCGGTCGAAGTCACATCGGTGACAGTTTCCTTGTTGATACCGACTATCTGCGAGGAGCGGTCAGTATGGAAGAATTGTGCCTCTAAGGCAAGTTGTGTCGGATCGACTTACCCTCCGCCGGTCCAGCTCGGCTTGACTGGGTGTTGAGGAGGGCGCCATGGTTGTGTGTGGTATGGCTGGACTGCGACTGCGAAAAGTTGCGATCGATGGAAATGCAAAATAATTTTTTGGAGGACCCCTCTATCTACACCGAGACTATGCGGCTTACGTACACGCCCCCTGGACCGTTAATGCCAACCCCCCTACTCCGAATGCGTTCTGGAAGAAAAAAAATCTGGAGAAGCTATGTGGGGCATTGAACGTCACAACGGACAGTACCGATGTACCTTAGTTGCGACTCGCGAGACCATCACTCAATTCCACAGGACGGTCTGTCGTTCAGCATCATGAGAAATCACAATGCTTGATGTATCGGCTCGAGTGTCTGCTGAGACACTTTTTGCGTGTAGCTGTCTTAGGCCTTCCTGGTATTCAATTTTCGTCAGTGACATCCAGGTGTCGCTAGATTCCTTTGGTAGTTCCACCAACACCAGACGTAAGCATGCTAGTCGTGATCCAAAAGGACCAGACCATGAGGCTATCGCGAACGAAGATGGCATTCACTGAAGACTTACAATGATTTCTGCGGCCGCGCACCCAACGAATCGTAACTACCTCTTAGACGTTTGACTAATGCTAGAATTGGTACCTTACGTAGTGAAGGAGAGTTCGATGGCTTTTACAGAGAAAGGTAACTTAAACGCATATGCTCCCTCCATTGCCATGGTCAATCTCGGCTACGTGACGTGGCGGGCATCTCTAAAGTTGGCAATGGGAACGGGTTTTGAGTTGATGTGAGCCTACGAATACGATGACGGTATTCTGGTGATATATCGGCATTGAGAAGCAAAACCAATACACCTAGGTACCATACCATCTGACCTTGGATAAGGTGGGTGGCTGCCAGAAGAGCGCACCGGATGAGGACGATGAGTCTTCTCCCGCCTCCTTTTCCGTCTTATAGGTCGAATACTTATCTGGCAGAGGAATAACTGTTGGGAAGGAGCAAGTGTAGCAAAGGTAAGGCAGGTGCTAAGGGAAGTAAGGTTTCGGAGGCAAGAGCGACCTAGACCTGCCGCACCTTCCTCCCGTCAACAACATTACTCCTCCCGCAGACATATTTTCTGCAAGGCTCGCTGCCCTTCTATTTCCCTGCTTCACTCATCACTTCTCATCACTCCTCATCGCACCTCAGTTCAAGTTCGTTGCCCTTCATTCTTTCCTCGAAAACACGAAGCTACTCTCAAGCTTCTCATCCGCAGGTGTAATCTTCTCATCGTTATCGTTGGGATTTGCGTCCCTAACACAAATGAATCGTATTTTCCTCTTCGAGGTAAGAGATAAGACTTCCCATATACTCATCTTTCATTCAGCCCTTCATCAAAGAGTTCCATTGACCATTGTTTAGATTCGAGGCTACTTTGCGATTGTCGTGGCCATCACAGACATCACAGACGCCACCACTCGATTCCGCATTACTACTTCCCTTATTTGGGACTGAATGCTTGTACGAGCTTTCCTTCACACTCGACTCACAGACACCGCCCACTCCAGCAGCGATGGTGGTGAATGTAAGTACCAGTGTGTCGCCTTGGCGATGCGATGCCTCGCCGGCAGATGATGTCCATCCTCACTCTGCCGCTCCAGCGTTCCAGCAGCAGCACATGCCAGACCCGCGTTACTCGAGGGAAATTTTCGAGGTCAGTGGAAACAATGTCACCTCTCCTTCCTTCCCATTGTTTTTCTTCTTTCTTTTTCGTACATTGTTTTGACTTCTAGCAGACTTGCTCCATCCCAGTCAAGATCGGAAATCCTCCCCTAGCTCCCAAGCCCGCGTTCGCAACCACGATGTCGAAGAAAAAGTTGACTGGCAAGCAAGTTGCCTCCTCTGACTCTTCCGGTCGCAAGAAGAGCCGCAGAGACCGTCTCTCTGCGCTATTCGGCCACAGCCCCGAGCAGGTTGGAGATGCCCCCGACGACAAGACCGCCCCCCAGGACGAAGCTACGCCTACCAAGGCCGCCGCCAGCAACCGACGTGAGAATGGAAATCATCTTCAGAACTCTGCCGCTACCCTCGAGGATGATCGCAAGGAGAATGGTACTCGCGACTCTGTCGTCACCATCAGTACGACTCGTTCTATGACCACCGAAGACAAGGATGCCCATGAGTCTGGCGCCGCGGCTTCGTCGGACAAGATTGACACCATCGATTTCGCCAATAAGACCCAGATCCGAGGTAAGACCCTCGAAGTGTAGCCTTGTACTAGACTGACCATCGACTAAGCAATTTCGAACCCGTCTCCGAGTCGCATGACGAAGTTGCCTATCCATCGCCACAAGAGAGCATCCAGCTCTTTCAAGATTGTCGACAGGGATTCTGCTGACGCTGTGCTCCTCCCTGCTTTTTCTTACAATCCATCCCCGGAGAAGAAGAACAGTGCTGTTGCGAAGCTAGGCACTCAGGCGCCTTCTTCTACTCAGCTTCCCCAGCATACTCAGCGCCATGATCAGGAGGCTCCTTTGCTGCCATCTTCTACATACTCCGGCCATACCATCCACAATAGTGGATCTCAGAACAAGCACAGTCAGAGCAAGCTCAAGGGTAACTCTCATGCCAATCATGACTGCGCTCTCTCTTCTTACACAGAGCCCGGTCCTGCGATCAAGATCATCGACACCGACGAGAAGACTGCTAGAAAGCTCGAGGCTATGACTTTCACTCCTGCTGCAGTGGCCCCTCCTGCTACTCCCAGACTCAGCGCGCTGAAGACTTACGTCTCCGATAAGTCTCCAGGTGAGAAGAAGGTCCGCTTCGCCGCGGGCTCTTCCATCAAGTCTGGCGATAGCGACAATGAGAGCGGAGTTTCGGACGATTCGGACAAGACCATCAAGCCCGGTATTGGAGGCATGAAAGCGGCCCCGAATTCTATCCTTTCGCCTACAGTCTGGGACAAGAGTGCTGAGCCTAAGATCTGGGTCAAGAACGGCAAGCCCACCCTCTTCCAGCCTCAGAGAGATCCCGGCTACTACACCAACCCGCTTTGGTCCCGCCAGTACCCCGAGATTCTATCAGATAACCCCCGAGTTAATCCCTATGCTGCGAGCATCGCTGTAAGCGCCACGTCCACGGATGGAAGCCAGTATTCCGACACTCCCGCAGCCCGCGCCGTCACCGACTTCGAAGTGGGTAACAAGCTTCACTCCAATGGCGAATCCAGCACCAACGTGAACTTCGGCGCGGGTGCTGCGCCTGCTCGCACTCCCTTCACTAGAACCACTCGAGGCACTATGCCTTCGCCTCCGGGTGCCAACCAGAACTTCGTCGGCCGTGACTTCCCCGACATGCCTTCTGTCCCCGCTGGATTCGGCATGCCGCCTCTTTATAGAGGCCAGATCAAGTTGGAGATTGGTGGCCGCCGCTTCGTCAGCTCTATGGATGTCCTCGAGAAAAGCCCCTGGTTCAAGTATATCTTCTCCATCAACTTCCGCGATTGGTACCGCGATGGCGTCTTCCACTTCGACAACGATGGAGATCTCTTTGCTCACATTCTGCGCTTCCTTCGCACCGGTATGTATCCACTCTTCTGGGATGCGCGCAACGGCTTCGACTATGCCATGTATGCGATGATCCAGCAGCAGGCTCGCTACTACATGCTCTACGACCTTGAGGCTTGGATTGCGCAGCAGAAGTACCACGACGTGGTGGAGATCCAGGTCGTTCACCAGAAGTTCATCATCCCGAACTCTCAGGGCTGGATTCACGAGCAGAGTCTCACGGGTCTTGACACCTTTGAGATCTCTGGCGCCGCTGAACACCCCAATGTGGCCCTCGGTAGCCAGTCTGAGAGCCAGGCCCCTGTCCCGGACATGTTCTTTTCCGAGAACGGAGTCAACTCGAAGGGAAAGGCCAAGGCTATCGCGCCTCAGCAAGACGGCCCTGAAGGTGCCGTGGCGCTGTTCACCACCGAGAAGGTTGTCAAGGTTCACATGGACCAGCTGCGCCCTTTCTAAAGTTTGAGCTTGTCTCACTTGTGACATGTCGGAGTATTCGGAAGATTTGGTCATGGGAGGTAACGGAAATTGGTACTGGATTTGTTTTTTGAGAACCTTTGCTGCTTCATATGCAGCTCGCCTGGCCATGGTAATGAGGGGATGGATATGGCCCGACTTTTGTTCTCTAGGAATCAAACTTTGCCCACTGTATAGACCAAGAGTCCTTGGCTAAGGACTGCTTGAGCCGTTCAACGTAGGCCAACGCAGATAGTCTCAACTCAAATGAAAATTGCAATTACAAAAAATGAGGTATCACCGTGCTCATCATACATTGGCCAAAATATTCATCATAATCCTAATTCTGGCTGGAAGCATTTGCTCCCGCAACATCGTGTCTCCTTCCCGAGCTTGGGGAAACACCCTCTTTTTGGTTTCGATCTTGCCGTTATTCGAGTAGAGAGTTGTCTTCTCAATGTTGTACACCGTAGATTTGGTGGGTGGGGTTCTTTCCTTAGGACGGTATGTTTTTCTGATAACAGCGTATGATGTTCTGATCTGAATCGGACGTTGCTTTCTCCTGAGCTCACTTCGCCGATCGGGACTTTGAGACTGAATCCTGGTGCTATCGGATATTCGAATGGAAGGACTTATGCGTGGAATACGGTCTTCTTGGACTGGCGAGGCGTTCCTTCGTCTCGGAGAGGCCTCTATAGTTTGAGCTTCATCATCTTGGCCAACCACAGTCGTAGCTTTGCTATCTTCCGCGGCCTGACCCTGGAGGTTTGACCTCTCTTCTTCTTCATGTCCAATATGTATCCCGCTCTCTATTGGTTCTTCTGTTTGACTTCCTTTGTTTGGAGTCTCTTCAGTGTCGGGTATGTTCATCACTGATGTTGACTCAAGTTGGTTATCCCCATCCCCTTCCTGTGGCTCCTCTAGGGTCACGTCCTTATTTTCAACAGAATCATTTTGTGCTTCGATGTCGTGAGGTATTTCTTGGTTCTTTGTTTCTTCCTCAGTCGTCACGATGACAACATCTATTCCACTTGGAGCGGCCGGTACTGATGGCTCCTCTTCCACAGTCGAGACAGACCAATTCAATGTCGAAATCGTGCTCTCCGCTGGATCTTCCTTTGGACAGTTGGCTCTGAAGCCAGCCAAGTTACCATAAGCACTGATTATTCTGCCTTTCAGCAACTCGTTGAATCTTTGAGCAAGGTCAAGGCGGCTGGGGACTCGCGGTAGTTTCCACGAGGGATATAACCTCCCGTGACAACGGGAAGTGTAAAATGTCTTTTCCGCTTCAATGAAAGCATTGCAGAGGTAGCACGCGTCTTTACTGGACCGGATAACTCTAGGTGGAAGGTCGGAATGGCGGCTCTTGAGATGGTAGTGGTATATCAGCTGAACTTCAGCGTGGACCTTTGCGTTCTTCAGTACATCCTTGGCCTGCTTCTCGAATACATCGTTGACATCCTCATCGTTTTCTTGTGACCAGACATCCCTGAGGACCCGATCGGGGCCTTTCGTGATTCCATTCCTTGACAGAGCTGTGGTGAGTTTCGGGTATCTTGCATATGCTCCCATCCGTTCGTAAGCTCCTTGCGCAAATCTGGCGAGGTTAACGGTCACCACGTCCGCGGACCTAGCAATTGGGTACTTCTTCGCAGTCCGGTATATATGTCGAGAGACCTCTCTGTACCGCGCAACCTTGGAGATCATATTACACAGGCTCGTTTTCGATGATGGGGCCATTTCCGTGTGAGGGATCATGTGGACGAGCTTTTCAAAGTGGTCGACTCGTGAGAGCTGGAATATATCTTCCACCAAGCACTTCAACATAGAAGGATCTTGGTATCTTCTCCATCTTCCGAGGGACTTTGTTATATCGCGGGCTCTTGCCAAGAGCTCTTGCGACTGTGCCATGCTATTGCCCGGCTGAGTAAAGTATATGCTGAGCGTTTCGAGCAATGTCTCGATTGACTGTCGTTTTTTCGTTGGGCGTCCTTGCGATCTCCCAACTCGCGTAGTTGGTTGTTCGCGAATGCGTTTGAGGATCCGATCGTAGCACATCCTTACAACCTCTTCGAAGACCCGATTCTCAACTTTGGTTCTTGATTCCTTGGGACCTATTCAGCATCGAGTAAGCTCATGGTTTCCTAGCACCTGAGAAGGATAGCTTCAATACTTGCCGTTCAGACCCTTTATTTGCTGGAAAATCTGTTCGAATCCATGCTTGATATCTAGCAAGACTTCCTCGCCATTGTTCCGGCTCTTTTTGTTCACGGCCACTACAATCTCCAAACGTTGTTGCTCGGTTAGTTCTTCAATGTAGACGGCGGGAACGAAGTCCGGATTTCCATCGATGCTGGACAAGAACGCGAAGGCGCCGCATAGACTCCGCTCTCTACTGAATTGCAGCATTCTCTCCTTGTCTCCAATGGGGTTTGATGATGGCAGATTGCGCTGGGGCTCGTGATGACGCTTGCTCAAAAGATACAATAGTGATATATTCTCGGCGCAAGCAACTGCCGCAGCGCCAGCTTCACCAGACCTATCCATCGTGGCTTAAAGTATTCGTTCTGAAATGGTTGTAAGGGGGCAAGGGAAACGAATTCGATGACCGGTGTTTGACGAGCACATTGTGACTACAAAGTGTTGACATTGTAATATCCATGATGCCGAGCCTTGCGCCTACGGCAGGCGCCCAAGGCTTCTAGTATGAGCGAACAATTGTATAGTAATCTAAATCGAAACGCAGAGCGTGCAGCAAGTCACCTTAGAAACTTACTGGCCATGTATGCTGCATACCAGGATGTATGAGGTGAGGCGTTCTGGTATGACACAAGCGAATCAGCAACAGTTGCATCCCTCCCTTTTTCCAAGATTCTGCAGGAGGCCAACCAAACCGCGGTCCAATGGTTAGGCCAGGCAAAGGGCCGGAAAGCCTTGTGCATCTCGTCATTTCAGACATTTGGAAAGGCAAGGAAAGAAAACATAGCACAATCCTATAGAAGGGCCCATCGAAATTCGTATCGCGGCGATGAAAGAGCATGCCGGAGTTCGCTCGACTAAGGAATCTACTACACTCCCCGTATCCGCATCCGCATCCGGGTCCGAGACCCACTGGTTCATCCCGCGTAAGACTACCTTACGCAGCTCCGCCGAGCCCCGTAATGCCCAAGACACTCGGAAACACACCGATCGTAGTCACAACCATTGGTGCCATTTGAGGGCCAGCTGTATACATGTGCACATGGGATTTGGGAATGGACTTCTAATGAGGTTGAATTAAGCTTCTTCCACCTGAGTCGCTGGGCTCATAATCCTTTGTCCTCGCTCATCGATTCCGGATCTACCGGGTCTGCGGGGAATCATCCTCATGGTCGCTGGATCCATTACTGGCCTAAGAAAACAATGGGGGAAACCAAAAAATACTGGATTAAGTAAAGAAAACACTCTATCATGCAGTGGGCACCTGTTCTCCAAACACCCGTATTCGGGTCCGTGGGACGCAAAAGGGAGGCTTCGTCTGATACATCAACTGTATCACATGCAGCTCCTAGAGAGCGGCCTCTCAATTTGACGCATAAGGGAAAGCTCGGGAGGGCGGCATCATCGTCTTCGAATTTGAGTTTCTTTGTCTGGGGCATACACTTTATCATTTCAGCTGCGGGTTCCTTTCTCACACTACATCTCTTATCTCATCTCGTATTCAGACTGCAATCTCATTCTGAAAAAACACATCTCATCGCTCTCGTATCTAAACATAAATCTCAAGACGTCGTAGACTGCAAACTCATTTAATCACCAACACCCCACGACATCAAGTACCTCATCACCAAACACAACGCCTCGCAAAAATGTTGAACACCACAGTAACCGTAACACACATCTCGCCCATCCCCTCAACCCTCTCCCGCGAAGACGCCCTAGCCCTCATCCACGACGCGGAGCACCACATCAAATGCGACCCCAACATGAAGGACTACGCCGCCCGCACGCCCGCCATCCCGCCCACCGTCCCAAAGGACATTGACCCCATCGCCGCGACGCAGTGCTTCTCCGTCACCGACAGCGTGCCCTCGATGCTTCCCAAGGCCATCTGGAGCGGCGACGCCGTCAGCGACTACGACTTTACGTTCACGAAAGACGGCAGCTTCGTCCGCACGAGCTGTCCGCTCAACGTGCTGCTCGAGACGCGCTGGCGCGTAAAGGATGCCGAGGGGGCGGAGGGTGAGGGAGCGTTGGAGCTGGAGGAGGTTGTTGAGATTCGGTGCTCGAGGCTTTTGGCTGGGGTTGTCAAGTCGCAGTGTGAGACGAATTGGAAGGATTTTCACAAGAAGATTTTGCAAGGAAAGACGGCATGATTAGGTTTCAAAGAGGAGTGAGCGTAAGAAAGACGAAATGTCCGTAAGTAATACGCAGGAGCAACTCGCGGTAGACGGCAGACGTGGATATGTAGCACGGATAGATTCATATGTGAACAGTGTCCAGTTTTGAGAGTTGTACTTTCAATTGTACGGTAATGTGGATTTCCTGATATCTCACATCAAACTGCTTCGCCCGCCAATTTCCATGCTTCCCTGGCCATCCTTCATCTCACCACTTCGACCGACAACAAATTCCCGGTAGATTCTCTGCAGTCTGGCCCGCTCCTGCGTGCTGATACTCGATCTGGTGTTTTCCAGGGCCTTCATCAAGTGCTCCAGCTTGACCACGACCTCCTTGTCGTTGACCGGCTTGCCATCCCCTTCTGGGCGTTGGGATTGCTTGACCCTCTTACGAGCAAGTTTGATGCTCTCCAACTTGGCGAGGATTGCGGCATTCTCAACAAGCTCTTTCTGCCGGCTGATCGGCTTCGCGGCAGGTGCAGCGTCTTGGCCGTAGCGGAACTGTACGAAGCTGGGGACAGAGCCTTGGGAAGACGACTTGCCATTGACCTTGCCATTCGTCGTTGGGGCATGGCTGACATCGTCTAGAACATCGTGGATCGCCTCTAGCTGCGAATTGGACACGAGAGCCTGGAGATCAGCGCCGGAAAAGCCCTCGGTTCTGCGTGCGAGATCAGTCCACGCGTCGTCGGACTCTGTCAATTCCTCGCCGAGCTTGACCTTGCTGGAAAGGGACTTTAAAATGTCGACTCTGTCTTCCAACAGTGGCATGTCGCAGAGCAAGGATTTGTCCAGACGACCCGGACGAAGAAGAGCAGGGTCGATCAAGTCTGGCCTGGACGTTGCTGCCAGCACGTAGACACCGGAAAGACCTTCTGCTCCGTCCATCTGCGTAAGAAGCTGGTTCACTACTCTGTCCGTCACACCAGTAGAGTCGTGACCACGCTTGGGGGCTATGGAGTCGAACTCGTCGAAGAACAAGACGCACGGCTTCGCGGCCGACGCGCGTTCAAACAGATCGCGAACGCTCTTTTCAGACGCTCCGATGTACTTGTTGAGAATCTCAGGTCCCTTGACGCTGATGAAGTTCAGGCCGCATTCTCCAGCAACGGCGCTTGCAAGTAGGGTCTTGCCACAACCTGGGTATCCGTACAATAGCAGACCAGACCGTAACCGCAGAGGACACTGCTCAAAGATTGGTGCGTACTTCGTTGGGTACTGCAAGGTCTCCAGGAGGACCTTGCGAGTTTCTTGTAAACCACCGATGGAGCTGAATGTGGTGGTTGAGTGTTGTAGAGAGACATTTCTTAGCGAGGCGGGCGTGAACCCCTTAAGGGCATTGTCAAAGTCGACGCGACTCAGATGTACCGCACCTCCCTCACTGTCCGTATCGTTGACAGACCGGATAATGGCTTCGTTCCGTGCTCTTGCCACAAGTAGGGTGATGTCTCCTGGCATGTAGCCATCAATGAGACCAGCAACATCCAAGAAATCCAAGTCGGGGCTGATGACGAATCCTCCACTGGTGCCATTCTGGTTCTCGCGGCTGCCTTGGCTGCCGGCATCCATCCATGCGCTGTCCTCCCCTCCAGCGCTTCCGTCAGCTGTGGGTGGCCGGCTGCCATTCTGCGGTGGCCGTGGAAAGTCTTCAGCCGAGATGGCGTCTCTCCTGACTATGCTTTCCATGACCTTTCGTCTCGCTTCCTTGTTTGGCGCCTTCAAATCAACAATCTCGCGGACGACGTGACCCCCAATGATGACACTGTTCAAGGAATCTTTACCCTCCGCAACAGCCAAGAGGACCACTCCAGTATCCACGTTGCAGTACTGGCGTACCATGGAACCAATGATTTCGCTAATCTGGCGGCTCCGTCCGTTGTCGTTGCCGACTTGCAATTCGGTTTCCACAGGGCACAGCTTGTCGAGGTCGTCCAAAACTACGAGTGCCTTACCCCCAAGCCTAGCACCCCAGCTGGCTGACATGAATACTTGGGTCAAGGTATCCTTGATGGTAGTAATTCGAGTCTCGTCATTAACGAGCTTCCGGCATGGGAAGTAAGTCGTATGGAATAAAAGATCTTTGCCAAGCTCCTGCGCTAAAGACCTGGCAACTGCAGTCTTGCCAGAACCCATAGCACCGGTCAGGAGAGTCGAGGAAAGGTGTGAAAGGTGGCTTCGAAGGTCTTGAAGGAGCTTATCAATGCCTACTAGCTGCCCGTCATAGGACGGCTGTAGCTCGGCGATGCTATCGTCATTCATCCACGACGGTCGAGGAATTGGGTCTCGAATATCGACGGGAATTTTCTCGCTGAGGCCCAAGACCCATCTCGTTGATGATCTAAGCGGATCGCTGTTGATAGCTGGCGGATCGAACTTGATTACTCCTCCTTCCCAACCTTGAGGAGCCTCGAGGCCCTCGAAAAGGCCAATTACTGACCCGTCTGTCAAAGGTCCAGTGATGAGAGGGGCAACATCTTTGCGAGCGTACAGATGCCTAAACTGCTTGGCCGCCTCCTCTTTGCCAGCTTTGGACTCGCCACCGAACTTCAATCCATCTGAAGACTTTTTGGAAGCGGCAAACGGTTGGACTATCAGCTTTGTAACAGCATCCAGCGGCCATTGTTGCGGTGCCGGCTCGATCTTGACAATTCCTCCAACGGAATCTGTAAAGCCCAATGTTGCACATAATGCTGGAGAGAGGGCAATGGTCTTGCTGTCGGGTGGATCGTCCCAAGCCCGTAGATGTGCGACAACCTTTGTAGCTACTTTCGATGTGCTTGCTGATTGTTCAGCATCTTGTGGTTTCTGGGTGGAACTTGCTTGTGGTGTAGGTCGCAGAATGTTGACCGAAACATAGTTCACACCTCGGAAGTCCTTGGTGTACAGAATGTCGCGGTCTACCCAAACGCTGAAATCTTGGGTCGTCAGGTCCTCGTCGAACCACTCCCGGCAAGCCGAATGGGCGATACCACGTAAACAGAGGGCAGGCTTGCGATCCTCCCGCGCACTACGCCGCCGGACTGTACTTGCGCCGCTGCGCTTGGACTTTGAGGTGCTTGCCACACTACGATTCTCTCCCAGGGAGTGTGCTGTCTTGGCCCGGACCTTTGGCGCAACAATAACTTCAGCGTCTGGTGATATTTTGACGAAAGGAACTTCGGCGCCGGGGGCGGGATCGAGAGAAACTACTTTGACGTTTGCTGTCGATGTTGGCGAGAGGTGTAGAGTCAAGGCGTGAGGGGCGACCAATGAGCCGGAGCTGGAGGTAAACGCGGGGTTCGGCAAAGCTCGTACTTGAGAGAGGAGGTTGAGTTCGAGGAAGGTTGCATGCAACTCAATCATTTCCCAGTCTTCCGGAGTGAGCGGTTCGATGTTGATCGTGTGCGCGACGGGCGGATCGACGTGTATTGAAGCCGTCACCTTTTGTCCGTCGGTAAGGCCTAGGGTGTTGGCCAACGTCGCGTCGATTTCGACCTGCGCCACTTCCTGGTCGCGCCCCGAAGCGCCTGATCTACCTCCATTGATGCCATCGCGCCCGACTATGGGTGCAGCCTTGCGCTTACTCGGCATACCCGTCCATCCGACGAAGACAGATCTTTGTTGTGATGCGCCGGACCCGGAGGCGCCCGCGGAGGGCCGGTAACTGAGTTCGACAACGACATTTTGTGCAGGCTGTAGGAGATTCTATGAGAAGAAGAACCATTGACAATATGCGACTAGAGACCTACTGTATTGACGTTCACGAGGAGTGAGACCAGCGATGCGGGGAGATTGACAAGGCAGTTCTTGAGGTGGGCGAGGGAGATCTCCGCCGGAGTCGATTGCGCATTGCGCCGGGAAGACATGACTGCTGCAATTGAGTGTCCAGTGGCCCATAAGAAGATTCGAAGGAAGAGAGCGACAGACCCTACGACGAGAGCACTAGGCAACGACTACAGATATTGTTGCGGAGAGTCACCGGAGCTCGAGCTGTTGGAGCTGGGGATGGAAGTTCAGCCGAAAGTGACCCTGGCATGTGCCGACGCCGAGGCATTCCCGGCATGGGAAAGTCACCTCCACCCCCATTGGGTCCGAACACGGGGTAGCTGCAGGCGGTACGTACTCTTGGATTCATGCAGGTGCATCCTAACACCTCAGCTTGCGCCTCAGGAAGCAGCTAAAAGTACAACAGTCAGGTACCTGTAATGTGTGGCTGCAATACAATTAAACCCTGTGGCTCAACGCGTCCCCCTTTCCTAACCGCGACGCGTTCCCTGCGTGTCGCCCGGCCAATTTCTGAACCCCTGGTCGCATTGATCTCACATTCGATTCTTCCCAGCCCCCCACCCGGCGCCAAATAATCTTCAATCCGATAGCAGCAGAACCACAAACTCCATACTCCCCGCGGTTGTCGCAGAGACCAAAGTAAAGCAACCTCATCGCCGCATCGCTGCTGTCGAACACACGATTCGTAACCCAAGACTGAAGGAAGTCAACCACACAGCCGAGATCGCACAGATTCTGTCAAGATGGCGCTCCGTCAGTTCAAGGCGCCAGTAGCGTACGAAGCGCAGCAGAGTATGCTCAACCCTCCTGAAGCTCTTGACTTCTCCCGCACTGCCAACAAGACCGTGCTGACCTGCGATAGATGCACTTGAATCCTTCCTCACAGACTTCAAGGCATCCCCCGAGCAAACGATTTCACATGCCCTTGGAAACATCACGATAGACGAGGATGACTTTAGCGACGATGAGGTGATGGAGGATGATGAGACACGCGGCACCCGTCGCCAGGCTAGGAGTCCGCCCGGCCCCAAATACAAGGTCATGATGCAGAAGCTGGCAGACCGCAAGATTGATGAGGTCTTGATTGACCTGGACGACTTGGCGAGTGTGAGTTGCAGTAGCTCTTCATATCAAGCCCACGGACAGTGACTGACTCTTGCAGTTCGAATCATCTCTCGGTCATGAACTTCAGCTTGTCCATTCTATCGAAATTAACACCAAGCACTACGTCGAGCTCATGTCAAGAGCGGTCGACAAGCTCATGCCTCAACCCAGCGAAGATGTCACGTACGGTCCCCCGGCACCGATCATTCAGGGTCATCATGGCTAACAGTCGATAGTTTTAAGGATGATGTGCTAGATGTTCTCATGGAGCGGAGAAAACAGAGAAACGATATCCTTCAAAGGCAGGCTACTGAGCCTGTCGATGGCCAGCTGCCCGACCCCAGCATTGCTGAGGACAAGTTCCCCGCCGAGCTCACGCGCCGGTATACCCTCGTCTTCAAGCCCCGATCCGAGACTCCCTCCCACCCCGCCAAGGCGCTCGCCGTGCGAGAGGTCAAGGGCGAGCAATTGGGTCATCTCATCACCATCCGAGCCATTGCCACCCGAGTTTCCGACGTCAAGCCTATTGTACAAGTCAGCGCATACACTTGCGATCGCTGCGGTTGCGAAATCTTCCAGCCCGTCAACGACAAGTCATACGGCCCCCTGACCGTATGCCCGTCCGAGGACTGCAAGACGAACCAAGCCAAGGGTCAACTGCACCCTTCTTCAAGAGCCTCAAAGTTCTTGCCCTTCCAGGAGGTCAAGGTCCAGGAGCTGGCTGAGCAGGTGCCCATTGGCCAGATCCCTAGAACTCTGACCGTATTGTGCTACGGCACCTCCGTTCGTAAGGTGAACCCCGGTGACGTTGTCGACATCTCAGGCATCTTCCTCCCCACACCCTACACCGGCTTCAAGGCGATGAAAGCCGGCCTCTTGACCGATACTTACGTGGAGGCACACCACATCGTTCAGCACAAGAAGGCCTACTCTGAGATGATTGTCGACCCCGCTCTGGTTCGTCGCATCGACCAGTACAGACAGTCCGGCCAAGTCTACGAGCTCCTCGCCAAGTCCATCGCCCCCGAGATTTTCGGTCACCTCGATGTCAAGAAGGCTCTTCTTCTCCTACTCATTGGCGGTGTCACAAAGGAGGTCAAGGATGGCATGAAGATTCGTGGTGACCTGAACATTTGCCTCATGGGTGACCCTGGTGTGGCCAAGTCGCAATTGCTCAAGTACATCTCAAAGGTCGCGCCTCGTGGTGTCTACACCTCCGGCCGTGGTTCAAGTGGTGTCGGTCTGACGGCCGCCGTCATGCGAGACCCTGTCACTGATGAGATGGTCCTTGAAGGCGGTGCCCTCGTCCTTGCCGACAACGGTATCTGCTGTATCGATGAATTCGATAAGATGGACGACAATGACCGCACCGCCATCCACGAGGTCATGGAACAGCAGACCATCTCTATCTCCAAGGCCGGCATCTCCACCACCCTTAACGCCCGCACCTCTATCCTCGCCGCCGCTAACCCCATCTACGGCCGCTACAACCCCCGCATCTCCCCCGTCGAAAACATCAACCTTCCCGCCGCTCTTCTGTCTCGTTTCGACATAATCTTCCTCCTCCTCGACTCACCGACCCGCGAATCCGATGCCCAGCTCGCCAAGCACGTCACCTACGTCCACATGCACCAGCGCCACCCAGATATCGGCACCGACTCAGTCGTCTTCTCCCCCCACGAGGTCCGCTCCTACGTCGCTCAGGCCCGCACATACCGCCCTGTCGTCCCCGCCTCCGTCTCCGAGTACATTGGCAAGACGTACGTCCGCATGCGTGGCCAGCAAAAGCGCGCCGAGAAGAAGGGCGAGCAATTCACCCACACCACCCCTCGTACCCTCCTCGGTGTCGTCCGTCTCGCGCAGGCCCTCGCCCGTCTGCGCTTCAGCAACGAGGTCACCCACGACGACGTCGACGAAGCCCTGCGCCTCGTCGAGGCCTCCAAGGAGAGTCTCGCGGCCGAGCAGGCCGCCAACGGACGCCAGCGCCTCAACGCCAGCAGCAGGATCTACAACCTCGTCAAGACCCTCGCCGACAGCGGCGCCTGCCGCGCCGACGACGCCGAGGACGACGATGAGGAGCTCGGTGTCGAGCTCAGTCTTCGCAAGGTGAAGGAGCGTGTCATTGCAAAGGGCTTCACTGAGGACCAGTGGCTTGCGGCTCTGGAGGAGTACAACGAGCTTGATGTAAGTTTTTACCCAACACACATGTCGATGAACATTGCTGATCATTCATTAAATAGGTCTGGCAAACGGCTGGAAACGGTACGAGGCTGGTCTTCATCACCTCCAACGGCGCAGAGAGGGACGAATGAGAATCTTGAGCGGGCATGTGGGAGTAGTAGTAGTGGTCGCCTTGTCGCGCGATTTGCTCAAATCTTGTGTTGTTTTCTCATAGCTTGCTTCGTAAAAAAGAAGCCTTTGGGGCTTGGCGTTTTGGTTTTGACATTGTTGAAGAAGATGAAGGAGACCAAGGAGAAGGAGGAACATTCTGGCGGAGCACTTGCGAGTGGACTAGCTGTCCAGTCCCGTACGAGATGAAAATAAAAATAATGAACCCCCTAGCATCGGATGTGTCTCCTGCTCTCATGTCACTCTATTTTGCACTTCACTTGGTATTGCGAACTTTATTGTAACAGATTGGAATTCCCATGAACTTTGGATGATATGGTTGTATAATACAAAATTTTGTTACCCCCCCTTCTACAAGCAGGCATCTCTTGGTACACTAGTACATGTATACACGTTCTCACTCTTTACACCGTTTTCCCCTCTCTCCCCCTTTGACTCCCCGTCTTGAACAGGGCAGAGAATCTCCTTCTTAGTACTGCAACACGCGCGTGTTGAGCAAGCTCGCCCGCTCCAACTCGCCGAGGACACCACCGCCAGCAAGAGTCCACTTCTCCGCGACGGACGACTCGTCGATGCGCGAGCGCATGAGGCCGCTGGCAGCCCAGTACTCCATGACGGCGCGGGCCTCCTGGCGGCTGATGCCGCTGACGTCGAGGGTCTCGACGCCGCGGACGGCCTCGTAGACGCGGTCATCGTAGCCCTTGAGGTACGGGTCGGGCGTGGGGACGAACTGGTCCGCGGCGGCGGCGGCGGACTGCGCGAGGGCGAGTTCCATGGACGGGGAGCGGGGCGCGTTGCTGCGGGAGGTGGCAGCGATGACGGCGCCGCCGTTGGCGAGCGGGGTCTTGCCGGCGAGGGCGTCGGCGAAGAGGCGGACGAGGGTGAGATCGTGGGCGTGGACGAGGTTGTAGGCCGGGTCGCGGTAGGCCGAGATCTTCATGATGTGGGAGAGGCCGTCGAGGGCGAGGAGGACGGGGGGACCCGTGGGGTTGGTGGTGAGTTCGTGCCAGAGGGCCTGGAAGGCGGGCCAGGCGAACTCGGGCTCCTTTGCGGCGGTTGCGATGTCGAGGAGGGTGCCGTCCTTGGGGACGTGGAGGAGCTCGGGGTACTCCTTTGAGATCTTGTACTGCTCCAGGACAGGGCCGCTGGTCTTGACGATGGTCTGGAGGAGGTTGAAGGTGTAGGTGGGCTGGTAGAACTGGAGGGGCTTGGTGTTGGGCACGGGGCTGTAGTCCGCGTTGGAGTTGGTGAGGTCTTGGCCTGGGTTACTTGGTCAGTGATGGATGCTTCACAAAACATGCCCTCAAGTTGTGAGGAAAGAAGATAAGTACCTTCGGGGATGTTAATGACCACCCAGTTGTTCATCAGTGAGTGAGCCATGGCCTGCAGCAACAGCATGCTCTTTCCTGCAATCTTGCCGCCCGTCAACGCCAATCTCAACGTCTGCTTCTCCTTGACGGCAGCATCCAGCCGGCTCGCGAGCTTGACAGTCTCCTCCCTGACCAACATATGCGGCCTCCGGAACAGGCCCCAGTTCTGCGTCGTCTTGAACGCCTCGAGCGTCCGGAGCTGATCGACCAGCTTATCCGGCAGGCCGACGACGGACCCCTTGCTCTCCGCCGCGGCCAGCGTCTCGTTGGTGATCTCCTTGAGGCCCTCGACGGCCAGGGCGTTGTTGTTGCTAAGCGTGATGCGCTTGCGGAACGCCTTTCTCTCGCCGGGGGCCGGCTTCTTGACTCTGACGTTATCCCTCTTCTTCTTGGAGTTCTGGTTGATCTTGCCGCGACGGATGTGCTTTCCGATCATCTTGAGGGTGCGCGGGGCGGCGTCGGCCGACGAGGTCGAGAAGGGGGCCGCAGAGGCGCCGGCATATGCGGTGATGACGGGGACGATGCGCTGCGAGAGGATTCGGGGGGCCGTTGCTGCGGCGGTCGTGGGCCTGGTGAGGCACCGCGCGCAGTTCGCTGCGGAAGCCATTGTGTGCGATTGCTGGGGGAAGAAAAGGACGCCGGTTTCCTGAGTTGATTATCGGTAGGGTGAATTTCCGCTCTGGTTTATTATGATGCCATTCGAATGGGTGCCAGCCAACGTTTGCGTTTTCCGTCCGACGCAGCTTCGCCCTTGGAGTTTTGCTGGTTCGTCGTGCGATTGGGAAGCTCTTCCCAAAAAGTTCGATGGTAAATTCTCGGGACGTTAAAGCCACACCCCCTGGTAGCACCCAGCGAACAGGGGAACAAGGCGCACCAGCCAATTTACAGCGTTGATTGGCTGCGTCAATAGCCGGCGTGGCGGTGTCAGTTGTTCCGATTCTTATCGCTATCGCCCGTCGAAATTTCCTAAACCCAGCCAGCCAAAGGAAAAAAAGTTCTAGAGTACCTATCCCACCTTCCAGTACGCTGCGCAACCGCCGGACAAGACAACCACCACCTTCAACCCATTCGAAAGGGACACCCAAGCGCAAACCCACAGAAAGGATATTTCACCAATTTGAGGAGGAACCACAATACACACAACATGGCGCTCCCCATCTCGCGCCCCAAGCTGCCCGTCGCAGTCAACAAGCCGACACCCTACAACTTCGACCTCGGCCTGCTCCTGGCCAACGACCCCAACCCCCTCGAGCTCGACAAGTCCGCCATCGAAGACTCCCTCGCCGCCACCGCCCGCGACGGCGCCCAGGCCCTCATCAACCAGCTCCTCACCACCTGCCCCCTCCAGAGCACCCCCGAGGGCGTCCTTCTCTCCCTCCCGGACCCATCGACCCCTCTCCCGCGCGAGAAGCCCGTGCCGGTGGCTAAGGAGCCCACCAAGTGGGAGCGCTTCGCCGCCAAGCGCGGAATCAAGCCCAAGACGCGCGAGCAGCGCCGCAACCTCGTCTTTGACGAGGATACCAAGGAGTGGCGCGCCAAGTGGGGTTACAAGGGCATGAACAAGAAGGGCGAGGACGATTGGCTCGTCGAGGTCGACCCCAAGGAGGAGGCGAAGCGCAAGGAGGGCACCACCTGGCAGGGCGACAAGCGGAGGGAAAGAAAGGAGAGGATCAAGCGCAACGAGAGAAAAATGAGAAAAAACCAGCGCGAGGCCGGTGAGAAGCGGGAGAAGCGGTAGAGGAGACGAGTGAGAGCAAGGCGTGGGATGCGGAATATGTAATGCTTCGGGTTTCGGCACATGGTTACGGCGTTCATATGGTGGTAAAAATCATTTCTCGGCATCTTTTGTCCACAGGAAGAGAGCATCGGTATCTCAAAAAGCAAATGGAAGCGCTTTGTGGCCCAAGATTCGGCCCGCCACAACACACGTTACTACAAGCCGTCAAGTCTTGCTGTGAACTCGTCCTCCGATTTTGTTTTGCAAAATGGGGGAGCATATGACGTGGCTGTCGCCGCGCGCATCCCCTTTGTCCTACATACAAGAGTCCTATATTGTACAGAGATTCCACCGACCCCTGCAGTCATGTTGTTCGTGGCCCTATGAATCGTCACCCGTCCCCCATCCAGCATCTCGTGAATGCTCCTCGCTCACCCAATTCCTACGATGCTACTAAAGACCAAACCACGCTATATCCGCGGCACCTCACCAAAGCAAAAGAAGGAAGAAAAAATTAGGTACCCAAACCTAGAGCTACTACTGGTGATTGCCACACTTGATCTAGCTCTGGTTGCCAAGAACCTGCATGTCGATGAGAGCTCGGCCAACACAGTTTCCTGGAAACGGTAAAATCGACGGCTTTTGTGATACGGTTCGATGCCCTGGGGGTATACCAAATAGCATAATGCTGTGTCGCAAATGAAGAGGCACCCGGTCTGTTGTTCAAAGTCATCCGTTCATGCCATGACTTTTGATGACATCCGATATAGGCTTGGCACAGGACCGGGGCAGGGAGAGACGCTCGGAATAGGAAGAACGGAAGTCGTCAGTGGCGTGAATGTCGTCAGTGATGTTGTTGTTGGTGATGCTGAAGTGTTCCCTATACACACGAGTTCCGCCTGGGTATTCGAGGAAGAAAGAAACTAAAGGATACTCAAAATGGTGTTTCAGAAGCCGAGTGGTGAAAGAGGTTTGATGGGTGACAAGGGCCGCAAGTCATTCGAGCCCCGTGGCTCACGGCCGCTGTCAATCGTCAGCGTCGTACCCATCGTCGAGTTGGATGCGACGCTGCCGTTTGACTCAGAAAGTTGGATGGGCTTTTTTTTTAGCCGTCTGTCTTTCTCCTTGGCCTGCTGCTCAGTGACAACGCTGGACTGCTTACTGCTTTCCGAAAACGATGCCGCGCGATCGTCCAACGTCACAGGAGTGGGTTCTTCCTGCGCTACGGGGGCTGCAGGCTCCTCGCTCGTCTCACGGGAGGGCTTGCGCGGTTCCGAGAGGCCTTTTGGGGGTGGCTGATCGAATAGTTGATATTCCTGCTCAATGAACTTTGCCTCGTTCTTGCAGCCCTTCCAGCAGTCGCGCCAGTCGCACACCAAGAATCTGAAACAGAATGCGTCAATCTTCATGCATGGCTGGAAGCAAATGCAGAGATTCCTAAAATCCATCTTATTCTTGTCGGAATGCGCCAGGAGCAAACTGAGGTGGCAGGTGATTGCGAAAAGAAGGTAGTAGTTGAATGGCGAGAGGTTCGACAGCTCTTCGACCAATAGTGGGGGCACAGTTTCGTAGCCGGCGCATTCTCTCGCAACTCGTTCCTGGGCTGCCTTCGGGAATAGTTCATCGGGAAGCTCTCTCAGCCAAGCCTTGAGCATGGAGCCTATAATGTTGATGTCGTAGAGGTCCGGCTGTTCGAAGAGGTTTACATCGTACTCTAGAGAGAGAGAGAGACGGTTAGCTTGGCGCCAGCTTTGCGTACGCAAGTGTAATGAACAAACCTTCATCAAACTTCCTCTGCCATTTCTTGATTTGCGGCCCGCTGCCAGGCACACGGTACAAGCCTTCCACATCACAACCCTTATAGTTCAAGTAGTCGATCGCGCGCCACGGGAACGCGGGCATCCAAAACTCCGTCTTGTCTCTTGAATCCTCCAAGCGCTTCGAGATGCGTGTGCGACGCGTCTGCTCGACCAGAGGTAGGTTGATTGTCTTGAGCGTATAGTGCTCATCGTCGATGACAGGCTCCCTCTCCGTCGTGCTTCCACTACGACCACCCTTGCCAAATAACCGGTTGCTAATAATGTCTCTGCCACTCTTCAGTCCTCCGAAAAAGCCTCCATTTTGTGAAGACGAGTTTTGCCGAGGGTGGTGGTCCTTTTCCCTATGATTGTCCTTGTGGCTCATTTCCCGGGGCGACGCGCGGTCTTCAGAGCGATTCCGCCCGGTAGAGTTCACCATTTCTCTAGCAGACCTTTCGGGTCCAGTGCTGGTGTTGTTGAGCGAGTGGTTACGGCTCGTCGAGGTATGCGACGGTTCGGGTTCGACAATCGATACGGGCACCGGGCTGGGTTGCTTGTCTCGAGAGCTTGAGCCGTCCTTGTCGCGAAGCGACTTGCTGCGGCTCAGAAGACCAAATGGCTTCGATTTGGACTTCTTGGACGAGGAGGGTTGGGCGGGAGAAGTATCGTAGTCGGCAGCAGAGGCTAAAGACACGTCGGAGCGGGACGGCAGGGTGGGTGCGGGCTTTTGGACGGAGTGCTCAGCATAGGACGGATCTGCTGGTGAAATGGCATACGGGTCAGTGACTGAAGAAATGGTCTCACGATAGGCGAAACGGGGGATGGATCAGGTAGTGGGCCCCAGCTGCACAGGCAGTGGACACTGCGGTCTCAAGAAGGAAAGTTATCCTCGTACCTAAAGGTTGGGTGGGTTGGTTGCTCATGGGAGGAGCATTGTCGGGGCCCCTCGACATACTTTCGCCTCTCGAGTCAGGGTACTGGATTGGGCTCTGTTGGTGTTGCTGGTGCTGGCGCTGAGGGTGTGAGGGCGACTGCGCGGGGGAGACGAGAGAATGGGACGATTTGTTGGCAGACTTTGTGAAGTTGAAGAAAAAGCCGGCGGCTTTGGAGGGTCTTCGGGATGGCTCGTCGGGGCGGTGCTGTTGTTGACGAGGGCTGATGGGGTTGTGCTGATGATGCTGGCGAGGGGGCGTGTCTTCGGAGGCGCGGTGGAGGGCGGAGGAGATGGCTTGATACTGTTCGAGGTCTTCGTCGTCGTCTTGGTCTTGAAAGTTTCGATGCTCGTCGGTCAACTGAAGAGACTGCTTGCCACTTGCGCTGGGCCTTTTCGGAGTGAACCTAAAGGGAGAGCGCGGAGATCTGGGAGAGGATTGCGATTTAGAGCCAGCGCTTGGAGGAACGGCAGAGGCGAGGGTTTCAGCAGAGCGCGGCACGTCTTCAGGCTGGTCGGAGGAGGCTTGAGATTCAGACAGCGTCAGCGGCTGTGGTGCATGCTTCCGGCCCATGGTAGGAAATTAATAATGTGCCTCTCTCTTTTTTTATTCCCCGGGTAGCTGAATGGAATAGGAGATTTTGGGGGCCCGGTCAAGGATGATACCCAGAGGGCGCGGCGACACAGACAAGGCGTTGGTGGGCGGGCGGTGATGGGTGGTGGCAGCAGAGAGGCAGCGCAGGAGCTCCTCAATCAGGTCAGGGCCACCCAGCTTTGGGGATCCGTACGGTACGAATCCAACAGCCCAGGGTAAGTAGGTGAGGTGGTGTACCGGTATGCGTAAGGTGAAGTGGATGAGGTGAGGCAGACTCCAGAGAGAGCAGCACCAGGCCTGCATGGGCTACCTCAGGGCTCAAGCTGTACGAAGTATTCGTAGCGGTAATAGTGGTATCGGCAGAGAGAACTGTGTGTATGTACTGGTGCGGCGAGGAGAGAGAGTAGTGCGACGTGCGACGGGGAGACAGGCACACACAGGGCACAGGACAGGATCAGGATCAGGATCGGGATGAGATGGGATAGGTTGAGATGGGACGGGCAAGGAGGCCCAGAAACGGTCCCTATCCTGATTCGTTCTCTGCCGCAGGAGGGCCAACTGTTTCGGTGCGCGCACTGGGACCAGACGGATCACGCATCTGTTAGGGATATAAGGAGGTAGAAGGGGTAAAGTGCTAGATGGGGGAGACAGGCTAAGGAATCGAAATCTGTAGTAGGTGGGCGATTGAGGAAATAGAGAAAGATCACCTAACCTAACATGACCTAAGGTGCGGGCGGGTGATGAAAGTGTGCAATGTAGTAAGGTAGGTATAGAGCGGAAGAGGGAGATGAAGGATGAGAGAGTGAGTGAGTGACTGTGTGTGAGTGAATGAAAGAAGGAGTTGAGATGGTACCTGAGAGAAGAGGTGTGTGAGAGTGAAAGTAAGGTAGGTTGGGAAGAAGGGGGTAAGGTACCGAGTAGGTTGGTACCAAACAGTACCTGTAAGGTAAGGTGAGGTCAGGTACAAAGCAAGACTCCTTGGGATACCTAAGTACCTTACAGTATGGCTAGGTAAGGTATTAGGTAGGTGTCGGGGCGTGTAAAAGGAGGCTGATGCAACTTTGGGATGGGCGTTGCAAGCTCGGGGACGATTGAACCAAAGATACGGCTTTGGCTTGACTTGTTCTGGGTTGTTCCCTATTGTATTCCTGTATAAGAACGGCCAGGTAGCCGAAATAGGTTGGATGTGAAGGAAGTCTCAATCATCATTGAACATGAACAACGGGCAGAATGACTGTGAGGGGAAAGAAAGAAAGAAAGCAAGATAGATGTTGGTACCTTGGACCAAGGATTGATTGATGGGTACAAAGTTGCAAACTACCTTCCGGTAACAGTTCCCCTACAGAGTGCCCGAGGTACCTAAGGGAGAGTGGTGGCAGCCAGCCCAGCGTGAGGCCTGTCTATGTCCGTGCCTGTACCTGGAACCGGGAGCCAAGCACACGATCTGTAAGGTACAGCTACATGGGGGGAAGGCCCTACCTACAATCTCAGAGGGAAGGCGCGGCGCTTGCTTTCGTCGAGCTCCTACTTGCAAAAAAGAGGGGAGAGACTGTGGCGTCACCAGCTGTTACCTCAGACAGTAGTGAGAGACGTCCGAAAGGAGGCGTATTTCCGTTGACTCTGAGTGGATGAGAGATGATTACGAAGTGCCTAAGAGGGGGAACTCGGGAAATCTGTCACTGGCAGGCAGGAAGGAGCCAAGGCCCGGTGTGGATCCGACCCTGAACGGGACCTGGCGGAGGAAGGCAAGAGGGCCGGGGTGGTGGTAACTGGTGACAGGCATCACCTTCCATTCGAGTCTTGATGCCCGGCGGGTAGCTTGGAGGAAAGCATGGGGGACACAACGCGGCACGAGAGGGAGAGGAGGCACTCCGGCCGCAGTTGCCAATTGGTCTGTTGGTGTCAATCCCGACAGGCACCATGTGTGAAGGTTGGGCAGGTCGCTGTGGGGGCCTCGGGCTGTGCTGATTCCTGAATGCCCTGGACTTCTGAGATTCCCTCTCACAATGGCCTGACACCGCACCACACTTCATTTGCGGCTTAGGTACCTTGCTCCAGCTAAACACTAACATCATTTGCTGCGGTAGCCACCACCTCGTGTTGGACCTACCTTACGCTACCTTACCTTGCCATATTCAACACGACATATCGGAATACCCTCATCTTGTTGCTCAACTCTCTTTAATTACCATGTCGCCCATGTCGGCCTCTACAGATACGGCGTGCGTGTCTACCCTGGCGCATTGGTGCCGTACGTTACCGGTTAGGCCTCAATGCGGCTCTGGCGATTGAAACCGATACATTCTTCAATCTGCCTCCTTGCTCCATCCATTATCCCTCAGCACTGCAATTACCTCAAGCGGTCTTCTGCCACCAAAGACGTCCGAGGAGCCGTGGCTGCTTGCGGCCTAGTTGCGTCAACAGCCTTGGTCGACCGACAACGAACAAGGCCAACGGCATGCCGCTTGCCAGTCTCATCCGCCAGTCGCCGCGCACAGATCGTGGTCCGGTCCTCCTGCAGTGTCGATTTGGGCAGCGCACGTCTGTTTGACATTGACATTGCTCAAGCTATTGGGAAGCCATACCTGCCAAGCACCATTCTGGACGAGCCGTCTTGGATCGCAGAGTCAACCATGCCAGCCTCACCATCAGGTTACCTTCACAAGTGCCTTCTTTGTGGACTCGCAACACCCAACAAGTCAGTCCTTCATCAATAGCGACCACCAGCTTGGGTGTATTGTTTGTACCAAAAAGGGAATACATATCCCAAATCTATCGGTGATCTCTTCGTCCGTGTCACTATTCGTATTCGCAAGCGGTATACTCAGCTTCAGCACTCAACATGATCCCGGCCAATGCAGTAAACTTGCTCCGATAGCGATGACGGAGTCTGTTCTCTGCCTTTTGCAGATGATTTAAAGACACCAAGCTGAGAGGATTATCGCTAGGAGTCGTCCCGTTCGGTGTCCCATGCCAAGGCATTGAATGAATACTCTATTCAACTCGACTCTTCGAGGACATTGCCCAACTGGACTGCCAGGAGGCCAGACTCTTGAAACGCAGTCAATTCTAGGATTGCCACGTTTTGCATCGCCTGGAATGTGAGCAACGCCAGGGGTGCTTACTGCTTGCAGCCGCCCATGTAAGCTTTAAGCGTTGCATTACCTCATGACACAACTTGCGGACACCCCTTGGGACCGGCCATCTTTCTAGTCGTCTATCTCGGGATACGTTGATTGGCAATACCAAGACGGTCAGTGCCTCCGCAGCAGTACGGCCGTCTGTGGTCCCTCCGCTCGGGCATCAAGCTGTGCGCCGTTATATGTCGTGATGACGGCACCTCCGAAGTCCGATAAGCACTCCGCAAGTTCAGGTGACTGTCCACGAGCGGGTTACCTCAAATGTGAGGGAGGGGATGAAGCCTGAAGCAAACCCGTAATATGGAGCACGACGTGGTCAGAACACCACGAAAGTACACTTGCAAGACGAGGCTAGGCGTTGCCGATAGAAAACGGAGCAACGGACTGATCTGGGATGATGTGACAAGTCGCGACGCAGCCAGCACGCTACCGACACACTCTGTGCGGTTCTCCTGCACGTTCAGACCCTTCCAGAGTGTTTGGAAGCCCGAGTCGAAGATCCCCTTACTCCGTCCAACGGTGAGCTCGGCTCGACTCGCTCAACTTGCCTCCCTGGCCCGACAAGAAGACAAGAAGCTTGCCGGCTGCCCACTGATCTGACGGCAAGGAGTCGCGCTACTGCGCGTCCATCTGCAAAGCACAGGCAACACGAAGCCATCTAGTATATCATCGCCTCCTAAGTCGTAAGCCTCGGACTGGTTGGCAACCAACCAATGCACGTATCCTGGCTTTCGTTTCGAACCGAGCACGTCAAGTGCTGCCGCAACGTGCCGGCTTAAGCCTTATCTCAAAAGATTGTGCCGGAAACGTGCACTCTCTTTGGTCAGAGGGCTATTTTTGAGCAAAGTTATCCAGAGGGACGAGACGACGGGTCATGGCGCAGAAGAAGTAGAAACTCTGCCGAACTTTGCGCTGGAGCTGTCGTCATTCTCACTCTTACCAAGTCCCGCATTGCCAATGAAGGTGGTCAGAGATCGTGAGAACGGAAGCGTGTACAAGGTATCAAGTATCTATCTCAGCCAATACTAGGAAGTCATCGTTCGCTCTGGTATGGCTTCTCGTGGAGAAGTAGCCTCGGCATCAACAACGGAAGACGGGTTGAGATGACTTATGTTCGATACTAGGTACTCGCATATTCACTTACCTGAGGTGTTTTGCGCTCTAGTTGGGAACTTCCGCAGCACTACGATCAACTCCAAGCCCACAGCTTGTTGTCAACGGTCAAGTGCCTCGCGAACGGATAGCGGGTTCGGTAGCTAAATACCAACGATGGGTTACCCACTTGCCGCGGCGATCTCTCTCGGTTATGAGTTGACAGGTTCAAGCCTACTCGAGGATACAGCTAGCTTGTGCCTTGTCGCAAAGCAGCTTTACAGCCATTACTTCCGTACTCTGTACACCAGCTCTAGCAATATGAGTGATAGGATATGAACGAAGTCTCTCAGAGCCTTACCATTAAAAGAACACAGCACTCTACGTTCAGGGCCTACGAAAGTACCTTGTCTCTGACAACGGCGTCAAGGTTCACACAGGCCTGAGTGCCAATGTACACCACCGTGGTCCGAAAGGAGCTTAGTTCAGGCACACAACCGATCACTCTGAAACTCGGTAGTGTTTCTTCGACAAACGCTGGGAAAAGCCCCGCAGGTGTGGGCACGATGTGTAAATGTCAACAACGCCCCGAACGGTGTCCGTACGAGAAAGACCCAGAAAAGAGGGTTGGTACGCGCACATGGCAGCGTGGCAGCGTGGCTTCGCCTTCCGTTGCTCCTGGCCTAGCACAAGCCTGGATGATGGCTCCAGCTGTCAATATGGAAGTGGCACGTATCTCGTGCGGATACTGTGTTATGCCCGCGAGGACCCGTTCTTAGAGTCTGGGTGCGCAGATTCGCGCCCAACAACGCTGCTTCCTTCCTCGGGCGAGCTGGCTCTGGCCCACGCCATCTCGAATGGGAGGGTGCCCGATATGTCATAGTTCGCCCGGCGGGTGTGAGGTTATTCGCAGGATCAAGCCTGCACCATCTCCTTCTCACTGCCCAGTCCTAACTTCTTCTACAGTGTACAGTGCCACCCAGGGCGGCTCTGGTGACCCCGTCTGGACTTGCGATCTTTTGATGACGGGTCTTGCGTAATCCTCGCCCGTCCACAATGAGATCGGGAAAAGAAGGGCGTCTCTTAAGCCTTCCTTGTCGTCGATCCCAAAACCTAAAGTACTCCTCCGCCATCTCGTTACCTATCCAGGACAAATACAAGATTCAACATTTATTGGACGGCAGGTTTCTGCGAGACGGGGTTCCAGCCACTATCAATAGCCGTACCAAGCATCATCCTCCTCATTTTGGCGGAGGTAGTTACTTGTTACCCACCGCTCCGGTTAGATGAGCTGCCATGAATGGATTCGGGAAGATGATGGGATCATGAAAAATAATCCGACCTGGCTGCGGTCTTTGGGGACTGCAAGTCTGCATGATGGACATGTAGTATGGTGCCAGGAATCCGGCCTGGTCCTGTCTAATGTTGCCAGATCGAAGATGAGCTTGGTTCTCAGGTCTGTCTCTCGGTCAATTGTTGAGTTCCTTGAACCCAACTCCCGGTTGACCCCCGATTAGCAATTCAGCTGGCTACCTTTCAAGTACAGTAACTAAGGTAGATAAAGTCATGGTGCATCACTGCATAGAGTGAGCGAGACTATTGCCAGGTAAGGTAAGGTAAAAGACGACCAGAAGTTGGTGGACAATTAAGACGTCACGGACGTCACCTTCGGATCCGTTTAGCATGGGGTGGGTTACACACCTCGGTGAGGGCGGCGAAGCCACCCCACACTAGATGGACTTCACGGCCCGGCAGTCGGCGGAACCCTGCGTACCGGCCCTGCACCACCATTACCTAAGCGAACAACCTCACTTCATCCATCCTCCCACGCCTGCCTAGGTATTATAGGTATTATTGAGAAAGTTTGGTTCGGGTTCGATTCTTCATAAAATCTTTTCCGATTTCGCCTCAGATACGAACGTCCAGATCAAATCACACGAAAGGGGGGAAAATCAAAAAGAGAAAAAGGGTGGCGTCATGGCGGCGCAGTTCGAGAACCTGCCAGACGAGCTCAAGCTGGCGACGGCGGCGCACGTCAAATACGTCCAGAGTCTGGACACCCGCAAAGACGAGTACGACTACTGGCTGACGGAGCACCTGCGCCTCAACGGCCTCTACTGGGGCCTGGTCGCGCTGCACCTGCTCGGCCACCCGGAGGCGCTCCCGCGGGACGAGACGATTGATTTCGTGCTCTCGTGTCAGCAAGAGAGCGGGGGGTTCGGGGCCGCGCCGGGCCACGACGCGCATATGTTGTACACTGTTAGTGCTGTGCAGATTCTGGTCATGATTGATGCGCTGGATGAGTTGGAGGCGAGGGGTAAGGGTGGAGGGAAGGCGCAAGTCGGCGAGTGTAAGTTGTACAAATCACACATTCATTCCTCTATCGTTATTTCACAGGTTTGAGAGCAGTGGGTTAACTGTCATCTTCAAGTCATTGCGGATCTCCAGAACCGTGAAAGCGGTACTTTCGCCGGAGACGAATGGGGCGAGGAGGACACGCGCTTCTTGTACGGCGCCTTCAACGCCCTCTCCCTCCTGGGCCTGCTCTCCCTCGTGGACGTCGACAAGGCCGTCGCGCACATTGTAGCGTGCACAAACTTTGACGGCGGGTACGGCGTCAGCCCGGGCGATGAGTCGCACTCGGGCCAAATCTTCACGTGCGTGGCGGCGCTCGCCATCGCCGGGCGTCTGGACCTCGTGGAGACGGATAAGCTGGGCCGGTGGCTCAGCGAGCGGCAGGTTGCGGGGGGCGGGTTGAATGGTAGGCCGGAGAAGGACGAGGATGTGTGTTATAGCTGGTGGGTGCTGAGTAGTCTCGAGATTATCGGGCGGACGCACTGGATTGATCGGGGCAAGCTTGTTGCGTTTATACTGAAGTGCCAGGATCAGGAGTTGGGGGGCATTTCGGATCGGCCGGGGAATACGGTTGATGTGTGGCATACGTGCTTTGGTATGACGGGGTTGAGTTTGTTGGGGTATCCGGGGACGGTGGAGGTTGATCCGGTGTATTGTATGCCGAAGCCGACTATTGATCGGGTGCTGGGTAGGAAGTCGTCGTGAGCTGTTGAGAGGGATACGGAGAGGGTCAGCGGAGGGGTGATGGCCTGTTCTTGACGGTAGACGCGTGGTTTGATATACACGTCTGCAGACTTGTGGCCTGTTACGATAACAGAGTTATGGGGATACGCGGCGAGAAGGAAGCAATAGCGTCGGCTTCTTCATAGTCTGCATGGTCTCGTTCACGACTTACTGTGAGCTAGCCTCTGAGGCATTTTGAAGGCTTCAGATACCCATGAGAAACAAGTTAATGATACATAAAGTAATCCATCATCAGCCTTCATACGGCAACACCATAGATGCAGTTCAGTTACCGCTGCGCGGATCTATTCTTAAAGCTGGAAGGTAAGTCAATCTATAGATTCCTGTCCCTCTGAATTCAAACTCCATACTGCTGCACCTTAGTCCAGCCAAAGGCCTAGTCAAACCTCTGCTGCAAGTATTATTCCATCCTTGCCAAACATGCGCCAGACATACGTAATTGATACTGGTCTCATGGCGCTTAAGACTATGGCCTCGTTTCGTCCAGAACAACACTCGCACGAAATTCGAACTGGTACCCGGCTCGCTTCACTGGCTCGCCCACTGAACCCTCATTTTGAAGCCTTGTAAGGTATCAAGACTTCTCACACCGCCCGACCCTCATCCCATATCCTATTTCGGCATCAGACCACCCAGTCACGTGCACCGCGGTCGGTGTAGGCTTAGCTTCGTGGTGATGCCCTCCACTCCGGAAGACCACCCACCCGCTCACCGATCGGCCCCACCACACGCGTCTGTCGGCCTTTCTCTCGTCTCTCACACTTCGCCCTCCGCTTCCATCACAACAAACCCATCTTCTTCCTTCACACAGTCGGAGGTCTCGATATCTTCAGCCTCTTGGGGATTTCACCAACAACCACACCACTCTCTTGGACTTTGATCGTCTTATTCGGTCGCCTGTCCAGGGTCTTCTCTGCTTTCGATTACAACACTGTCCCAACACTTCCACTTCTTTCGAAATACACCCTTTGTACGACACCGTCGCATCTGTATTTTTCTTCCCGTCCCAAATTCGTCTGTACGACCACCATCAGATCGCCTTCGCCCGTCTCAAAATCCCAGTTCCAAGCATTGCTTCTGGATCAACGTCCTCATCCTCCTCCCGCTATCCATCAGGAGAATTTCAGCAATTCGCAGATTCGCATTGACAAGAAGCACTTGGACTACAAGATTCCGCTTCCACACCCATTTCTCAGGAAATTCGGGAACTAGGTACGTGGTGTTGTTTATGTTTACGTCAAAATCGTTATCGAACACCTTCTTTGGCTTCATTTTTCGCGTTCCTGTCTTTGTTTTTGCTTCACGCCACTCATTCTCAACTTGGTCCCTCTCTTTTGTCTCCTTCTGCTGCAAATTATTGTCCTTAGCCTTGATCTCACTGCTATTGTTCTTCCTGGTGAACATCACTATCAAATGTCATTCTTGTCACGGTCTACTTTTCATCGAGCAACCGCCTTCATCGCACCGCTTTTACCGTCCCAACCATTTATTCCTCAGATGCCCCGTCCGAAAAAGGATCTCACCGCAAGTTTTCTGTTCTGTTCCTCGTCTTCCTATGCCATTTCCGTCTCAACACTCGAGCATCACAAGATTCTTCACGATCTATATGAGGCTGTTCATTCTGAGTGGCACGTTCAGGCACATTTGCAAGCGCAGGTGCTTGAATCACATTCCCTTATTTTCTTTTCTTCATATTCTGTCAAGTTCAAGAGGCGAGAGCCACCTTCAAGTGTGCTCCAAATCTGGCCCCTTTTCTTCAATGCAGAGACAGCGAGTGCTCGTCTCTGCTCCTGCTTCAGGAGCTATGCTTGATTCAAGACACTCCCACCAGTCCTGTTCAACCCAGGATGGCGAGAGCTGGTCTTTGATATTGCTAGTATCGTTCAAGTTGAGACGGCGAGTGCTAGTCTCGTTCAAGGTCAGACGACGAGAGCCATTCTCTGATTCCGTCAGTCTTGTTCAAGTTGAGACGGCAAGTGCCAGTCTTTGATCCCGCCGCCTTGTTCAAGTTTAGACGACGAGAGCTAGTCTCTAATCTCGCTTGATATGAGACGGTTAGAACTAGCTTCTGATCCCGCCAGTCTTGTCCGACTTGGGACGGCGAGAGCTAGGATCTGATTCTTCCGTTCTCCTTGGACTTGAGACGGCGGGAGCTACACTCTGCTCTCGCCTTTCCTGTCAACATATGATGGCGAGAGCTACCTATTCTCTGCTCCCGCCAGTTCTGTTCAACCAGGAATGGCGAGAGCCAGTCTCTGCTCCCGCCCTCTTGGTCCTACAGCTGAGGAAGGGCAACAGCCCTGGGCTTCTTGTACCCGCTCTATTCTCTGCTCTTCTCTTCTCTTTTCTCTTCTCTGGACTCAAACTCTTCCTCCTTTCCTCTACAAACACATCGACAGTCTTGGTCCACTCTTACTTACTTGTCCATACAGAAGCAATCTAGTTCCTTGGATTGGTGATACGATCTATCAATCAGCGCAGCAATTCAGCAACATACGCGACTACAGAGAGTCTTTTGCTAGTATTCAGAACACACGGTGAGCCATTGCCTGAAAAACCACGAGTTCTTGGAGAGAAGTCCTTACTAACGAAGTCAATTTCAGAGAACCCAAAAACACACGATAACCCGTCTCTTTCCCGTGGTCGTCAGAATCAACAGGTGATCTCTCAACTTGAGCTCAATTGGTGGTACTTTGGTAAGTCTTTCACTTTCATCCAGCGAGTGAGGCTTGTCCGTTGCGACACGGTCGGGGTCACCAATCGCACGGCAATTTCATGATCAAATTGCCGTCATTCTCCCGGGCCAATGGGCAGATGGTCGGCGACGACACGTTCATACCGGAGGCTTGAGGATCCGCATTGCCGATGCCTTCCTCAAAGTGACATTGCCCCTTTACGTCAGGTGACAAGACCGGGACTTGCCTCTGCTCCTTCATCAGGGTTTCCAGCCATTGAGAAAGAGCCGATATCACAGCTTCCATCATTCCCAAAATTTCAGTCACTGACAATTCATTTGCAGGAAAGAGTACCCAAACCTCAAGAACAGCCTCCTGCCAGATTTCGATCTCATACCAGCGTACCTTCTCCGTTCATTTTGGGACGGCAGGCTTGTTGTTACTATGGATAACATCATTCTTCCCGTCTTTCCGGAATGGCTCCTAGACGTCAGGCGGCTCTTGCTGCTCAAGCCGTGAGTACATACCTTCTCCTATCTGAAGTCTATAACCACCCCCTGGGATGGCACAACAGTCGTTGTCGATACATCCGTTCTTTCGTCGGATGTTCCCAATCATCGAAATTCCTCCTCCCATCCCAGCCACCCTTTGCTTCCACTGACACCTCCCATTTGCACTGAGCATTTCGACTTCACTCCTTGGCTTTCGTTGCTAGGTGCTGCCCTTTCTCTGTCTGCTGATATTCGAAATATCTGTCGCTCTCTTCCTCCCCTCGTTTTGTGTTTTGGTTACTACGAGCAGACAAGCCTGTCTTCCATCCCACTCGCTCTGTTAAGACCATGGAAAGACGGCTAGTCAGTAACAACTGGCTTCCTGAATTAAATAGGGGCTACAAATGCTGACTCTGGACAGAACATGGCTGCCGTCGCAGCCCACGAGGCCGACGATGTCATGCCCGTCAAGATCCTCAAAGGATCCAGAAACAAGCAGCTCAAGCCTATCAAGATCGAGAAGTCGTCTACTGTCAAGGCCAGCGGCAAAGCCCCTGGCTCCAAGAATCCGCTCGACGACCCCAAGCCCTCGAGCAGTCCTGGAATTCCCCTCGTCTGCCTTGTCTGCACGAACACCCCGCGCTTCTCCGACCTCTCCCATCTTCTGACCCACCTCAGTTCCAAGGGCCACCTTCAGACTCAAAACGATGTGAGAATCCGCGCCACTCAGGATCCCGCCGCCGCGGACAAAGTTGCCACCTACGACAAGTGGTACATGGACTATGGTATCGAGCGTATGCTTGCAGAGCGCCTCAAGGCCAAGGATGAAAAGGCGAGAGGTTTCTCGCGACTTGGACAGGGAACTTCTCAGGTGGGCACCGTGTCGAGCAAAAAGCTTTTCATATACTGACTGTCACAGACTCTCAAGAGAAAGAAGGCTCGTTCGACCCTTGTCAAGCGTGAGGCTGATGACTCCATGTTCACGCCTCCTCCCACCGGTCGACTTCTTGGCCAGCAGCAGGCCATCACATACTACGGTGACAACGATGATCTGGCCTCGGCATCGACAGGAGTCGATGATGCCATTGAGTGGGCCCCCGATGACTTGGAGTCTGCTCGACTCAAGGGAACCGTCTGGCCGGGCATGGGCATCTTTGATGCCGCCACCCCTGATCAGAAGAAGCAGCGCAACCAGCGCAAGGACGCCTCTGTCCTTCGCAAGATGGAGCTTTCGTCTCAGGCGATCACCACCTTGGAGATCGTGGCCAATCTGGACTTGGAGTTCGAGAGAGCTCGTGATGTCTATGATGCCCCTTCCGTTGAGGGAAGCCCGGTTAGTCAAAGCATACGCCACAAGACAGAGCAGCATGTTACTAATCATTCCAATCGCTCAAACAGGTCATCAAGAAGTCTAGACGTCGTCAGAGACGTAGCGATGCCGCAGAGGAGGACGGCAATGCCTTGGGAGTTGTTGTCAAGGAGGAGCTCGCTGACGAAGCCGCTCACCGTGCATCTTCTGCTTTGGCTATGCAGCTCCAGAATGGTCTCTACAAGCAGGAAGAAGTTTCGGAGCTCGACAGCGAGTCCCTCTCGGAGAAGTTCGATGTCACGAGCGACATCGCTAGCACCGCCGATGGTGACAGCGATACTCTCGGCTACGCCATGGTCGAGCTTGATGAATCTCACAAGGAAGGTCCCGACCGGGGTCCTGACAACCGATTCTTCACCGTTACTGATCGCGTCTCCGACGTGTTCCGAGGTGGCAGCGCTGCCGGTAAGTCTCTGTACTACATTCGTCTTCCTGCCCACCCACTAACTTAGATTATAGGCACCAAGGCTTCGACTGCGATGAAGGATGAGCCTAGGTCCATCCCCGAAAACCCTCATCATGTCAGTAATGTTGTGTATTAACCCCTATGTGCGCAGATTCGACGTCCGCAATCGTATACCCCTCCGGTCGATGAACGCGAACTCGAATCTGAGCATGGCCTCTCCTACTCCGGCTGCAAAGCAGCTTTCACGTCGAACGTTCACAGGAAAGGAAAATAACAATGGTGTACAGGAACACAAGATGACCAGCCTTGACTTCTATGGTGTCAACAACACTCACTTGAATCAGGCTGGAATGACCACTGCCATCAACATGGACCCCAACATCTTCAACGGATACGCGATGCCTGACATGTACCACCTCAACCCGGTCTGGGGTAACCCAATGTTGCGCGCCGGCCACCATGGATTCAACCCCATCAATGCCAATCACAATCATCAGCAGATGATGTTCTCTCAGCAGATGCCCATGATGAACACGTTCGGCAACGGCCACCATGACCACGCTCAGGGCTCGGGCGTGTACCAGAATGGACATGGGGCCTAGTTGCGCAACTCGACAACGTTCCCGTTGGTGACCTGGGTTCAATACAAGCCACCACGGCGGGGAGGTTGGGTATGCGGATCTGGGGTTTTAACAGACTCTTTATCTGGGTTTCGTTCTTCGGTTTCTTTCTTTTCAAGTAAGTCTGACTTTCTGGCGAAGGCGGAATTGGGCAGTGCTGATACCCCACAGTTGTTCGAGTAGATACGCAACCTTCTCCTGCGTTCCTTTACATAACCAGACCACTTTTCAGCTCGGGGTGACGCGGGGTGAGCTTTCCTCTGGAAACGACTAACTCGCTTGCGGATCCTCGCTAAATGGCGTCGGGATGGAACACAGGGTAGTTAAGAGGGCGAGAATAGGACACATGCTGCTAGGCTTGCTTGATACTTGCAAGCAAGAACTCATGGGGAATGCGGTGGAACATTCATAAGCGGTGGCACTGCAAAGAGCCCCGCCAGGTTTCTAGGACTTTACCCATCGGCCTTTTTTTGTTTCGGGAGGCAAAGGAGGCTATAGATAACGCAGTTTTCGGTCTTTCGCAGTCATACCGCGTCAACTAGTCACACCAGACGCACTTTCGAGAAATAACACAAGGATTCATAGTACAGATGTTTACTTTTGATTATCCGTGATATATTTGCTTACAATTGCTCAATGTTTGAGATCAAATGATCAAGCTGGTCGGAGTTCGTCTCAAGCACTTCGGTGAGAAGACGAGCGGTGCCCCTTAACCTTCGGACCTTTACATCCTGCTCCATCTCGCGCGACCTCTGCGAGGCTACATCAATTACCTTGCGGGGTATGCGAGCCAGACGAGCCACGTTTAGTCCATACGACCTGTGCGCAACACCCTCTCCAACTTCGTACAGGAACGTAATCTCTTCATCAGCACCCGCCTCGTCATCATCCGCATCGACGTCGCCTTCTTCCGCCCCGGCCCCGGCTCTGCGGGTGGCGGTGAAGCGCATGTGGACATTCTTGACGAGGCCTTCGCCGATGCCCTCGGCCAGGCGGGCGAGATTCTGGTAGTGCGTGATGAAGAGGGTGAGACACCTGTTCTCGCGGACGACGTGGTCGAGGACGGCGTGGGCGATGGCGGCGCCGTCGTGGGTGGAGGTGCCTCTGCCCAGCTCGTCGAGGATGACGAGGGAGCGCGGGGTGGCGGCGCGTAGGATGCGCGCCGTCTCCGAGACCTCGACCATGAAGGTCGATTCGCCGGCGGCGAGGTTGTCGCGGGCGCCCATGCGGACGTGGATTGCGTCGGTGAGGGTTAGTGATAGAGCGTCGGCAGGGACGAAGGAGCCTATCTGGGCGAGGAGGACGAGGAGGGCGACGGCGCGGACGAAGGAGGATTTGCCGCCCATGTTGGGGCCCGTGATGAGGTGGGCTAGCGGGGAGGGGGAGGCGAGGGTTGTGGTGAAGGGGATGTAAGGGTCTGAGAGGGTGTGTTCTGCGATGGGGTGGCGGCCTTGGGCGATGGAGATTGTGGGTTTGTTCGTGGTGGAGGGTAGGAAGGTTGGTTTGCTGTAGCCCGGGAGGGCGGCGACGCGGGAGAGGGAGAGGAGGCAGTCGAGGGTCGCGAGGGAGGAGACGGCGTCGCGGAGGGGTTGGTAGGCGTCTGCTATTGTGCGGAGGAGGGCGGAGAAGGCGGCGTCGCAGGCGGCGGCGAGGGCTTCGCGGTGCTGGTCGCGCTCGGCGATGAGGCGGACGACGGCGGGGGTGTGGAAGCGGGAGAGCTTCTTTGTGCCCGAGATTTTGATCCACGAGGCCGGCACGGATTTGAGGTCCGTGTTAGGCACCTCGATGAGGAACTCGATGCCCGAGACGGTGACGTAGTCGACAGGTTTCTTGCGCTTGAGGGAGGCGGCGGCGTCGGCGCGGTGCTCATCGAGGGATTGCTCGACCGAGACGATGCCCATTTTGTGGTCTTCAATGTCTTCCGTCTGTTCTGATTCGCGGAAGAAGTTGTACTTGTCGTCTTTACGGGCGGCCTCGGGGTTGATCTTGTCGAGGTGGGAGACGACGAGGTCGAGGATCTGGGGGAGGGAGAGGACGGCCGAGGCAATGAGGGGGGAGGTGAAGCCTGTTGCCTCGGCGGATTTGACGGTTGGATATTGCATGGCGATGCGTTGGAGGGTCTGGAGGACGGATAAGAGTTCAGGGCGGGTGCATTTGCCGTAGTAGATACGGATGAGGCTGCGCTCGAGGTCTGTCTTCGTGCCGGCGAGAAGGGTCTCTAGACGGTCAACCTTTGCGGATGATTGCTCGTCAACGAGTTCTTGGACGGCGGCGACGCGTTCCTCGAGGCGGGCAACGTCGAGCAGGGGCCGGCCGACCCATTTGCGCAGGAGGCGCTGGCCGAAGCGGGTGGTTGTCTTGTCCAGAGCCCAGAAGAGGGAACCGCGCTCCAAGTGGTCGGTAGCGTTGCGGTATACCTCAAGGGCCTCGAGGGTTGTTCCGTTCAGGAGCATGTGCTGGCGCGCGGAGAAGCTGGTGAAGTTCTTTGTGAGGTCAAACACGTGCTCGAGGCCGTATTCCTTGAGGTGGCTGATCATGGCAGAGAGGCAGATGGTGACGGGCTCAGGGAGGTGGAGGATGCGCTCCAAGAGAGCCGAGGCGTCGGCATCGGGGGTCTGCTGTAGCTTGTCGGCGTAGAACTGCGTGACGTGGGAGTAGGCCTCGGTGGCCATGGTTTTTGTTCGAGGGACACGCTCGACGCGGCTGCGATCACCGAAGACGTTTGTGCTGCTCCCCGAGAGGTGCTGGATGAGCTTGTCCGACCCCTTTGTAAGGTCGCCGACGATGACGAATTCGCACGGCGAGATATGCAGCAGTCGGGTCTCGATTTCACTGCGCATAAAGCCGTCCTCGAATGTATCGTAGATAATGTCGCCCGTAGTTGGCTGTACGGCTACTATGCCAACGTCAACCTTCTCGTCGGTGCCTTGCCCCTTGGTGGGAGTCTCGGTGATGCAGAGCAGATAACCACCCGAAGGAGCGCCACCATCACCACCCGTTTCAAGTTCGCCATTCTCGTCAATGTATGTGCCCTTTGTGTAGACGTTGGTCAACTTTCGGACAAACGGGGCATTGCGGTTGTCGCCGGCCTTCTTCAATGCGGCTGTCTCAATCTGACGGACCACGCCGACCTTGTGGCCAGCAGCAACGAGGCGCTTGGCGTGAACCGGCAGACGATGTACCGGGATACTCGCAGAGGCGAACTTTTCCAGATGTGCTTCAGAAGGGTGCTCGTCGTAGCGGAATTTGCCAGGTATGCACACGATGCTGAGCTCCTTGGCAGCAATGCGGGCATCTTCACCAAAGAACCGGAACTTGTAGCCCACCTCTACGATGAGGACTGTATCCAAATGTTTCCGCTTGATGTCAAGGAACTGGATCTCCATGGGAGTGAGCTTCTTATTCGCTCTCGCACCGCCCTTCTTTGCCTTGGGCGGCGGCGGAGCTTCGTCCTCGTCTTCTTCTCCTTCGCCCTCCTCCTCATCGGCGGCTTCGTTGTCATCTTGCCTTCGGCGCCGCCATAGCATGCTGTCCGGATGGCCCAGCTTCTTGACAAACTTCTTGTGTAGCTCCTCCTTGCGCTGCTTCGTGGACGGGTCTTGGTCCTCTTCGTCCTCCTCCTCGTTCACGTCTAGAGCCTGACTGTAGGCAAACCGTCCCGCCCTAGAGGAAGCTGCAGATGCCTTGGATTTGGGCTCAGACTCGGCGGCCGGCTTGGCTCCTGGAGTGAAGAAGGAGCTCTTGCCCTGATCCGCAGCATTGGCCTTGTCCCCCTTTTCACCCTTTGCTCTCTTGATGGTCTTGTCGGGTCCATTGTTGCCCCTATCCGTGTCCTCCTCCAGGGGGCGCTTGCGCGAGGAATCCGGCGACTCGGGCGGGCTCGTTCGTGCTTCGGACTGCGACTTTTGGAAGGCGGCGGCTAGGCCATTGACGGTCTTTGGCTGGAAGAAGTTTGTGAGCGACTGCTGCTTCTTTTCGGGTGGTTTTGACTTGGGCGCCATGTTGAACCAGAGGTGCTCGTGGGAGCTGGCGGCCTCTTTTGGGTTGTTGGGGAATGATGCGAAATGGTAGACGGGAGGTTCGAATGTCGCTGGTGATGTCAATTGGAGGCGACCACCACCCCAGATTTCCTTCCATTTGGTCGTCGCGTCTGCCGGGCGAGAGCGCGTTGAGAGGTTGCAGGGGGTGGCCCCACTCGAGTTTGGAGCTTACAGGGGTCAAAGCCACTACATTTCCAGGGATGGCGCCCCTATCACCATTTAAACTTTCTTTTTCTCAACGACGCGTTTTTGTTTCACCAGCTTTTATTGGCACGGATTGTGATCAATTTACTGGCGGTGATATGGGAACTTTCTCGATAAGAGACTACGGTTATATATGAAAAGGTTATAATTTGGGGTGGGGAGTGTGACGAGCTAAGTCATGTCGGTGCCCGTGTAAGTCAACTATGCCGAGTCCTTGTGCAATAACCACTCCAGACCAGCCTTTTGATCTCTTTGGTGTTTCTTGCTGAACTCTGCTTGAGGAGACAGTGCCCAAAACCCATGAGGTAGACCAGGATAGACATCCAGTTTGGTTGGTATTCCCGCATCCTTCCAAACCTGCTCCATGATAAGCGTGCAGTCTCGCACCGGATCCAGCCCACAAGCCTGGAAGTACGTTTTGGGGATGCCAGTCAGGTACGGCGAGATGACAGGGTACGCCACCGGGCTTCTCGGGTCCGGCTTGTACATGTCTATCACGGTGTTACTCTGAGCCTCTGGAGTGCTGCTGTCGTCTTGTGATGATCCTTACCTCTGATGAACCCGATCGAGTCTGCGGTCACGACTGGGGCACTAGCATTCTGCTTCAGACTCAAGAAACGATCTCGGTACGTCTCGGGAGCGGTGTCTTCGGTGACAGCTCCGGAGATGGACGAGAATATGCCCGTCAGCTTTGGCGTCTGTTTCTCGTCGATCCAAAGGCGGGCGACACCCAACGCCAAGTCGGCGCCTGCGCTCTCGCCGCCGACGAGAAGGCCTTTCGACAGGTTGATTCCAAGGTTTTTCGCGTTATCGACGGTCTACGCCATGTTAGTCTCATATCTCGGCACAGCCAGGCCTTGCTAGCTGGGGTAGGTCTACCCATTTCACAGCATCGAAGCAATCCTGCACGGGGACAGGAAAGGGGTGCTCTGGAGCCAAACGATAGTCCACGTTCACCGCAATGCCACCGAGTGTTGTAAAGAGCTGGCAGAGGGGTCCCACGCCCTCCAGATCGCCAATGACGAACCCGCCACCGTGGAACGCTACAAGAACAGGGCAGCCATCATCGGCGACGACTTTGGGCTTGTGGATGCGAACGGCAATGGATGCCCCATCTCTCATGGTGATGTGGACGTCTTCTTCTACGTAGGGAAGAGTAGATGGGTCAGGTTTGGCAGCGACTTTGGCCTCGAGGACCTTGGCCATGATACCTCGGATCTGATGGATGTCTGTTTTCTTGTTCCATGCGCCGACCCTGATTGGGCTTTTCTGTTGAAGCTACGAGAACGGTCAACATTTTGATGCGATGAGCTCGTGTTGTGGCGCACCTCTGTAAACTCAGCGTTGGGCTCAGCGAGAGCCAGAATTTCCTCAATGGACAACATTGCTGCGGCTTCTAGTGGGCTGTGCCAGATGACTCTTTGACAACGCCAGACTCTAGTGAAGTTTCTTTAGTTGACAACCTACTGGGTTTATGTTTGTTCAGTTCAAAGTTGAGGAACCTCAGTGAAGCCCAACAGTTTCCCAGCCTGCCATACAAATGTATCTTTGGGTGGAAGTCAGAACGGGGTAAATTCATGCCGACAACTTGCAGATCATTCAGCTTCAGCTGCCTTCCTAGCCTGTCAACGTAGTGACAAACGACACGAACAAACTCCAACCCCCCATACTAAGGTAGGTGCAGTCACTAGCGGTAGGTAGCGTCACAAGAGCTCCCTTGGTCTGGTGACGATCCGGTGTCTGATGGATCCACTCTCCGGAAGGGGGCCGGAGCCCCGCAATGCGGAGCGGCCCCCCGTCAAAACGGTACCACGCCGACGGGATTCGCTGACGTTTTGGTTTCTTTGGAAATCACAGCATGCATCTTCTCAAATCTCGAGAGAAATAAGTAGGCTGCGCCGCCGTACATGGAACTGTATGAGATTATGAGACGTGAGACGCATTTGATTGAGATGAGAAATCTCGTGAATTGAAACGTTGCGCGAGATGGCCACCAACACACGTGACTCTTTGAAGGCGTGATTGGGCCATGGCGCCGAAGTCTCCCGAAAATTAGAGTGACTGACAAATGCGACAGCTGTGGTGAGGTCAGTCAGCCAAAAAAAAAGTGGTTCGACCGAGACCACTTCAATAGCCATCCTTTCCGCCCATCCAAATCTTTGTCGCAAACCACCCACCGGACAGCCCGACACTCATTTCTCTCTCAAAATGGCATCCCAAGCTGCTGCTCTTCGTAAGGAATAGTTTCCATGATTCCGTATAGCGCAATGGCTAAAACTTTCCGCCCACAGCCTCAATCGCCACCCCGGCCGCTGCGCCGGCTGCCAGCCAGGAAGCTTCCAAGCCCAAGGTGCGCAAAGGCCCTTCTTTCTCTCCGAACACAGCCCTTCGACGATTTTAGCATGACGAACGTTGAATGCTGACGAGCCATCGCGATTGTAGCCCTGCTGCGTGTGCAAGGACGAGAAGGCCAAGCGCGACGAGTGCATGCTCTTCTCCAACGCCGCCGACCCGTCCAAGGACTGCCTCTCCACGATCGACCAGTACCGCGCTTGCATGAAGGGATTCGGCTTCACTGTATAGGCATTTCGACGAGGAAGGGAAGAAAAAAGGATAGTGGGGCGAAACCATGCGACGATAGTTCTTGTGTACAGTAACGAACCGAGCATACTTCATATGGCGTTGGGGGAATAGAGAAATCATTTCGACTCTTCTAAGCCTTGTTTGCCTGCAATCCTGGTCCCTGGAGCATCTGCATAGAAACGCAGACCGGCCTGGGTAAAAGAGCTGCACACTTCGGTTGCTCAGTCCTAATGTGTTCGCATAGTTGCATTATGGCGGAGGAGAAGTATGGAGATACTGCGTAGAGAAATGGTTAACTTACTAGTAAACAGGATCGATCCAGATTGTTCTCGCTGTTGCACAAGAAGGGGCGCCTTGACCGCTGTGCTGATCTTGCACGTAGGATGCCGGCGAAGTCGCGAAGACTCGGCAGGGCCAAGTCAACTAGAGGGGAGGGGAAGCCGACATTTAGTTGAACTTTGTACCGCGAACAAATGGCAGTATGGCAGTGGCTGTGGGTTTTGGGCGTGTGAGAATTGCGCCGTCAATGTGCTCGCCCTCAAGGTTCGAAAGGGGGTGGGAGGCGTGGAGGGCAAGGTAGCGAGGGCCGTGGATGGATATGAATGGCGCTGCACCCGGTAGGCCATCGCTTTCTTCCATGAGCCTTTAAGTTTCCATGAACGTGAAGGCTCAAACCCATATAGGGGGGTCCAGGACCATTCCTGTCACCAACGGAGGCAGGCGCCTCACAGGCTTGTGAGGTCAGGTCAAAGTCCCGTTTGATGGGATGGTTAGGGGCGAGTCGTCTCGGCGGTAGGCTCATCCTCGCTAGGGTCAAGGTTCGATTCCCAGCATGTGCACCAGAGATGTAGCCCCCAGTTCAGCACCGGGGGGGTGAACTCTTTTGTCATTTTGCAGCTTTTTTACAAATACGATCTAAATGCTTAAAATTATATTTTTGCTGAAGCAGGCTTCCGAGAAATGCGAATAAGCAATCAGCTTGGGCGTGCGTATCGTGAACCATCATCGGCTGATAGAAAATGGCGATCTTGAGACTACTCACCTCGGTCGGCTCGGTGAGTGTCGGTGGGTCGGGTGTACCTCGGATACGGATTGCAGATTGCAGGGATGAGCCACATTCCACACCAGGGACCCCACCAGATTTTTTTCTCTGCGATAATGGCTTTGGCCTGCATCTCTTATCGCATCTCGAAAATTCCCATTTTCCATCACCACCGGTCGGCACCCGTCACAACGCAAAGATGGGTCTGGCACAGGCGAAGACGTGAGGCTCACCGTTTCCGTGCGAGTTTTCCTCGCCTGCTTGAATAACTAACTGAAAATCTCATTTTTTAGTCGCCGGAAGATCGGCAAGGATCCCAACAACACGAAATGGACCAAGGACCTCGACTCCTTTGGCCAGAAGATCCTGCGATCACAGGGCTGGGAACCCGGCCAGTACCTCGGTGCAAAGGACGCCGCGCACGCGGTGCACCACACGGCGGCCAATGCCTCCTTCATCCGCGTCGCTCTCAAGGACGACATGCTCGGTCTCGGTTTCAAGCAGGCAAGGGATGACAGGGTCACCGGCATGGACGTCTTCTCCGACCTCCTGGGACGCCTGAACGGCAAGTCCACCGAGGTCATTGCCAAGGAGCAGGAGGCGCGCACGGCGCTGAAGAGTACGCTGTACTGCGACAACAAGTTTGGACCTATGCGCTTCGTCAGCGGTGGATTCCTCGTCGGCGACAAGATCAAGGAGGAACCCACGGCCGAGGCGAAGGAGAAGAACGATAGCGACAGTGACGACGTCAAGATGGAGGACGCCCCCACGGCTACCGAATCGAGCAAAAAGTCAAAGAAGCGCAAGGCCGAGGAGTCGAGCGAAGACGAATCCTCGTCCTCCGAGGACGAGAAGGCGAAGAAGAAGCGGAGGAAGGAAGAAAAGAAGGAGAAGAAGGAGAAGAAGCGCAGCAAATCAAAGTCTGCTGCCAAGGAGGATGCTTCCGAAGATACCCAGGACGAGACGGAGGAGAAGAAGGCGAAGAAGGACAAGAAGAAGAGCAAAAAGGCCAAGAAGGAGGCCACCGACAACAGCGACGAAGACGAATCGTCAGACGACAAGTCGTCAAAGAAGAAGCGTAAGGGCGAGACGGATGCCGAGAAGGCTGCGAGGAAAGAGGAGAAGAAGCGTCGCAAGGAGGAGAAGCGCGCAAAGAAGGCGGCGGCAGCGTCAGCATCAGCGTCAACAACACCGACGGCCAGTGGTACGTCGACGCCGGTGCTCAGAGGCCACCACGCCGTGAGGTCACGGTGGATCGCGCAGAAGAGGATGGCGACTATGGATGACAAGGCATTGAACGCGGTACGTTTGGGTGTTTCTCCAGCGCTTCTGGTGAGATTGTTTACTGACGTGTGTTACAGATTTTCATGGTCAAATCGCAATCTTGATAGACTAGCAATTATTAGACAGTTAATGACACTTCCCGGGCGCTTTTCTTCCCTTCGAATTTTCATTTTCCTTATGCGATCTCAGCATTTGGGCTACTAAGCTACTTGACTAAGCTGCGCCGCTCCTGTCGCTTCCGATAGCATTGGCTATTTTTCGAACTATTCGCCTACACAGCAATATATCACGGTTATTTTGTGTTGCACAAAAGACGTCGCATAATTCATTCAAATCAACACAGCTGAATGGCGCATACTTGGCTTCTGGGCAAAATGAAGTCAATGGGTCTAACCAAGGACCAAGGCCCGCTTCATCGTCGCCCGGCTTATGAAGGATTCGGAGGCCGCCGAGCCAAGTTACCGGCACGAAGTTGCCGCTTCGGATTCGAATCTCACATAAGTACTTTGACTCATATGCTCCTGGTGCTCCACCGTCAATTCTTCATTACATACTCACTGTTCAATTAAAAGCATCTATTCAAGGCTTTAGCCAGCGAAGATCTTTAAAAAAACTTCTCTATTTACCACGAAGTGGGGAGCTCGATTAGAAACATGACTTCAATTCCAACGTCAATTCCACGACCAGAGCCTGTAGCAAGCAGCGATGGACCTAAATCGAGTACCGCAGCGCCCCCGACAACGAAGCCAGACACTCCCAATACTGCCCCGAGACAATACGTCGATGACCTCATGCCGTCCGAAAACTATTTCGCAACCTGGTACTTCCTCAACCTGGCAGCACTAGCGACAATCGGCAGTCTCTCTGTGAGGCCATCGCCCTCCGGCGACGAAGACGGCAAGCTCCTCCTCGCCATCCCCGCCACGGTCTTCTTCTTCATCACAGGGGCCGGCGTGTTCACCATGACGTACGGCGTCTGGCCGCGTACGGGCCATCAGCGGATCCTGAGCAGTATACTGGGCTTCACTGCCACGCTCATTTACGGGATCACGGTCCCGAGCTGGACCGTCGGCGTCGGGCAGACTCTGGGGCGGGAGTTCTTTCTGCTGAGCGGGTTTCACGTCGGGTTCTGGATTGAGGGGCTGACGGGGCTCATGGGGCTGGTTCTCGAGGCTCTCAAGAACTCGAAGGAGGAGCCTCTGCCGAGGAAGCTTCGTACTGTTGGCGGCGGGGATGTGGCCACGGCTCGGCCTTCCTCTTCGTCCGGCGCGGGTCAGAACCTTTGAGATCTCAAGGCTGGACGCACTGGTCAGGCGCTTTCAGGCTCACGCAAGGTTGGGATGCGGCTGGATTAAGTTTGTGAAAGAGACCATCGCGGTTAACCGTGCATATAATGCAGGCTTCCTCTCGGTTGTAGAGCGAGTCGAAACGGGATGGCCACATCGTCTTTTTACACAATCACTCTGGCAAGCACTATACATTCAAGCAGGTCCTGCTGTTCATATACCGAAGTCTGCCAAGATCATAGCTCTTCACTACCAATATTTGAATGCTAGACTCAGGACTCGCGCTACGCATAGGTTCTTTGGGTGTAATACTGCCTCGAGAGCGATACACCGCGACTCTACGTCCCTCTTCAAACATGGGAGATAACCAATTCGCCCACCCACGTTCCTGGACAATGAAGGAACCACCCAAACCCTCTACCGAGCCAGTCGAGTCAAAGAAGGAAACAGCCGAACAGTTGTTATGCCTGCTCGCTGTCAACTTCTCGAGTCGGGTCGTCCTGGCGGTCCTTGGCAGCGAACACTGCACAATTGACTCGGGAGAGCTCTTTGTCATCTACGGCGTCGCCGCGATGATCGCGTTCCCAGTCTCATGCATCGCTATCCTGGAACATTGGCCGAAGGGTCCGAGAGGCACATCCGGGCTCATGACAGCCGGCATATTGGGCTATAGTATCGCGATGGCCCATTCGTTCGTCACCGGGCCCTGGCCGACCATCTTTACCAGGCACTCCTACCACTTTTCTGGGGTTTACATCGGCTTCCTGATCGAAGTGGCTACGGGGTGGTGCGACGGCGTAGCATCGATCATGGCAGAGAAGTTTAGCAAATGAGTCGAAGTCTACAGAATTAGAGAAGACTGCCCGAATTTTCGGCTATTGAGCGCAGCGTCGCTTTGTTCTTGGACAACCTCTGGGAATTTGGCACCTGTTTTCGGCTGCGAGGACACTCTGGAACAACACCGGGCTCTAATGGAGGTTGGAAACGAGGCGAATGGAATGAATCTCGGAGACTTGAGAGGCTTGTACGTCACGAGCAGTTTTCGGACGACAAAAGGCGAACAAGAACAAGTATTATCATCTACGCTACTTTGTCTGGCTATCTATCTCGACGTACCCTGATATCAACACATCAATACATCTTCCAACGAATTGTTCTTTCCAAGGGCTTGGAGGCGGTTGAAAACACATGGCTATCTTGTTGCCGAGGTGCTTGCTCCAGCCTGACTTGATACCAGCATCATGTTCTTCATTGGTCGACAAGAAGCTCTAAGGCAATTCTCTTGAACTACATCACGGCTTTGGATTTCCCAAGGTCGGACGAAATATTTTAGTATCTTTGGTCTTGGTCCCCAATCGAAAAGCAAGTTTAAGAAAAAATGATTATCTCTCGCGACTAATTTCTACCGACGAAGTTGAACCGTGTGTTGCCTGCCTAGTGATTCACCTTTGACACCCATATCTCTCACAGCCCACCGCCCACCACCTCACCCTCTATAATTATCAAAAGGAAGGCATTCTATCACCAAGGCCTGTGACGTAGCGGGGAATTTCACTTATATGGGAATAGCCCCGCACTCATAGGTCGTTCGAGTCCCGTCTGTTTCTTGTAAAAATCCTTGCATCGTTACACCTGAGGCTGGTAAGAGTCTCCTCGGATCTTTCGTAGGTTCCCTATTATAGGGGGCTGAGCTTTTTGCATTTTTTGTATGAGTTGAGGTCCAATGGGATAACCGTCCTTCGCCCTCAAGATCGTTATGGATGATGAATAGCCCAGATAATTACTTAGTGATGCATGACTGGAGTCTACATGGGTGTCCAACTTTCTCATGACCTATTGTCTGTCCATCTTCCAAGAACATGGCCGCGAAGAAGATCCAATCAACGTTCCATCCCGAATCACTTTCGAGTCTGCCGAGTCCATGGAGAAGTCAAGTTGAAGCCTTTGGCGCCTGGGCTTTGTTTGACCGCGCCCCTTCTTGCTATCTTGAGTTCGAGGCTCTTGGAGCAGCTTGGATCACATAGATTTTATCCCTGATCACATCTTCGAAGCTGTACTCTTAAGCATACCTGGAACCTCATCTTGCAAGAATAAGGTGCATGGTCTGGTAAATTACGTAGTAAGCACAAACTGGAGATTGAAGCTCCCAACATCCCGAACGGAAGAGTCATGTAGCCGTCAGAAGTCAGCCATTGCTAAAGCCGTAAACTGAAGAGTCCTAATTCGCGAGTTAAATATACCAAATACACCTGTGTGGCATAGCATATCTCCGCTGGACCCTAGCTGAGCGCAGAATCGTGGTACGACAAAAGTCTAAAGGCAGAGTAGAGATGATCATGGTCTGCTAATGAAGGTATCTCCGACAAAAAGGAAAAGCTGCAAGAACTTAAAGACACGAGGTATCTCCGGAAGAACGATATTGTAGTACATCAACCAGGCTCGTTTCCTGTCTTATTGATCATTCTTCGTTCATCCCACATCCCATACATCATCTTGATAATTCTGGTAACTTCGAGTTATACTCACCACTCTTTCAAGTCACTTACACCCAAGTATTCAGTCACGTCTACTACCAGTTTCAAGGGCCGCTACCCATACCTACTTCGCGAGATACCCTTACGTCTGGCACGATCGTTCCACCCGTCCAAGACTCACAACCACGACTCTCGAAACAATCGACGAGTCCAGCGAGACCCCTACCCCCGACGAGGTCAAGAAGATGCTCCGACCAGCCTCCAGGGCCGAGGCCATTACCGCGGCCCTATTCGAGCAAGTATACGCCCCCAACAAGCCTGTAGAGAAGGGGGAAGAGGAGTCACATCAATCTCGCTCTCCTCCTTCAACCGAGCTCACGATGGTCCCCACCACACCCGGCTGCATAGACTGCACCATCTCCCCCTCCCCCTCCCCCAGCCATAGCCCCAAGCACAACATCGGCTGGACCTCCTTCGAAGACATCACACTAGACGCCCGCACCCTCGCAGACTACGGTATCCGCAGCCCCCGCGTCAAATCACGCCTCTCGCGCTTCCACTACGCCGACCACGAAGAGGAGCCCCTCACCCGCAACGAGCCCTGGATCAAGAGGTTCTCGTACATCGAAGACGGGATCGAGGCCGCGAGGGGGTTCCAGAGACGTGAGGACATGGTTGTTGATCTGGGCAACGTCAACGACGAGGAACTTCCTGCCGAGACGGAGATTGAGGAGTTGGTTCTCCCGCCGCCTATGTTACCACTGCCCCAGCCACAGGCGCCGTTGGTTACCTCGCGTCTAGAGGAGTTAAGACCGCGGTCTTTGGACTTTAGCGCAGCGAAGGTGGATGAGAGTAGAAGCGAGAGTGAGATCACTTCGGAGGAGCATCTCTGTCCCTTCTGTTCCTCCGTCGTTGGGTCCGAGAGTGAGGAGGACTCGGAGTACAGCCTGGCTGACCAGGAGATCCGGCGGGAGTTGGATGCGGTGAATTGGGATTTCGAGAAGTGGGCTCTCGGCGATGGTAATTCCGACACGGACGGCGAGGAGTCTCCCGCTTCTCCTCCCGCTTCGCCTGCCGCTGCTCCCGCCACTCCTGCCGAGCGGTGCGGGGGCGTAGTCGCCGTAGTAGAGATGGAGGGAGGAGAAGAGGCGGAGGAGGAGGGGAAGGAGGAATCGGCCTTCAGTGTGGTTCTGCTGGCGAATCTCGTGGGATTCTCCATTTCCTTCCTGATCGTGTCCATCGTGTTCGGACTCCGGTCGGGATCGCAGTGAGCGTAAGGCTTGAGCGAGGGAAGGTGGGAGGGAGGGTGGTGTGCGGATAATGACACGATGATGATAACAATGCTAATGAGGCATGAGCAATGGCGGGAACTCGTGTTGAGCCTTCTCGCGTGGGATCACACTGTATGTAGTCTACCTCTAGAGGCAGATCGGCCATTAATGGAAATACTGTGATCCCCAAGATGCATTTTGAATATTGTGATTTAATACTTGCTTTATATGCAGTCTGAATATTGAGACTGATAGTGCAAGCCTAGATGCCGCTGTGTTGCGCCTAACCAAGAACCTTCAAGTCAAGATCTAAAGAGGGTATAGATGATGCATGCAAGCCCCTAAACTCCACACCCAAGAGAACGCCAACCCAAAAAAATGTGCATCAATAATGCTGTGCCTTGCTATACTTCCATAACAGACTCGCGCCCTCAAGCTTGGGCATAACCTTTGGCCGCTGGCATCCCGGCGAGCCCTTCCCCACGAGATGGATAGATCTCTGAAACCTCCGCCTGAAGCGCCGCCAGTCGTCATTCGTGGGCCACGACTCAAACAGGTCGCCTTCGTTTTCCAGGTCATCCTTGTCGAAACAGTCGTCCTTGTCATCGTCGACGTCCAGCGGGTAATAGAGAAACTGGTTAGAGTGCGGGTGTCGCGGCTGTGTATAATTGAGCTGCGACTCAATATCGAACTTGAAGCGGTACCCTTGGTGCACCAGTTGTGGGCGTTGCGGATCTGGGTAGTTCATATGAGATGTGGCATACGGAGGCCGAATGTCAAAGTCGAACTGGAACTCTTGGTGGACGACGAATACGAGCTTCCTTAATCTGGGGAACTTTGCAAGACGGGCAAGCAGCGTGGTTATATTGGACTTGGAGACTTTCCAACTGAGCACCGGGTGGCAGATGCCAGTGTAGAGTCCGTATGACGTTCCAAATGCAAGCCGGCTGAGGTTGTCTCGCACAAGAGGGATCTGGCTGAAGAACTGCAGGGTCCGGAGTAACCGCTTGACCAGCAAGTACGGTTCAAGCAACAGGATATCGCGCGACAGGTCGACGTATTTCGTCGTCGCCGAGAGAGCGAGAGGTCTGTAGCGTTGTAGTACATATACCCTCGTCTCATGGCATACCGCGCCCAGCGCTGGTGGTGGTTCATCTCGAACATTAGCGAACATGAGCCCGGCTGCCGCAGGCGTTTTTTGGCTTGCATTCGGCGAGTCCATGACTTCGTACACGCGCGCTTCTGGGAGAGCGTACTCCCAAATCATTAATCGGATCTCCACCGGCAATTTCATCATCGGGAACGCCTCTCCGGGGGTGGTTGTGGGACTCGAAAACTCCTTCGAGAAGGACGAAAATAATGTTGAAGGCATATTGATCTCTGTGTGACGCTGAGGCCGGGTTGCATCGCAGCAAAGAGATCTTCAGAGACACACAATGCGGGCGGTTTGGGAACCTGGCGGTCGATCTTCTTTAAGGCCGGATGATCTCTAGCTGGGGGGGCCAACAACTTTAATGATCGACGTGACCCAACCACTCGGACAGCGGCCGCGCAACGCAACGACTGGGCAGATACTTCGTAGGCACGCAGCAGCCAGCAGACACGCAATGGGACGAGACGAACGTCCCCGACGGGGAGGTTGGCGTTGAAATATAGGACCGCGATACCCACTCGTTTAACGTTTCGACTAGCGGCCCGAGAGATCTCGCATAGATGAGGGTAGGAGTTTGTTTCGAGGATCGCACCGGGGTGTAGTGTGGGTGAGGGGAGTTTATCTTGGAGACCTGGCACTAGCAGCTTTCGCAGGTTGATGAGGTTTGCTGATGGGACGACACCAATGAGACGGGGCTGCTCGGAAGCGGAGCGAGATGTGTGTTCGAATCTTGTCCGAAGGAAGAAGGAGAGACGACTCAAGGAGCTTCTTGACAGGGAAGAAAGTGAAACGTGAGGAAACGCAACCGGACTTTGTTGCTTGCAAACGGCGGATGTAAGCTGGGTTTTGTGAGCCGTCCGGAGAGTCCCCATCACACTGGTGAAACTGGGGCTAGACCGGATCATCTGATGGCTGTCAGTTTTGACTAGACTAAGGTAAGGTATGGTCATCTACCGTCCCTGCGGTGTCGTTAGTGGGCAAAAGCAACGTGGGATGTCACGACCGGTACGCCGCAACAAATGGACTATTGGCCGCCATGACTGCCACATCAGGTAATCGTGCCGGCAGTTAATGACGCACCGATGTCAGAGCGGGCGAATGCACGTCGATATTCGGGCCTCTTAAGGTCTTAAGGATGGCGAAAGCGATATGTGAAAATGGGTCCTCGGTGCTGATTTGGCGAAGGCGGAGTTGCGAAAAAGCGCACCGATAGACTAAGGTAGTAAGAAACTCGGTCCGCCGCCGCCGGAAGCCCGCGATGAACATGGCGCGAATTCTAAATTTGGCGGTCGACGAGAAAAACGCTTGCCCCTCGTAATCTGGTGACGAGTCGTGATGCCATAAGCTGGCGGTAGATAGCTAGCAACTCCAGCTTGCGTGGGCGCGCGCGCGCAAAAGAGAGAGAGAAAGAGAGGGCGGTCCAGATTAGACAGATTGGAACCATCGGTCTGCCGTCATTCGAACCATGCTACGGCGTAGCACGGCGCTGGACTGCCACGGCGCTGCAAGGTGACCGCAGGGTTCCAACGAGATGGCAGACGGCTAGCCATGCCAAGACGTTGGCCGGGGCCAGTTCGGGGAAGTGGTGGCATCGGAAGAGGGGCGGACGTGGTAAGGAGCTTGCCGAGAGCGACAGACGACGAGGGAAGGGAGGGGCTCCGAAGGGCTCGGTCGATTAGGTGGGTACGGGGTTCAAAGGTCGTTTGCTTGAGGCTTTGGGATCGGGCGAACGATACGAAAGCGGACAAGGTAGGTTGGTTAAGCATATTGCTTTGCCTCCTGGCACCTCCTCAGGTTGGGTCTCCGCTGCCTCATCACGGGCCCAGGCTCAATCAATCTGAAGGGAACTTGATAGGGCACTTGACGACGTTGCGTGACCGTTTGGTTGAAGTATCCGGCTCATCATCTGTCGTATCCAGGTATCCTAGGACCTGGCCCCCCTGCGCAGACGACACCCCTTGGCCTCCTCTCGCCCTTCGGCACAACTTGGCTTTGCCTAGTACGATTAGAACCGTGCATGGTAGCAGCTTTCTTTCAGCCCTGGTCGACATGGCTTATTGGGGGTGGGCATATTGCGTTGCGCAAGCCGGAACCCCCCCATTGTTTCGTTCGATGAAGCGGGCAAGTAGAGTAGGATAGTAAGCTCGGCGCACACGATGGCTTGAGTAAGACGAAGGAAGAGGGTGTCTTCATTTGTTGCTGGCTGGACGTTCGCAGTTGTTTTGATGGACTTTGGATGACGACTGGGGTGGGTGTCATCTAGTTGGCTCAAATCCGATATGCTGCTCGTCGCACACTGAGTGCAAACTGTGGGGACCGGGCGTTTGAGTGGACTTCAGGCGCACTGACCAGGTCCGGCAGCACAACGGGACGTCCAGTGGGGCTCCCCTCTCTTACCTTACCTACCTTACCTTACGTAAGGACAAGGTACGCGGGTACCTCGCCGGGCTCGCAGTCACAACTGCAACCAGTGCAGTCAGTCACCACCCACAGCCCGCGGAGCCTGCCGCGGCTATTTTCCGTTCGTCCGCGAAAAGGTTCCTCCGCTGCCCTTAGTGCAGCTGTATCGGACCCACTCCGGGCGGACGTGCAGGGACCCATCTCACGATATAAAAAAGAGTTTTTGGTCGCGGTTCTTTCAAAGGCTTCTCTTTTTTTCTTCTTTTTTTCTTCGTGCGGCTGGCACGATTCGTTACAGTTTCCCCTGTTGCTGGAATTCCTAAGTCGGTGAATTCATGGCGTCAATCGTGCCCCAGATCGAATTTTAATTGCAGCCGGCTTCGTCCTTCATAGATCCTGTTCTTGCTCTTGTAGCGAGTTGGGTCGCGATCGATGGGCCGGACATATCCAAACCTTCAAGCCAAGTTTATTGGTTAAAACTCGCAAAGTGAATGCGACAACCCAGGCGTAAGAAGTGCGCCTTGTGAGGCTATGTCACCTATGTTCTGCCTCGCGGTTGAGCTCAAGGCAGCATGTCGCACACCCGTGAACGCTTCCTAATTTGGAGCACCACGCGCACTCCAACATCGTCTCATGCATTACCGTCTGAATGCGCAATTCTGCATGGCAAATCCAGCGACGACGATGCGCAGCCATGCCGTCTATATTTGGTTCAGTGGTTGTTAATTTTGAGCCTCCGATACAAAACTGTTACCGGAGGCGTCTATGACTATTGCTCTATTCATGATTCTCGTCGCATGGGGTCTCGAGTGCAGACTTTTCTTCCTCTTTCCTGTCTCTTCACCGGACCGATTTTCAATGACCCATCGGCCCGCTCTATTCGCCGGCCTCGTCGCCAATCTTCTCCAGCTTGCCCATTTCTCTCTTCTCGCCCGACTCGCCGATGAGGCGCACGCGGTCGAGACGCACCTTTTCACCGTCGCCATCACCCTTGGTCACGTAAATGATCAAGCTGTTGATGTTCTGGAACTTGACGAAACGAAGGCCAATGTTGGCGGTGCCGTCAGCATTCCAGTCCTTCTCGGTGAGCTCGATGGCTTGCGTGGGAGGGGTATCGTCGGCTTCGCTAAAGTCGAGGTTGTGAGGCTTGTTCGTGTAGAGGTGAATGGTGCCGGGGCGCATAGGAGCCTCGTCGTCGTCATCGTCGGTGGGAGGCAGAGAGGTGAGCTGCGTGATGGGTTAGCAACCGACGCCGTGTCTGACTACAATTCTCCAATCATACCTGAAGAGTGTGCAGCTTGATCATGGACTGGAATGGCATGAACAGCAAGAGCTGGTCATCGGCACCACTCTCAACCCAATCCTTCACGCCCTCCTTCTTCGCGAGCGCGCTAGGCTTGGACGGGTCGAACAGGACCTTGACAGGACCGAAGTCCTCGTCAGCGTTCAGCAGCTCGCAGCCCTTGGGCTCGATCTGGCCGGTAACGTCGCCATAACCGCGAGGGAACTCTGCGCCTCTCCAGTTACCTCCGCTTGAACTGCCGGAAGCCTCGCCAGAGCCTGAACCGCCCTCAGAAACCTCCTTCGCCAGCCTCTTGACCACCTCTTGGAGCTTGCGGGGGTCGGCGCCCTGGACCTTTTCGATGGTCTTGCCTTCGCGGAAGATCATGAATGTCGGGAGGGAAGTAACGCTGTAGGCGGAGGCAATCTCCTTCTGGGACTCGACATCGATCTTGACAAAGGTGACGACATTCTTGCGGGACAGGGACGAGGATAACTGCTCGTAGAGGGGCGCGATGGCTTTGCAGGGACCGCACCAGTCGGCGTAGACTGGAATCCATTTGTCAGCACGTCAAGTCAATCGTGAATGCGATCCGCGAGCAGCTCGATCGTCTCCCAGATGAAGCAGTAGAGAAATATCTGGCGCGATACCGAGAAGCAATGGAGCCGCCACCACAGCGCGTTGGGGCTGTCGCGGCCGTCCATGGCCTCACTGGCGTCATCCAGGATAGAGAGGCAGGGGTGCAGTGACCTCGGCGGTCAGGTAGTACTCACAGTCAGCAACGACGATACGGGAGCTCGACAGGAGTTTCTGGAACTCCGCTGCCGACTTGATGTGAACCGTAGACATCTTTGCGGCTCCAAAGACTGCAGGGTTCGTGTCGGTAGGTAGGATGTGAAGGTTGATGTTGATGATGGAACTCAGAAGAAAGCTGCCCCGCGACGACGCATTGGCATGAGTGCCTGGCAGGCCGACCAACCTCCAAAGGTCCTTAGCTCGACTACCCCGCACCATGCCCTTTTAGGACTAGCCACATCTTCCCGTGATGCACGGTGCAGGGCAAACAAATCGCCATTGTCCAACGTCCGCTTACCTCTCTGTACCTCAGCTCATCGCAACCTTACCAGAGAGGCCTGGTTGATTGTCTATCGCAGTTTCGTTCGTGTGACCAACTCTCTCTAATTGTTTGTAAACGTTTGGCTGATCTCAAAACCTACGTTTTGTGAAACCTGCTCACTCAGAAACTCAGTCATGAGGTAGTCAGTCAACCATGCAAGCCGTTTGCTGTGGCTCTGTTGTCTGGAATGCTTCCAAGAGCCCGCCTTTCTGGGAATCTGATTTCTACCTCTCGTCAGTAGCCACCATGCGCTTTCCTGACACCTGTCTCTGCTTCACTTATTGTTCCATGCTGGTCTTTTGCCTCCACGCAACGTGACGTTTCTGGTGTATTGAGTTGAGATGTCTATCTAATTGTGTGCTATTTGAAGAATAGGTGACAGAGAACCTTACGTTCCTACACATCGTAGTTGAAGGGCTGTATTTCTTTTCCACTCGCGTACTGCAAGTCTCGGCGGGACAATCTGTGACTTCGACCAGCCGCTCACCACAGTCCAATGGATTCATAATCCCTCCCAGCGACGGTTCCTCCGTTGTAAGCGTAGACGAGGCATCCCACCTGGACCCTACCCCCAACACCACCGTTATTACCTAGAGCAGTACCATATCAGCAACTACATCTCTTCATCAGAGGGTGATTTGACAGGGCAGATGATGCCAAGGACTCACACTGTAGGTAGTTGTCTCTCATCAAGTCATTGCAGCTCGGGTTGGTGTTGGAAAGACCATTGGGATATTTGACATGCTGTCTGTCTCCGTCGGCGACACATCCCTCAGCCCAAGAGACCTTGTACTGGTGGCGACCCTTAAACTCGTCGTCCCACTCGACACGAAGGGACTTCATGCCGGATTCCATGAAGCCGGCGTAGTTGTTGCAAAAGTAGTCTGCGCCCTTGAGCTGCTTGTCGGAGTGGATGGGCGGGTGCGGGTTGAAGTCGGCTTCCTTGTTGCAGTTCCTCGGCTGCTGATTGATGGCGACGTTGACCCTCTTCTCGAGGGGAGGGATTTCGTCAAAGGTCTCCTCGGCGTACCAGACTGGGCTGTCGATGGAAGGACTCGCGGGTTTGCTGGTGGAGCGAGGAGCGATGAAGAAGGTGGTCCATGAAGCTGCGGCACCTTTGGTCGAAGTCGGAATTTGGAGCTCGCTGGCTGGGATTGTTCCGTAGAATGCGGCTTCTCCAGCCACGAGGTTTGCAGCAAAGGGTGCGAGAGCAAGGCAAAGAGTGAGGGTGTTGGCGAGCATGTTGACTTGTGAAGAGAGTTGGAAGAGAATGATAGTGACAGCGGATTGGGAGGAAGGAACCGTAGGAAGGAAGCTGACTGTAACGAATGTTGAGCTGGCTGGTATCTTCTCAAGTGTTTCTGCCAGAGGATGGAATCACAACTCTTATATCAACTGCTTGTGTGGTGGTGTTTGTCCAACAACTGGTAAACATGTCAAAGGGAGAGGCAACCGCATTGACAAAACTGGACAGTTCTCGGATTACCCCGAAGTCGGAAATTTCAGGTTCACGCATTGGTATCTCTTCGTTTTCTCAGTAGCCAATCCTTTTACCTCTTTCAGTATCTCAGGGAGCTTCGTATACAAGGCCGCTGTATCCTAAATGGAATCATTCGATGCGCCCACGTGAGCATTGTCCATCATGCCCAAACAAATGAGGACTAGATACGCAAACTGTCACTCTCCCTACCTCTAGGAGACTATGAATAGTCTCGTCTATGGTTTTATTTGGCCCGGGCGTCCTAGTTTGGGTATCTGGCCTGAAAATATAAAGAGCCAAAATGCTGATTATAGATGTTTGTGACACAAGATCAAATCTTCCGTCAATCCCTTTGGACCTGGGAATCTGAGCGTATCTGTCCAGACAATCAGTTCGGCGCTGTTCAATAAAAATAGCCGCTGCATGAAAATTGCACATGATCAGGTCGAGACGACAGCATCGCAATCGCTCTAAGAGTCAACGTCTACGAGAGACGTCACGAACAAGCCCAATTTCTTAATTGGACGTTTGCATGACCTCTCAGGACAGCCAAGTCCGAACACCCAATTCTTGGCACATAGATTGTATTCCAATGCTTCAGAGCCGCTCACATCACGTCACCCAAGGGTGAGATGGCCTGAGGTGCCATTCGTAGGCTCACTGTTTACATCTAATTTCCAAAGTATCGCTCAGAGAAAAAAGACACTGGGCTCTGTACACCGGGTACATGCGACATACTGCCGTGAACCAACATTCAGTGTAGATACACTGTGTCCTGCCCAAGGATTAAAGCTCGAGAAATGCACAGCATCTATTGTAAAGTTTCCAATATGTAGGGTTTTAGTGATCAATCTACTCAACCTTGTTCGCCCAGATCGTATCTCTCAATATGAATCTGACGACGAAATGGATGCAGCCGTAACGTTGGCTTTCGATTTCTAGTTCAATATCGTGAAACCAATGCTCGAAAATGACTCCCATGTGTTCCATTGAGACCGTCATTCTCTTCAGTGAGAAGTATGATAAGTATTCTGTTTGGCTATGAGGCCTCAATGCTTTGCCCATGAAATTCTCTTTCGTCCCTATTTCACTGCTCAGAAACCAAAAGATGCCTGATCCTCCTTGCACATGATCAGCTCCATCCCCTCGATGACAGGTAAGCCTATTCTCTCCACGACATAGCCCATCCAGCGGGTCTGGCTGACCTCATGCGACCATTGGCCTTCTATCTCATCCTTGAATTCCTTCCACGTGAGATCGAAGTTCACCTGGAGGTCTGATGGCTTATCGTCAGCGTAGATTGACCAGATCACATCTTCGGGTTGAAGGCTGAACAGTTTTGGCGCTGTGTTCTTCTTATATGTTAGATTCTGGGCTGTTCGAAAGAGAATGATGACCTTTCGACAGCCACTAGCTTCTAGCGCGCAACCCAAGACATTGCTGAAATTTTGCTCTTCTCTAAAGTATCGGCGGTCAATGGCGATGATTTCAGGATGAGCTTGCTCAAGCGGACCCAGTGGGCAGTCAGCTTCAGGATCACGGATGACGAACACGTCCTGCTTGGGGTTGAACCAGGTTCCCCCGGACGCAGTGAGTTCCGGGCCGTAGAGGAATAGCCCGTTTTCGTCCGTAACCTCCCAGGCTTCTTTGCAGACGGCTCGGATCACTGGAGGTTTGTATCGTTTGCGGAGCTTGGGATACTGAGCAGCTCCGTCTACCTGTTCAAGAACGCGAGAACCTGGCAATGCCATTTTCCAAACGAGCTTCCGCAGCTCAATGGGGAGTCGAGCAAATCTTGGAAAACCTGCAACTGTCACTGAAAAGAGTCAATAACACGATCGTAAAGTATGACCAACCCCAGAAAGGTTCGGAGGAGAACGCACCGGAAGGAGCTTCCTGCTCCTGCTGATCAGAGAGCATCGCCGCGGCCTGCTGTCTTGAGAGCACCAGCGTAGCCTGCTGTTTCATGATCTTGATCTGCAGGCTCATGATACTCGCTAACGTTTCTTGGGTATCTACTTCCATTTTGCCCCGGTTAGCCTTGTTATGGTCAATGCTGCTCTTGATAGAAAGTGCTGACCTTGAAGATCCTTGACTCGGGCGACGTCTATCGCAGGAGCATTTTCTACGGCGCACAACTTTGCAAGTTCAGAAGCAGTCTTCGATTGCTGGGCTTGAACTTTGTTGATAGCCTCAAGGCCGTCGATCAGGCTTTTAATGACTTCCGCCGGTTCGTCCATCTTTGTGGGCTTGTGGTTGACTCTCGAGTTGGGAATTGAGGTATGCTGTTGATAGTGTGAGGGAAGAAACACGTGTCTGGCTCGCTCTGAGGAAGGGTGTTGTGTTGAAGAAGTAGTAGAGGAGAAGAGAGTGGCAAAAGTCAGTTGTAGAAGGCAGAGAGTGTGAATATACCAAAGCGAGGAGGGCAAGAGTATATGGAACAAGTTGGAAAGACTCAGAGAGCGAGGTGTTGTGATAGTGAAGAGTACGAAAGTCTAAGTTAAAGTGAAGAAGTAGAAGGCAATATATAGCTAGGAAAAAGGTCCTCGAGTCTAATCACAAGGCAGGAACACCTCAGACCTTGCTCTTTCAAACTCCCGATGGGTACCAACGACTTTAGTTAAAGTAGTCTTACTTGATTTGCGTGAATAAACTATGTCTGGTTGTATTCAAGACTCAAGGAGCTACTACCTAGCATAAAGGAATCCTTGAGGGCAAGCCCACTTCACATACTAACAAAAGCTGGTAACCTCACTCTCCTTGTCAACAGAGAAGACTTTGCAATCTAGTTCACTTGCTATCTTATCTCAGAAATCTCAATGGTGGCATCTGATAAAGACGGGACAGCCATGGCGGCCTGCAATCTAGGGGATAAATGTTGACTGTTCCCGCTTGACGTCAGTCTCTCTCTCGCCATACGTGCTCACTCATATTGACGATCAAGCAAAGCCCCTCCGCTTCACAGCCGGAATCTTCTTTTCAAGATGGCCGGCGGGAGCAGGTTTAGGGATACAAACCTAATTTCTTTCCTCTCAAGACCTTCAAATTTTGACAAAACCACTACCATCGAGGTGGGTAAAAGAAATCGCACCAACCACCTCGACTCCGAGGCCAGGGCTATCAAGATGGCCTCGAACTTGCAACCTGAGCCTGATGAGCAGATCGAGCTTCTACGACATGATGATGATCCAATCTCCAGCATCATGAGTTCCACAAGCCTGATCATCTCTCCCTTCCAGCAGCTCGACAAACAACAGACCGCCATCGCCAGCCTGCTGAACACAGTAGGCAAGGTTTATTCCAAGCTTGACGAGGCTGAAAAGCTCTCAATCGAAAACACGCGTTCTTCGCTGTTGTTGGCCTTATCCGGAATCACGCAGGCCGACGGCCAGCAGGACCAAGCACTCCGTCAAAATGCAATCACCCTCCTCTTGCAGGCAGTAAGCAAAGTTGTCGCGTCTGCCCAGAACATCAAAAAAGCCTCTCAAGCTCGCAGTCAAGGTATTTGAGCTCCCCTCTTTTGTCAATTAGAGGCTTTCTAACTATTGAGATAGACCGTGAGTGCTACTTCAATCGACTCCCCAACGAGCTCAAGGACAAGATCTGGAAGTTATGCCTTCCGCCTGGTAGAGTCTACGAGCCAATCACCTACAACAATCACCGGAGATACGACCCAAGAAACATTCTATTCTATCAGCACTGGGCACCTCCGAAGTTCAGAGAAATCAACAGGGAGGCGCGCGAGTACTGCATGAAGGCTGGCCAATTCCGCTTCGGCCACTTTGAGGACTACTTGGGCCACGGAAGCATGAGATCGATCTGGTACAACAACGAGCTGGATGCCATCTACCTCTCCGGTCCTCAACAGTATTGGTTCGTCAACCGCCTCCAGGTGAAAAACCTCATTATCGGAGACGCTCTCGTCCTCGACTCGGACGATCTCAGAGCAGTGCTAACAGGCGATTGTCACGGCTGCGACAACCTCACGATCGCGTATCAGCCCCGGGGAGCTCCCATCAATGAGAACAGGGGACCGGATCGCGAGGAATTGTACGCTACTGAGCCAGTCTTCTACGCCGTGAAGGACAATGAGCGCGTCTGCACTGAGATAGTGGATGCGGAGAATTGGGACGAAGGCCTGCTGAAGACCTGGGCCGAACACAGAGATGAGCTAAAGGAGATCTTCTACGAGAATGGACCCAAGACGAGAGATGTCACTTTCCGTGCTGTGGAGGTTTTCCGGAAGCCTCGCATCGAGAAGGAAGGTTATCATCTCAGACGATTCTGCAGAGGAAGAGCATAAGTCAAGGACCTCTTACGTTCCTGCACTGCCACGATCGCTGTTTTCAATCGCCTTCGTTAGATGGTCAGACGACCGCAAACACCCTGCCCAACGGTACTGAGGGGGGAGAAGGTCATAGCTATCAACCTAAAGAAAGTTTCCACTCCTGTTTTCAAGCTATTAACGTGACCTGGCTGTGATACTTTTGATGCTCACATAGATTGTAAATCATTACGGCTAGATCATTCTCGAGATAAGAGGCTAGGCACGAAAATCATCGTAAACGCCGAGAAGCTTCGTTCAGACACCTGATCCTTACAAAACTATCAAGCTCGCCTCGCAGTCAAATGGCAAGGTCCCTTCTGTACAGGCGCTCCATGTCGGGATTTGGAACCAGACTCATTGAGGCTTCCAAACACCCTGCTGAGGACCTCCCGGTTCTGATTGTGATATACGCTAGATCATTGCCAGACTTTTAGCTACCATCTTATGGAGAGTACCATCATGATGCGAGTACAAGCCTCCATCTGGGCTCTTCGTTCAATTCGTGATCGTTTACCATCTTTGATTAGAAGTGATTGAGGCTGCTTCAGCTGGAAGTTGACACCAGGAAGGGGGGGAGGGGGGGCTCAGGACGTCAGTCGTTTAAACATCAGAGAAGGCTTGGCCGGTCGTCGGAATCGTCGTTGGTCTTGCCGCTCTTACACTTACGAGCTATGGTGAAGAGGTCATAACGACTGGCGCCCAGGTATTCTACAGAGTTTGCGACGATTTCTTTAGGTTACTAACACTTCACACTAATACTGCAAATGCAACGATTTGACCTAGAACTTGCAATCTGTGAATGACTTGGACTGTTTCGGGGTACCCCAAGAGCCAAAATCACACTATCACCCGCTGGTTTCGTTGGTATATTCAAATTGATCATAACCCCCGTCATGTGATTCATCCCAGAAAAACAAAAAGATAGGGAACAAATGCTGAGTCTCTTTAGTAGGAAGGAACTGCTCCTGCCTTGGACTTACCTCCCCGGTAAAGAGTGAAAGAGGACCTATTTGAACAACTTCTGTTTTGAAAATCTTTTCCTCTTATTCTTCTTCTCTTCAGCAACCCACACGTCCAACGCGTGTCAGGTGAGCTGAGTCTTTTCGCCTTTCCAAATCCTCAACCCTTCAGAAAACAACATTTCGATTTCAGAGTATCAAGCGGTCACCGTTTCACAAGCCAGGCTTCTAGTAAAGGTTTGTCTTGGTGTCTTCTATCACATTCTCGCCTCAAAGCTGACTTCCTCATGGCACAACTCGACAATCTCCACGAACCGCAAACCGCAAACAATATAAGCCTCTCAACTGAGCACACCAGTAAGCTGATTCGATTCTGTTTCTTGTAAAACCCGATTATATCGCTGACTACAATCCCAAGGCCCATGAAATGGCACCACAACATTCGGGAATGGCCTTCCCTCAGTTCAAGAAGCTTCCTGCTGAGATCCAACGCAAGATTTGGCTCGAGGCCCTCCCTGCGCCACGGATCTACGAGCCAAACGACAACGCAATCTGGATAAGCAGTGACCATCCCACTCGATTCTACCGGGAGTTTCTCCCTCCTCGTGTCAGAGAGGCCTGCAAGGACGCGTACGATGCGTGCATGTCGGTTGGTCGTTTCACCTTCGGCTACTTTGACAATTCCAACATCCGGGGCCTCTGGTACAACGAGATGCAGGACGCAGTCTACTATTTTGCCTATGACCAGTGGTACGACAACCCGTTGATGGGCTTGAGAAAGATCTACATTTCCATTGAAGTTGCTCTTTCCATCTTCCTTGAGGAAGGGTTCACGGCCAAAGCCTTTGGTGCTTGTCGTCACCTTGTCGTCGCGCTATACTTAGATAAGCGGCATGAGATCGGAGAGAACAAGACTGGCAATTTTGCGACGACGGTTCCGGTCTTCAGAGCTATGAGAGACGACGATATCATGGTTAAAGTGTCGGAGGTAGCGCACTTACTCGCAGAGCCGTTTCCGGAGCTGCTGAAGAAGAAGTTTCTGACCTGGGCCGACGTCAAGGGCATGTTATCGGAGAGGAGAAAGGAGATACTCGAAAACTCAACCAAGCCTTGGAATGCGTGGATGAACAAGGGGCCCTTGCTCCTAGAGGCTGTGGAGGTCTTCAGAAAGCCGGACGTCGGGATGGATCCTGAAAGATTGGTCTAGGGCTTTGGTGCTTCTTTTTTACCAGATAGAAGTCGTGCGTCTTAGCCGAGACTCTCCCCAGACAATACTACATACCTCAAATATAGAATGTTTTGAGACGTGAGTAAGGCCGGTAAACGAAAGCTAGATTCCATGGCCCATGATGTCGCTCTATAAAAGAATTTGTATGTATAAGAGCTCGTGGTTCGCGAAAGATTGACACCATGACCTCATTCATCAGATCCGTTTTATGGGGCAAACGGCGATAGGCATGGACAGTGTACGTTTTGAAGACTTTGTGGATATCAATTGATGCGTGACTAGCTATCGTACGATGAAGAAACCAACCCAAACGCCTCTTCTCCCAATGGAAAGTACCGAAATACGGTACATATCAAATCCTGCGTGGATCATCAAGGATCAAGCTGAAAGTCATCCAAGCTACCTTCTCTATCTTGTCCTCTAGTCAAAGTAGCTCGGGCGAGCTTTGAGGACCTCAATCCCGGAGAACTTGGGAACACGGACAGGGCTGAGATGCTTCACGTTGACGACGTGGTCCTCCCATATCTGGGCAACAATGCGCTTGACATCGCCCCAGGTTGCGACGCTACCGACGTCGTCAGAAAGCTCCTTCGGGTAGTCATGGGTGCTAATAGGATCGGCTTCCTGTAGCGGGAAAAGCTTGGCAGGCAGTCGAGGGCTTGCAAGGCAGGAGCGGATATCCCACTCCATAGTCTGCATGAGGATGACCTCCCTGCAGGAGGTGAAGTGATCGAGGATGGTGTCCATCTTGGCGGTAGCATCGGCCTTGCACATAAATCTATTATGCGGGAAGGCGACACGGACGATGCGAGACATGTCGAGGTTGGCCCAGGTACGCGGCTCTTCGCGGACAAAGACGATGTCCTCTGAATAGTTGTACCAAAGGCCTTTGTATGGGCCACCGAACAAGCCAAACTCGAAGCCACCTGCCTCAAGGAATGCCTTGTTGGCCTCTTTGCAAGCGAGTCGGAGCTTGGGCGTCTTGTGGGCGGTCACACTCATTTCAGTGAGCCCGGAGGCCTGGCGCAAGACCAAAGCAGGGTTAGGCGCGCCGTTGTTGGCGGCAATCGGGGCTCGGAGAACACGAGAGAAGTGGGCATCGACGTTAGAGAGGTCAAAAATGCGTCCGGCAGGGAGAGCAAGCTTCCAGATCTTCATGCGAATTTCGACGGGGAACTTCTGGAACTGGGGGAACTTGCTGCTCTTGCTGTGGGAATGGCGGGAAAGCTTCGAGTCTGGAAGAGGAAAGCCCAGGTAAGAGGAGAAGGCCGCCTTGACGGTGTCTCGCTCGCCTGCTTGATCGATGTCAGCGTTGTGCTCAAGACAAAGGAAAGAGAAAAAACGTGCGCTTGTGACTGTGACGAGTGGACTTCTTACTCTCAATCTGCTTGATCTTCTCCTTCAATTCAGAGTTCTCCTGGTTGGCAGTCTCGAGACGACTCTGAAGGGCCGCAAGTTGAGCGGGCTGAGTTGCGTTCGGGAGATTTGCAACTTCTGTGGTGACGGCAGTGCGAATGTAGTCCTGAATGGAGGCCATCATGGCATTCGAGGCTGCAGCCATCGGGTCGGCGGGGGTGGATGTGTTGTCCGCCATGATGAGTTTCAGCCACTGAGATGAGATGAGCAAACGGGGTCCGAAGAGGCCGAGTCGAGATAGGTCGCTTACCAAAGCAATGGAGAGGAATAAGCTGTTTTGATGGGCAGCTTCTGTAGCGATAGCAAAGTAAAATGCTCATGCGATACCGATGATGTAGTAGGTGATTGCAAGTTGTGCCAAGGCCAGTGAAAGGCGTCGCAATATGACGGCTCCTGGGCGATGAGACTCGGGGCCGTGTGTCGCGTGCGCGGATGGTAGAAGAGAAGCCGCAGTGGTGCAATAGTATTTGCCAAAAGTCAGCAAACCGTCGTCTCCTTGTCCCTTCCGTTGTCGTGCGGCGGAGACTGGACGTGATGCCGTCCAAAAAGCCCACGACGGTCGGCCTGGGAAAGAGGTGTAGTTGAAAAAGGCGAGATGAGTGTGGGAGATATCCAGCGAGGTTACCTAAGGTTGGAATTAAGGTGCTTGCCACCCTTCGGTTGGCTGCCCTGGTTGGGGAAGGAAGGATCGCTTCCTGTGGTTCGCCCCTTCCTCCCGCCTAATTTAGAAGGTTCAGAGGCACTGACAAGGACCTTTGTGGCGGTACCTCGATACTTAGGTACCTCTATTTTCCGAGGCGTCCACTGGACACCAGTGATTCAGCAGGTGCGGGCCAACGTTCCTGTACCCCAAGTCCACCTACCTCAAGCAGCGTGGCAGCCCAGTAAAGCCCCTCAAGTATCTAGCAGCCCCTCTCCTTGTCACGCTGGAGCGGGAGCAGGGATCTTCACCCAGGTACACGCGTTAGTGACCGGCCCGGAGCCATCACTACGGGCTCAATCTCACTTCCCGCGGCCGACGCACTGACCTTCAGTTCGGTTCAATCTCACCTCACTGTTACTGAGATGTGATGGGTGACAAGTGTGACTTGACGGGCAGAATTCGTAGATAAACTCATCGTAGATTATGAGTATAGAAACGCAAGGTTCGAAAATGCCTTAGAGCTGGTTGTAAGATGAGGTCCGAACGAGAAGGTCACGACGAGGACCTTGCCGCAAATGCGCTAACATGAGAGACAAGCTGATGGAAGACAGGAAACGACACAAGTATCTGTCTACAATTGATCGCCTGTAACGAATTTACGAGAACACCACCTTGAACCGACGCAACGAGAAATGGGTCAGCGAAAGCAATAGGTCTGTGTGAGCTCATGCAGAATCGATGAGCCGCACTTTCAGTTCGTCTTATCTCCAGCACTTCCTCCATGAAGAACAAGTCGGTCACGCCGGTTAAACTGAAACCCTACCTGCAAGTGGCCGCAACGTCCGCGCGTGGGGGAAAACGTTCCAACCCATGGACAAACAGACCGGGGATGACCAACCAATCATGACGAGACGGGATTGACGCCTCGCAATTGTCCAATCCTGTCACATCCAGTGCCTTGCTGACAACCGGGGGATTTTAAGGACTGAGATGGTCTATTTATCCTACTGGACAGGCACCCATGAAATCCCTCGGTCTTGGAGATAAGCGGGTGGTGAAGCCTTGTTCGTGACGGATATGCGCTATCTTCACGAGCTTACACGATACTCATTCAAGAAGCCGAGAACCAGTTCATGTCATGACATCGGAAGTTTTATCAAGGAACATCTATGGTCTATCTTATCAATAAATCTTCTCTTCCTCTTCTGAAAACGATGAATTGAGTATGAATTGAGGAGTGGGCCATTCTAACCGATCCAAAATAGTGATCCACAGAACAAAGCAGGGTGACAATCATTCAAGAGCCAAGCTTCACTCCACGTTGGGAGCAATGACAGTGTAGTTCCTCCATCCACCATTGTCCCTCGCAAATTCCGTCGCCTCATGATGCTCATCCAGGGAGAAAATCTTAATCTCCGCTCCGCTCTCCCTCCCGATCCTCAACTGACCTCCCTCAACCATGCGAACCAGCTGCAGCAGCGTCGGCCGCTCACACATCCACTTGCCGATCAACTTCAGATTCTTAAGCCCAAACACAGCATACGGTATCGTCAGCGTCTCGCTCGCGCCGCCGCTGAGAATCACTCTTCCCTCGCGCTTCAGGGTGCGCACAGCGGCCTCGAGGTACGGCGGGTTCTTGAGCTCGCCGGGCGTCCAGTCGTTGAAGACATCGGCTCCGGCCCCGTTAGGCGTGGCCGCGAGAATCGCCTGCGCGTCGATGTTGGCGTCGCCAGTCATCACCACCGTCTTGAGGCGTGGGTTATCGCCGAGCTTGGTGCGCATTGCTGCGAGCTTGGATTCGCTTCGGCCCAGGGCGATGACATTTGCGCCGACGGTGAGGGCGACTTCGACGGCCAGACCGCCAAAGGAGCCGCCTGAGGGACCGATGACCACGGTCTCTGCTACTTTGATGTCTGCTGCCTCGAGGAGGGCTCCTGCGGCGACGGAGTAATGCGCGATAGAGCTCAACGCCGCAAAGTCGTAGCCAAGTTCACCGATGAGTCGCTTCTCGTCAAGGGGGTAGACGTTCTCGAGAGGCACCTTCTGAAACTGCTGCAGCGAACCATCACGCCACTCCTTCATCAACTTCTGTCCCGCGTCGCCCACGCCGCCGAGGTGACCGATCATGACCATGACGTTGACGGGGTCGTCGCGGCCGCGGGTGGTGGCGTCAACGTAGACCAGATCGCCCGGCTTGACACGCACGGCATCCGGGCCGACGGCGTGAACGCGGCCGATGGCGTTGGGGTTCGGTACGAAGGGCGGGTAGACGTTGAGCTGCGGTAGCTTGCCGGTATGGGCTAGGTGCGTGTAGGGCACGATGGGCGCGGCGAGAATTTTGACGACGACTGTGCCTGTGGGAGCGTCTGGGATGGGGAGGTCGATTACCTCAAGGGGTTTGGAGTAGGATGAGAGCCAGAGGGCTCTGTTGCCTTGTGCGGAGCTCATCTTTGATATAGTATAAGATGAAGATGCGTGTAAGTGGACTTTTGGGAGGACTGAAAGGTTTTGGATTTCAGGTGATTGATGTAGTCGTTCGTCTCGTCTTTCTTATACGCCGGTACATTTCGACTGAATGCGGTATGTTGCTGGGTTTTATAACTCCTTTAATCATGGTCGATAGCTAGGGGCTGAAGCTACGTTTCTCGGACCTGATGATGATGCCGCGTTCCCCATTTATTCAAATGAGGAAACCGGTGGCCGAAGCTTTCGGCCCAAGGAGAGGGCTGCAATCCGTCAATGGCCCCCCACTTCAAAGCACCGCGCGGGAGGGGCACTCAGTGGTGACGGAATCGAGTGCCGTGGAGATCGGCGGGCCGTTGGAGGACTGTGGCACGAAACTCAATTGCCAGCTAGCACGACTCGGGTTTGGGACGAGACCAGGGGGGCTTGGCTAGTTCCATTGTCAGTTTTGACCTTATATCGCCTATGCCCCAAAGATTTTGGGCCAGGGAGCTTTCCATTCTTACAGTCTTGAGGTGTTGCAAGCTGCGGCAGAGAGGACGGGCTGGAGTGGACCTGCATTACGGTATTCGTGGACAAGGTACTTCGGTTTCGGCCGGACAATGTGCGTCAATGTCCTTCTGATGGCCGCTTATGTAAGACGACCAACGACATGGCATCTTGCTCAACGTCGGTTTGACCTTAATGACGTTTATCCTACATTAATTCACTCTCAGTTTGTCATCGACTGCTTTACTCATTCGTATCAACCATCCCATTGGTTGTACAAGTCATGATGGTCGTCAATCGGAAAGGACGAAGCAACTCCGAGAAATAGCAACTTCAAGGAATATTCTTCGCGCCTCGGCATAATCGGAGAATTACCCCCTTGCAGCGGAAACGAAAGTGACTTAAGCTAGCCTCATGCAAGCAATTAGAAGCTATTGATTTGCGAAGGATACATGTTCAGCGCTTGTTCTTTGCTTGCCTTCAGCCTTGAGTATCCCACGGGCCGAACATGTAGAGTGCCACCCCAAATTGACAAAGGTCCTAGACATATATGACGGTTTGTCTTGAACAAACAAACAGCCACGAAAGACTCAAGGCCTTTGTTCGATCAAGGGAAATCTTCAATAACTATTCTCTTGTGCCATGTTGCTGCCTAGCGGTCTGGCTTTCGGCAACGCTTCTGTGTGTATCATGCCTCTCCAAGAGATGAGGGGTCAAGTTCCTCCCCACGATCGATGGTCTTTAAATGAGGCCCTGGAGCATAGCATCATATGAGGCTTTGTCACATCCTATACTAGGTTCCAGGTCCAGCTTCCTCAGCTGAGGTTCGGATGACCTTGGTATGGAAATCTTCAAGGAGAAAAAAACTATTCGGGTACAAGGCCCCTCTTGTCAGCTCAAGAGAACAATTGTCCGTTATAATAATTCCGGTTTTCGCTAATTTGGCTACTCTTTAGAACGCACAAAGTGCTCTTTCTGCTCACATCTCGTGACAAAGGTGCAGCTCATCTCATCAATGCCTCAACAAGACGCCTGAGTGAGATGAAGTGAAGGATGAATCATCGAGACTGGAATACACACCAAATCATTACCTGAATACTTCAATACCGCTACCAAGCGACCTCATGGACGGTGTGAGAGAACGCACCTTCCGCTTCATCACAGTATAGGGCTGTTGGCCAAAAAAGGTATGTTCTTGACCCTGGGCCCTTTCCCTTTCCCTTTTCCTTTCACCTCTGTTTGGTCTTTTTTTTTCTCGCGCGCGCACAACATCACCACCGACCATCCATCACATTTTATGCCCGTAAGACTTTTATCCCAAATTTCCATCTCGCCTGGCCTTTCAGATTATTAACACTCATCTAGTTGCTTTGGCCTTTGCGCACTTTTCACAAACAGTCACCATCACCACTACTATCATAATAGCCCCTCGCTCATGGGCCCAGATTGCCTCAACGGGCACAACGCCCAACCCCAGCCCTCTGCGCCAAGAGTTCTTGGTCAACCAGCAATCCTCCCCCCGCCCGGCTCCCCCTCCGCCCTCTGCCGCCGACTTCCCATCCCTCACGGGATACACTGGGGAGGAGGTGAAGGAGGAGGAGGGGCAGAATCTCGCAGCCTCACGGGCTGAAAGCCCTTGCCTTTCTTCTTCTTCTTCTGGCCCCGTCTCGGTGGTGGGAGGAGCGGAGGAATTTGTTGTTGCCTCTTCCCTTTTGAGGGGGAGCAATTACCCATCTTCCTCTTCTCCTCCAACCATCACGATCCTCAAGCGTGATACTACCACCACCTCCTCTTCCATCGCCGATAACACCGCCGAGATGGTCAACCAGAAGCGACAAGAGAAGCTCGCTGCGAAGAAGGCGGCGGAGGACGCAGCTCGTCAGTGGCTGCTACCGGAGATTCCGGCCATTTCGGTGGTCGGAGGGTCTTCAACCGCAGCTTCTGACGTGGCTGCTGATCCTGCCGCCATCGACGCGGCCGACGTTCCTCTCCCGGCGGACGAGGAGAAGGAAGACAAGGGTAAGGGACCGGCGATCCCGACCCCGACCGAAGAAGAGGTGACTGTCGCCTCGTCCGAGGCTTCGGCTAAGGACGAGGCGCTCAGAAGAGCCATGATCGCCTCGCTCGAGCGAGACCACCGCGCTGGGTAAGTCTGAGGCTCATCGAGATGCGGAAGAAATAAACAAAATTGCTGACTTTTCTTTCTTTCTTCTTCCTACCCAGGCTCCTCTTGAGGAGAGAGACCCATAACTTGTTCCTCCATGTTCGTGAGGGCACGATGATCGGATGTCATCGCGACATCGTTACCTCCGAGGCCACCAAAATGGCGGAGCTCCTTCCTCCTGCCGACGAGGTAAGTTTACTATCGAGGTTCTATGGAAGATTGCAATGGTCTAATATTTTCGGTTGATGAACAGGACGGCAAGACCCACCTCGACCTGAGCGACTGCGCGATGGCGTACCTCAGCCCGGTCATCTTCTTCATCTACAACGGTGGTAAGTAACTATCGGGACTTCCTTTCTCAATTACTTTCTAACTCGAATGTTGGAAGATCTCCCCGGCCACCGAGTAAACCGGGATTGTATCTGGGACACCCGTCCTGTCATCAACAACGTCATGTTCTATGGCCCGGCGTATCGCTTCGGCGTCTCGTCAATGCTCAAGAGCCAGCTTGACAACATGGAGGAGGTGTACGAGATGTACCGCGTCGCGTTCGGCGGCCGGTACTTTTACTACCAGATCAAAGACTTCGATAAGATGGCTGGATTCGAGGTTCCCTTCCGGATGGCGCTTATCCATCTGTACCTCGACAACCCCCTGAACGAGGAGCTCAAGCCCATGAAGGTGGCTTTTGCCAAGGTGGCGACCGTCGTGCTCCCCTTCCTGCGCCGCCAGCCTAGCTTCAATTCGCTGACTCAGAGTCTATGGGAGGGCCTTCCGTTTCCCTGGCGTTCCGAGTGGGAGGAGTTCTACTACGAGGGTCTGCTTCCCGACTTCCCCAAGATCTTTGACGAGAAAATGGAGTGGGTTGAGGAGAAGATTGATGAGAGCCGCTTCTTCTACGAAGAGCCCACTGACCCTCATGGTCCGTCCTCGCGTCCTGCCTTGTCTGGTCCCGCGATGGTTCCGTTCTACCAGGAGTCCGTCGACGAGATGTGCCGTCGTCTTTCTGGCTTTGGCATCAATGCCGGCTACTCGTTCACTGGCTAAGATGGCAGTATCCACCGACCAAGTACCGAGCTTTGGATTTCTACTCATCTGGATGGTACAGCCCTTTCTTGCCTTTGCTGGATACTCATCAACCTTTGGGATTCACTTGGGATATCGACATTCTCGCGATCGTGCTTCAACTCGGATTACTTCATTTTGGCATCGCGGACGCGGACCTTTTGTCTCTCAGCATCGGCCACCAAACTTCCCTTTCTTGTTACGATTACGGCACTCCATCATTGCGTCTTTCGACCTTCTTGTTTATCCGTGGCAGGGGCTAGTACACGGACGGATGGCTTGACTTGCTCCAACCATCTCGCAGATTGGACCTCCTGCACCAGTACTTTCACGCGAATGGATGATAAGACATGAATCCTTCGGTACCTGACAGGTTTCCTTTCTTTTTCTATCATGTCTGGGGGTGTGTGAATGGGACGGGACCTTGGAGGAGGTACCCTTTCACCGGTGGACACCCTGAACTGAGATTTTTGCTTGCTGGTTCTACTGTCACTTTTTGTTTCTTGACATGGTCATCCACGTTTACGGTTGCGGTTATGGTTATAAAAAAGCAGATACCCTTTCGATCTTCGGTTCTGGGACAGCTTCATTCACGATACCCCCTGGTTTACGAGTCTGGAGTTGAGGGATTTCGGTTTACGGATTATCGGATGCATGAGAACTCGGATGCTCTCGCCTTCAAAAGAAGGCCCTAATGAAAAGGGATCTGAGCACAAGATGAAGCAGTCCCATGACGTGACGTGAATGTGACAATCCTTGCTGTGAAGAGTGAGGTACTCAGTGAAGAACCTAAGAGTGAGGTGAGATGAGGGTCAATCTGAGCCACAGGGAAGCCACCTGCACCGTCGCCCCGGCAGTGGCTGGGCCCAGCACGTTTAGTGCTGATTAGCCTTATTTTGCAAGCTGGGGCCTCCCGGGCCCGTGTCTTCACCGCTGAAGATGGCGGGGCAAGGCGAGAACCACCGCCGCGAACGTGTTCTACCGTCTCCATCCTCTGTGCGTCGTGGGTGGGAACCTGCAGTGGTTGAAGGTTTCTGGCGTTTTGCTTGGCCCTTCACAGGCTCACGGCCCTCTGTACCTGCCGTGGTGTACCCCTACAAGGCACAAAAAGCCACCAGCGGCCCAGCGGCCCAGCGCTCAGACTGGCGCCATGGCAGTAACGGCAGTAACTGAGGTGATGGGCAACGGCGCTTGCGGGCCCCGTGTTTAGTGTCGGCCCTGCCCTGCCCTGCCTCCCCTCAGTCGCAACAACCGGGTGGCTGGTTGGTGTTTTCGGCCGGGCTGGGCAGGTTGCATTTTGCCATGGTGATTTGCTGCTAATACATAGTGCTGGGTAGTCATGGCAAGCATTCTATTTAATAAGTGGTGCATCTTGGTTTCGGGGGCGCCGCCGATCTAAAGAGGCGTTCGCTTATTTTGCAATCTATCGATAATTAAAGAATATCCAATACCACCTTGCCGTTTGGAGAAGGAGAAAATATTATCACCACTCGATTAATACCAGGGTCCAAAGGGAAAACCCACCAAGCGGCACTTACACCAAAACGACAGACTTTACACGGTGCTACGGCACGGAAACAGCAAGGCCACCCACAGTATCACACCCGGCTCTTGCGAGGAGGGACACCTTCACGATGTCACAGTACGAACCTTCACCCCAACCTCGCCGACGGGGAGGCCAGTCCCTCTTCCCCTACAGCAACAGCAGCAGAGCCTCAGCCCAGAGCCTCAGGAGCCAGTACAGCAGCAGAGAAGCCCAGACGGCGCACCTCGTCCAGCTCATTGAGGAGTTTCGCAAGGGGGATCCCATCTACGAACCTGTGCCGCCCACCCCGCCACCCAGAGCCCCGGGACGGCAGGGGAGTCAACGGAGCCAGAGGAGCCGGAGAGTCGTTTCGCCCTTTGTGCGATTTCAGTCACCTTTGGAGAGGTTCACATCATCACCCCTTGAGCGCTTTACATCACCTTTGGAGTCGTATGCTCCCAGAAGACGGGCCAAGACGCCGCTTTCTACTCCCGTGGTGTATGATATGCCCACTACCGCCGCCACCAACACCCAGCAGCAGAACATCGTCTTCCCCGCGGCGATACCAGAAGAGACGCAGATGCAGACGAGGCAGCAGTCACCACCGCAAGAACCTGAAATCGTACCTGTGCCGTCCATCATCGCCAACGAGAGCACGGAGTCGGACGGGCAGAGCTTCGACCTGGACGGATTCCCGATGCCGCCAGACTTTACGGGCCAGGAGTACCTCACTCCGGTCGAGGAGGTTGAGGACTGGGTCGATTTGGAGGAGACGTCGGGCAAGGTGTACGCCTTTGACCCGGCGCGCTCGTCGTCTGACCCGGCTAGGGACGATGATGGGTCGGATTTGGATATCCCGTTCTCGGATGACTCTACTTTGAGAGGGGAGGAGCCGCCGTTGAGCACGGCGCTTCATGTGTATCAGTCAATGTACACTGGTGAGGGCGTCCTGGGCGGTGTGCATTCGGCTGCTTTGGATGTTGTCTATGATGCCAAGAGAAGACGACAGTCGCTGTTTAGATGGCTGTAAGTGGAGTGTGTCTTTGATGTTGTCAGGTGGCTAACGATTTTGTAGGCATGTACAGCAAGACATGATGAACTTTGACGAGTTCACTGTAAGTCTTCATCTCTCAAACGACCGTTCTTGGGAGACAAGTACTAACTCTCGAGCAGAATGAGATCTCTCGCGCCCTCTCTGAGTCGGAGCAAAATGACATCCGCAAGCTCCTCTCTGATGTGCGGAAAAACTACTCCAAGACTATCCGCACCTCTCGCGACACGACGGTCAAGCACATGGATCCCAGCCACCTCGAACTTCCCCTCCAACGCGGAGGAGATCAAGCCAAGGGCTCGGCGACAGGAAAGCGTTCCGTGACTTGGCTCTGCATCCCGTACTTTTCACTTGAAGAGTACTCTGGACTCCTGGCCACTGGGAACCCGGGAGCATACCCACCCCTAACGCTGCTGCAGTTAGCGTTCTCGAGGAACTCGCAGAAGCGGGATATGCTTCAGGCGACGCGGCAGATTGGCAACGGAGGGAAGGATATGTGCTTCCACATTCGACAGCTGTGGTGTATCGTCCTGGATAATTCGCTGCTCATCACCTGCGGTTCCATGTACGAAGAGGCCTTGCGCGGCGAGACTGTCACGACCACATCTGAGCCAGCGAGAGATCCAACCTTGGGCGCAGATACTGGACGGATACTAATCCAGCACGGCGAGTCTGTGATGTGGTCGTTTCCTCTCGAGGAGTGCAGAACCTGGTTCGCTTTCATTGCGCACTTTGCCGATTTCTGGCCAAAGGCGGTCCGTTTCCACTTCAATGGTCGTCTTTTGACGGAAGCGCGCTGGTGGAAGGTGCTTCAATTCGCTAGGACCTCGCGCAGGAATGTCGTGATCAGCATGGAAACATGGTAAGTCTCCGTGAACTCGCTCCAATAAGAGCATTGGGTTGATAAAATCATAGCACACCACCACAACTACCGCCAAGCGGCATTTTGAGGCCTATCAAACAAGGCCTGAGCTGCAACGCTGGACAATCGTCCGGTGGCTTGTATCCTCCCAGATCTTCAGCTGGGAACCGGATGAGCTTCCCGCCGGGACAGTCCAACAAGACCAATGAGATGTTTCACGTATTCAGCTGGGCCGAAGCAAGACCGCCCAGCCCAATGGAGGGTCCCAACTTTATCGTCCTTCAGAAACAGCTGTCCGAAGTCGAGGAGTTCCTGACGGCCGAGACCAACGGGCCGGACCGGCGAACGTATCTGGAGGCTGAGATGTCGACGAGAAATGAAGTATTTGAATACCTCGAGCAGCAGGGGACGCGGATGCAGGATACGAAGAGGTCGTGGAAGAAGCAGGATTATGACGAGCGTGTTGATATCTTTAACGCGGCTGACTCTTTATTCCGCTTCTTCTTGCCTCCATTATTTGATGGACCGACAACGGAGAGGTTTTGGGGTGCCGTGATGAACTTAATCAGAGTAAGGCTCTTGTTGGTCCCATAAGCCTCCATTAGATGCTAACAGCTTTTAGATTCCTCAGCCCCAGACCACCGAGGGTGAGTCTCATCCAAACAACCTCGACAAGACACGCCGCGAAGCGGTCTACGCAAATGCCCCCACGGTCAGAAAAGCACTGCGCCAAATGGCCCTCCCCGTCATCGCCTTCAAGAGCATCCTGTCCCACGCCGAACCCACGGACCGGGTGGATATCGACGTTCCGCTGGAGCTGATCCGAGCCTGGCTTCATCTGGTCATGGGCCTGATCTACGCGAGTCACGAAACGCACATGTGGGAGGACCATCTGGAGGTGGCAGACACACTGGTCAAGAACGGCATGAAGCACATGATGGAACGGCTGTCAAGCCTTAACCTGCTGGAACGGTCTTCCGTCCTCCCGCTCGAGGTGGTGTCCCTGATCAGCTACGGTCTCTTGTCCAACACGTCTGGAAAGTATGCGGGAATTACAGACACTTATTCAGAGTATCTCAGATCATTGGTAAGTTTGGAGTGACTCGTGGTCTGTGGACTCGTTACTTTTGTATCATGCACTGACATTGCGGGCAGGAAAACGAGATTGCAAACGGGCAGTCGGACATCTCGTACCAGCAACGCATCAACTTTTTGCGCCAGGAGCTAAGCGTGATTAACCGCGCAATTGCAGCGCAAAACAGTGTCTTTAGCTCTATCCTAGCCTCTCGTCAAGAATGTTTATCCGCAGCAACGAAGCTTCACCGTTCGGCTCGAACTCAGGTCGCCGCAGCCAACTACCGCGAAGCGGCTTCCCTCAAGCCTCATTTGCGAATGGGCAGAAGCAGCGGCAGACATGGCGCCGGCGATGACGAAGACGTGCAGATGCTGCTGGAGCCCATGGTCATGGCTGCCAGTGCAGAGGTGTCCGACTTTTACAAGCTTCCGTCCACGGATGCGGCCGGCTTCAGGGATCTCCTGGCGGCGGAGTGCACGCAGCTT